ATATGTCATTGTCACTATGTTTACATACGAAAGAGCAGAGTTTTGTTCATTATGATAATAGAAGCATATAGCAATTGGGTTGTTGTTGTTTTTTTAATCATGGTAAAAATATATTTTTTTACAATTTGTAAATAAATAAAGTGCTTGTTTTTAATAGATTGTTTCAACAATGTTTATTTATTATTGCTCATCATTACTCACTGATAGCTATCTTTGAAGGTAATAGAGTAAAAAAAATGGAATTAGAAAAAAGGTTTTCCAGTTTTAATTTATTCTACTGTCTGCTAATGTGCAGGTATCTTTGAATCTCCAACACTGCAAAACATTCATGGCCAACAAAACCCTGACATTATGATAACATCCGCTGGGCCTGACCTGCCCACCCCTGACAGCCCCACCATCTTTGAGCAGAAAACTGTCACCTCCATCCTCTTCAAGTTGGATGGTATGTCCATCACACTCTTCACAGACAACGGCAAGGAAGTGAGTACATGCTTTCAAGTTTTGCTCACACTTTTTTAGTTTACTTGGTGTTGTGGTTGTTGAATAACAAATCTATACTTGTAACTTGCCATTAAAATATTTTTAAAAATAACATAAATAAAAAGTTATTATTTATAAGCTATTCTCTCATGTCTATACAGCTAGTTGTTCTGCTTACAATACAAAGGATTAGATTGAGTGCTAGTGTTGGTGTCATGTTTAGGGCTAATTTATCATTACAGGTGATATTAGATTGATCTAATTGACAAAGTGCAGATTAATTAAAAACTTAAATGTAAAAAATATGGAAATATTTCCTGTTTCAACAGATTAAGCTAGAACATAAGAATGAGAATAGAGTATTTTTTTTATAGATAGTTTTTACCTAATAATGTATATTGCAATTTTTAATATATTCACTTAAAGTTGATTGTTAAATTTTCTTTTAGCTAGCCACAAGGATGGGTCTGTGCCTGCTGGACATGGAGAAGATGAACTTGTCAGGACTTTCACATAGTGATGGAGACCACAAAGTGAATCTATCACTGCAGTCACTAGATCTCAGTGACATACGCACTGACAGTAATCTTGCCGTCAAAAGGTGAGATGACTGACATGTACATGGACAGAATTACTGCTGTCAAAAATTAAAACAACTGACATGTACATGGACAGCAGTGTTGCTGTCAATGGGAAAGATACACTACGACAGCAGTCTTCATTTTAAAAATGTATGAAAACACTTAAAAGAAACACATTATTAAATATTTATTGTAAATGTATTATTGTTTGTGTATGGGACGGAGTGGTCTAGCGGTAGAGAGCTGGACTACTAACCCGTAAGTCTCGAGTTCGAATCCGGATTCAAGTCAGTAGACCGTCCCTGAGTCCACCCAACTCTGATGGGTACCTAAATCACGTTAGGGAAAGTAAAGGTGGCTGGGCATAGTGCTGACCACACTATCTCTTCATATACCAAGGTCACAGAAACAAGTGAACTCTACTTCGAAAGGGAACTCTACTTTACTTACTATTATTGTATGTGTCCATTAACTATGACAAAGAATGACAAAAAGAAATTTTCTCAAGATAAAATGTATTTAATTTTAACCAGTGTCCTGGATTGCACTGGGAAATCAGAAAATGCTGATCTCCCTCTGGTTTCTCTCATATACAAGATCAGTAGTGATGGCAACCACAAAGGTAGATTCTATTGTTGTATCAATTTAAAAAATGTTTACTAAAACTGTATCTGTATCTAGCAACAAAAATGTAACACAACAAAAAATAACAAAAGCTTTATTTATAAATCTGATATACTTTATATTGACACTTGTACCTTTAAGAATATTGTTGAGTTAAATGTTATGTCTTTATAGGTGATACTTTCAATATATAGTCTTAATAAGCTAAATATAAATGTATAAATGGTCCATAAAACTAGCCAAATAAGTGATACTTTTTAAATTCATTTTTTTATTTATTGCATTTTTCAAAATGCAATTAAACCAGATGTAATTATAATAACCTAATTAAAGCACTGTACATGCCATTCCACAGCTGACCTGATGGTCGAGAAGCTTCGACTTAACGTCAACATCCCATTTATGATTGTGCTGCTGGATTTCTTCAATGGAGCCATGGAGACTGTCAACCAAACTTCCAACATGGCACCCACAGCCATGCCCAGTGGGCACTCACACATCCCCCCAGCTCCTCCCCCAGTCGTCTCCCCCGATGAGCACGGGTCGAACCCGCCACAGTCTGGGCTGACAGTTTACGGCAGTTTAAAACACCCAGAGATTGTTGTATATGCTGACCCTGCAAAGATTGATAGCAGAGTGATCATTTTATATGTGAGCTTTTTGATCATATTCATTTTAATCATTTTTATATATAGGCCTTACTATCAACTAGAATATAAAATACACAAACGTAAAAGAAAATATGTACGAATATATTTTTTTTTAAATTCTATAATTAATTTATTTTACTAAATAAATGCCTGGAAAACTAGGTAATATAAATATATTCAATCAAAACGTAGTAAAAAAAAATATCATACATTTTAAACTTTAAAACTTAAGAAAAAATTATTTAAAACAAATGTCTTAAATTCAAAACTTTAAAATAAACAAAGTTTTAAAATTTAATGAAAAGTTTAAGAAAATAAATATTTTTAAAAATGTTTGCGGAAAAAATATTTTATATTCATCTTTGTCTCAGTCTGACATGACATTTGAGTTCAAGAAGGACCTGAACAAACAAAGTATCTGGGCTAAGATCACAGACCTCAAGCTCATCTCAAGGACCACAATGCAAAGCTCTTTAAGCAATTTGGTAGGTAGCTTTCTGCTTCTAAAATTTTTTTAACATGACATGGTATTAAATTAATTAAGTCTGAGTAGTACATAATATGTTCTTTACTTTATAATTATTGTTTGTTTCTATTTTGATTAAAAAAATAAAAAGTCTTTATAACAGTTTAAAAAAATTTACATTTGCCTTATTTAGTTATGTTTTCTGCAGTGTCTGCCACTTAAAAAAGGTGCACTAAAACAGTCTTTGTGTCTCAGTTACAGTCTAAAGCTGCCACTGTTCTCACTAACAGATCTGTTCCCACCCTGCACCCCACCCCATTCTAGGTGATGCTGCCATGTCATCTGACCTTAACCCAAGAGACAGACCTGGTGTCCAACACCTCAGAGATTGTGGCTGACCTGAGTAAAGTCCAGGTGTTTGTCTCTCCTTCTGTTATGCAACTGTTGTGGGATGTCCTGGCCATGGTTCAAGGTCCAGGGGTCAAGGTAGGGTCACTCTATGGGAACATAATATCGGCCAAAATGTCTATATTGTTCTGTATAAAATTAATGCTAATTTGTGATTCAGTGCTAGTTATAATGTTTATTTAGCCTTATGCAAATTTTTGGGTTCATGTTATTATGTGGTTGGATGGTAGAATGCACAAAGTCTAGGGTTCGGATCCTGGGCTTGAGCCTATAGAATATCCCAGAGTCCACCCACCTCTGGAGGACAACTGACTCACACTATGGAAAGTAAAGATAGCAGTGCATAAAACTGACCACTTTCTATTAATATGCTGAGGTCATACAAAAAGGTGAACTCTACTTAATCTACTCAATTGACAATCAGTTCTGAAAGGATAAATTTCTATGTAGTTTTGCCACAATGTAATGCTCATTTCTGTGATTTGAAGAGTTGAATTTCAACCAGTATACTGAGATGTGGAAACACTTTTGACCTTATTTCCCTGTAACATTATATGCTGTAATATTACTTCAGCTATTATATTATGTATAGTTATCACAGAACTTTCTCTCCTAGGAAAAAGCCAACTCCATGGCTAATGTTGTGGACAATGATGTCCAAAGTCTGTGGGGAGTGTCCACTGTCACCTCTCAAAGATGGCTCAAGGAAAGACGTAAGTCACACTCCTGTTTGAGTTAGCAGTGTTTAAAGTACAGCATGATACATCTTCTTCAAGATAATATAATTTAGTGTTTATTTGTTTCATTGACATTGCTCTATAAAGGTATGGTGTAACTAACACTATGTCCAGCTACCTCTTCTTTACCAAATTTAGTCAGGTACCCATCACAGGTGGAGGAACTCAAGGAAATCCTAAATCCCATGAACTTAACTTCAGACTTTTTTTTTTAGATTTTTATCATGCACACTTGACAACATCAACCCTTTATGATTGATTATCCTGGTTTTATAGTCAGAATCTGGTACACATTGTAATGTTGAATGTGGCTGTAGCTTTTGCTGTCTGTATCACTAAAATTATCCCTTCACTCACCAGCTGATTCAAGCCAGGCGCCCACCCTTCGTCCAACAGCTAAACCAAAAGAAACCTTTAAGCTGCACATTAAGGAAATAAACATTTATTTCGAGATAGAAACTTTAGATCTACATGTCCCAATTCTGTGTGTACATACCTCAGTGGAGTCAAAGATTGAAGAGTGGTCTAGGAAGGTTAGTTGTTCCAGCATACATTCTTATTTTTTTTTTATTTTTCTGTTTGAAGAGTGATCTAGGAAGGTTAGTTCTTCTAGCATACAAATAACTATTTTTATTTTGCTGGTTGAAGAGTGATCTAGATGGCTAGTTGTTTTATCATAAATATAAACATTTTTTTCTTACTGACTGAAAATTGGTCTAGAAAGGCCAGTTACTAAGGTGTGAGAGCATAACAATGCCAGAAGAATGTATTCTATTTTTTGTAATGGTATGACGACAGACAGTAACCGAAGCCTGAATTAAAAGTTATGTTGACTGTACTGTCAGTCATATAGCAGCTTTATTTGTAAGAAAATATTTTGGCATTCTTCAAAGAATTCAAATTGATTTCACTACACCATACTTGACCACTTCAACTTGATTTCACCACACAATACTTGACCATTTCAACAGATGCACCTGGAGACTGAGCTTCACCTAGAGGTGATGTTCTTCAATGAGAAAACATGTAAATGGGAGCCTCTCATTGAGCCTGTCATGGACAAGGAGGGTGTATACAGACCATGGGAGGTCTTAGTCAAGGTAGGACAGAGAAGTGGGAGGGCTTGGTCAAGGTAGGGTGGAGAAGTGGGAGGGCTTGGTCAAGGTAGGGTGGAGAAGTGGGAGGGCTTGGTCAAGGTAGGGTGGAGAAGTGAGAGGTGTTGGTCAAGGTAGGGTGGAGAAGTGGGTGGTCTTGGTCAAGGTAGGACAGAGAGGTGGGAGGGCTTGGTCAAGGTAGGGTGGAGAAGTGGGAGGGCTTGGTCAAGGTAGGGTGGAGAAGTGGGAGGGCTTGGTCAAGGTAGGGTGGAGAAGTGGGAGGGCTTGGTCAAGGTAGGACAGAGAGGTGGGAGGGCTTGGTCAAGGTAGGGTGGAGAAGTGGGAGGGCTTGGTCAAGGTAGGGTGGAGAAGTGGGAGGGCTTGGTCAAGGTAGGACAGAGAAGTGGGAGGGCTTGGTCAAGGTAGGGCGGAGAAGTGGGTGGTCTTGGTCAAGGTAGGGTGGAGAAGTGGGAGGTCTTGGTCAAGGTAGGAGGAGAAGTGAGAGGTCTTGGTCAAGGTAGGGTGGAGAAGTGAGAGGTGTTGGTCAAGGTAGGGTGGAGAAGTGGGTGGTCTTGGTCAAGGTAGGACAGAGAAGTCTTGGTCTTGTATCATGTGGATCAGGTAATGTCAGTTGTCTGTTACCTTCCATGTGGATCAGGTAATGTCAGTTGTCTGTCACCTTCCATGTGGATCAGGTAATGTCAGTTGTCTGTCACCTTCCACCTGTATCATGTGGATCAGGTAATGTCAGTTGTCTGTCACCTTCCATGTGGATCAGGTAATGTCAGTTGTCTGTCACCTTCCACCTGTATCATGTGGATCAGGTAATGTCAGTTGTCTGTCACCTTCCACCTGTATCATGTGGATCAGGTAATGTCAGTTGTCTGTCACCTTCCACCTGTATCATGTGGATCAGGTAATGTCAGTTGTCTGTCACCTTCCATGTGGATCAGGTAATGTCAGTTGTCTGTCACCTTCCACCTGTATCATGTGGATCAGATAATGTAAGTTGTCTGTCACCTTCCACCTGTATCATGTGGATCAGGTAATGTCAGTTGTCTGTCACCTTCCACCTGTATCATGTGGATCAGATAATGTCAGTTGTCTGTCACCTTCCACCTGTATCATGTGGATCAGGTAATGTCAGTTGTTTGTTACCTCCACCTGTATCATGTGGATCAGGTAATGTCAGTTGTCTGTCACCTTCCATGTGGATCAGGTAATGTCAGTTGTCTGTCACCTTCCACCTGTATCATGTGGATCAGGTAATGTCAGTTGTCTGTTACCTTCCACCTGTATCATGTGGATCAGGTAATGTCAGTTGTCTGTCACCTTCCACCTGTATCATGTGGATCAGGTAATGTCAGTTGTCTGTTACCTTCCACCTGTATCATGTGGATCAGGTAATGTCAGTTGTCTGTCACCTTCCATGTGGATCAGGTAATGTCAGTTGTCTGTTACCTTCCACCTGTATCATGTGGATCAGGTAATGTCAGTTGTCTGTCACCTTCCATGTGGATCAGGTAATGTCAGTTGTCTGTTACCTTCCACCTGTATCATGTGGATCAGGTAATGTCAGTTGTCTGTTACCTTCCACCTGTATCATGTGGATCAGGTAATGTCAGTTGTCTGTTACCTTCCACCTGTATCATGTGTATCAGGTAATGTCAGTTGTCTGTTACCTCCACCAGGTGATAAGGACCAAGAGTTTCCCCATGATCTGCATGTATGACGACAATGACCTGACCATCCCTGAAGAGCTGCAGACAGAAGTCCAGCAGATGATGCATAGGTCAAGGGTCAAGTCTAGCAGCTCTGAGACTGACGACACAGACGGGGACCTCGACATGAAAGTCATACGGCACAAATCTCTCAACCGCTTACGTCATGGGAGTGATCGTAGCTTTGGTAAGTCTTAACTGGTTTTTTATTATCTAGATTTCTCTTTCTATACCCTGATAAATTATTTCTATTCATGACCTTTTTAACATCAATATAGGGATTTTTCTGAATATATATTACATGTGTACATAACCAAGTATTTATTTCATTTTATTATATTTATTTTATTGGCTGAACCTAATTTGACAATCATCCTATTACTATAAACAACCCCAGGTCTTACTTTTAGTATGTTTTCCATTTAATGTATCAGTATTTAAAGTTTCATTTTGAGGTTTGTTGCTGTTTCTGGGTGGTTTAGGTGATACTACCATATAGTTTTCTGTAAGCCTTATTATTATCTGCTAAATGAATAATTCTCTGGAATGAAGGTTGTCTATGTAATATACTAAATAGTCACCTTTCTTCAAACTATATATTTATCCTTTTCTGTATAAAAACAATTTCTAGTAAAACTTATTACCCATAGTTGAGATAATAGAAAAAAAAAATTAGTTTACAAGAAATTAACAAAACTTTATTTCTTATCTGCAATTTTTAAAATAGATCTCAGATTCATTTACCAAGAACAATAAAAAAGGTCAAAGTATCAAGTTATTATTTCTAGAAACTTCTTTTTAACACACTTATTTTTAATTTAGAGGTTTCTTTCTGTTACAAAACTATAATACTGTTGAATACCTGATTTATTATTGCGTACATAGTACATAGGATAGGGACATGTTTGTATAATGTTTGGTTAGATATAAAGCTGGTCAAAGTCTAGACCAGTGGACAGGTTGGAGGGAGATGTTTGTATACCTTTAGGTTAGACATAAAGTCTAGACCAGTAGACAGGTTGGAGGGAGATGTTTGTATACCTTTAGGCTAGACATAAAGTCAAGACCAGTAGACAGGGGTTGGGAGATGTATGTATACCTTTAGGTTAGACATAAAGTCTAGACCAGTAGACAGGGGTTGGGAGATGTATGTATACCTTTAGGTTAGACATAAAGTCTAGACCAGTAGACAGGGGTTGGGAGATGTATGTATACCTTTAGGCTAGACATAAAGTCTAGACCAGTAGACAGGGGGAGGGAGATGTATGTATACCTTTAGGTTAGACATAAAGGTCATCAAAGTCTAGACCAGTAGACAGGGGTTGGGAGATGTATGTATACCTTTAGGTTAGACATATAGCTGATCAAAGTCTAGACCAGTAGACAGGAAGAGGGAGATGTTTGTATACCTTTAGGTTAGACATAAAGCTGGTCAAAGTCTAGACCAGTAGACAGGAAGAGGGAGATGTTGTATACCTTTAGGTTAGACATAAAGGTCATCAAAGTCTAGACCAGTAGACAGGGGTTGGGAGATGTATGTATACCTTTAGGTTAGACATATAGCTGATCAAAGTCTAGACCAGTAGACAGGTTGGAGGGAGATGTTTGTATACCTTTAGGTTAGACATAAAGGTGGTCAAAGTCTAGACCAGTAGACAGGGGGAGAGAGATGTATGTATACCTTTAGGTTAGACATAAAGGTCATCAAAGTCTAGACCAGTAGACAGGGGTTGGGAGATGTTGTATACCTTTAGGTTAGACATAAAGGTCATCAAAGTCTAGACCAGTAGACAGGGGTTGGGAGATGTATGTATACCTTTAGGTTAGACATATAGCTGATCAAAGTCTAGACCAGTAGACAGGTTGGAGGGAGATGTTTGTATACCTTTAGGTTAGACATAAAGGTGGTCAAAGTCTAGACCAGTAGACAGGGGGAGAGAGATGTTTGTATACCTTTAGGTTAGACATAAAGCTAGGTCAAAGTCTAGACCAGTAGACAGGTGGAGGGAGATGTATGTATACCTTTAGGTTAGACATAAAGGTGATCAAAGTCTAGACCAGTAGACAGGGTGGAGGGAGATGTATGTATACCTTTAGGTTAGACATAAAGCTAGGTCAAAGTCTAGACCAGTAGACAGGTGGAGGGAGATGTATGTATACCTTTAGGTTAGACATAAAGGTGGTCAATGTTTAATGTGGGACAACCACAGATTCCAGTCACCATAGCAGCGTGCAGGGGGAGTCGGACTCTGAGCCCGAGGGTTTCATCTCCAGCATGACCAGCAAACTTGGCAGTATCTTCTCTAGCGACAGCAGTGACGCTGACGTCAGTGAGACTGACGACAATGATGATGGCATTGACATGTCGCTGGACAAGCCAGTGTTCCTGACGTCCAGAGGGCCAGTTCATATGACCGCTGGTTGGAATGTTTCCATCTCACGGTGTTGTGTTTAGTTTTGTTGATATTTAGGTGTAGAGTTTACCTGTGTGATTTTTTTCTCCATTTGTTTTGTTTCCAGCATTTTAGCATTGCTTTTATTTATGACACCATTACTTCCTTATTGTCTTGTATTTGGTATTTGATTTTTTGCTTTATTAGCACTGGATTTTAAATATTTTCAAGACTATTTTTTTAACATTGATGTGAAGGCCATACACTGCACTTTATTGTTATATATTTAATAGAGTACTTAAGGCATTGTATATATTGCTTTAGTTTTTTTTTAGCTTTATGTTTAGTTTTATTTTGTAAATGCTTATTAATCAGGTGTAATTTTTATGTCTTTATTTTATTAAAATGTTTTTTATTTATATTTTACAAAGAAATTTTCATAAGATAATGTTAAATGTTTTTAATTTGTGTAAATATTTCCTCTTACTTACGATAGTAATCAAAAGATTTAATTGTTGCAATAATTTTATTTTTGTCACTTTTGCACAGTGCTTTAGATATCTTTCCAAAGAAAAACTTCTATTGATATTGTTTTCATATATTTGTTTACTTTAGAATTCATTGACAACTTTTTAACTCTATGATTTGTCTATAGAGAGAAGGTAGGTTACCTAGTGATGCAGTTAGAATTTAAACATTTTTGCTAATAATTTGTTTATAGTTTTCTTTATAAGTTGTCTAGAACATTATCTTAAAACATTTAATCATTTCAGATTAAAATATTTATTTATTTGAAAATTTTACTTCAACAATACAAGACAATCAATTTAAAAGTAAAGAGTCCATATTAAAAAAATCAAGGCTTTTTTTTCACTAGTATTGTTACCCTTACCTTTTCCCTAACCTCTGCTCAAGGCTCAACCATAATAGTGACTATATTTCTAATCCTAACCCTAACCCTGAGCGTCAGGTTACTCACACTAAACTTGATACAATACTCCATTGTCCAGCAAATGTCTTGTACATGAATTCAAACAAGCAAGAAGTAACTTACAAATCTAGCACTGAATAGCAATGTTTTATTGATCAATCACTTAGCACCTACCTTCTCTCATGAAATAATAATTTAAGTTTCTTCTTGTTTGAGTTACAATTAAGCTATTTAGTACTAAATAACACAAACAGAAATGTGTTCTTATGAGTAATTTATGTTTCAAATTTCAAACACAATTAAATATTGATACAAAGTTGTAGCAAGCTATTGAATAATAAATGTTAGTTTTTCAGTGTGGTATATTTTACTAGATGTTGTACAGTTGTTTATAGTTTGTGAATGCAGTAACTAGTTAACTTGTGGCCATATTTTGAGCTGACTCTCTCTGTGTGTAGGGTCCTCCCTGGGATTTGATGAGGTTGATAATGGCCGAGGGCAGGACGACGACATTGGCGATGAGTTTGAGAAGTGCTTGTATGTGATGGTTGAGTCTATGGACAGGCTGCAGCTGAACGTCACCCCACAGTCCATTGTGGTCATCAAGGATGTGGTCCAGGTCAGTGCTGGTGTAGTTTTTTATACAACAATTGTTTTATATACAACAATTGTTTTTATTTACATTAAAAAATAACATTAAGATGTCAATAATGGTTCATCTTTGGATGGACACCATTGGCTTTGTTTAGATATCATCAGTCTGTTTGCTGTGATTGATATTGCATATGTTAATTAAATGATACATATGTTGATTACTGAAAGATTATTTCTAAAAATAATAATGATATGACCCCCTCCCTTTATTTTCCCCAGGCTCTACAGAACCCCAGCAAGTCAGAGCTTCAATCAGTGAGATCACAGCCAAGATTTAAAGTCAACAATCAGGTGTTTACCCAGAGTTTCAACCAGCATCCCATCAGTATCATCTCAAACTATCAGCATCTGTTCTGTTTAAAATAAGGCTTACATTATTTTATCATTCTGAATAACAATCCAAATAACAATATTCAACAACCAGTCAATCAATAATTTATTGTCCATTAATTTAAAAAATAATGAAATAAAGTAAAAAATTGATTATGTTTACTTTAGTTAGAGTAAAAGTTGTTTTCTTTTTTGACCGACCAATTCCCTATTTCAGCTGGGACTCCATGCTTACCTCACATGTCATCACAAGGTCAAGGTTAGTTGTTCTCACCTTATAAGTAGTGTACACAAAAATGAGGTCCCGATACATATTTTATGACACCAAAAATAAGTTCCAACACCTTTGTGCACATGTTTCACAGTAGGACCACACTATTATGTGATGTATTAGTGTGTTATTAGACCTTAAAACTTGACCTAACCCTATGAAGCCTGTGAAAAGCTTAGTGCTGCACTACACCTCTTACTAGACTCTATTTTTGGTAGCTCTCTTTAGTTAAACCCAATTAGTTCCACAGCCCTTGATTCTCATTCCAGTCCTTCTCCAGGATTATTAGGCAGCCTACTATTCTTTTCCCAGGTGGGCTCCGGTCCAACAATTGACTTGCTATGTTGACAACTTCTCTACTCAGGGCATGCCAGTCAGAGGCGTATCCAGGTTTTCGTTGTAGAGGGGGCAAAAATAGCAAAAAAAGGCGCCGAATTTTTAACACGTTCTACATACGTATATATATATATGAATATATATATATATATATATATATATATATATATATATATATATATATATATATATATATATATATATATATATATATATATATATAATAAGTAGCTGTATGTCATTACTTCGCTATGATGTAAAATAAATTTAAATTAGCACCCTGAAGAAATGAAGAAATAAGAAAAAACACACAATGTAGGCTGACAAAACAAAAATTGTATCAATCTAAAAAAAATATATATATATATATACACACACTACAACCAAAAACAATTAACGTAACACAATCTGTTTTGTAATTCTTGTAAAAAAAATTCTTACATAATAATTCCTGAGAAATTAAAGACAAGTGAAATAGGGGAAATAATCACTCTCTTAATATAAATATGTATATATCTACACATTTAATTATAAATGTCAAAACAAATAAATGATTACTTTAGGATATAATGAAATTGTTTAACACTATTCGTGTTTACAAAATGTTTTTGTCTATAATCAAAATTAAATATATCGTCATCATAAATGTTAAAGTATTACAGCTTAATGAAAGTTTTTAAAATCAGAATTGATATAAAACCACGCTTTTTGATATAATAGAAAAACATTCGGAATAACAGCCTACATTTAACTGAATGTCAGTCTTTTAGTTCAGATTATATATTTTTAATTAACTACTGCTTCTTTGTGTTCTTTAAAGATCATTTTTTAACATAGTGATAGGTATGGGTTAGATCACTGTATTGATCACACACCTTTTTACTGGTAATTGCAAAAACAATATTCACAGAGTTTTACGTTTAAAAAGCTAATTTTCTGGCGGCATGGTACTTTGGTACATCATTACGCGTTTTTCTACATGTACTTAACAGATCAGTTCGGGGTGGGTGTGGGGGGGGGGGGTGGGTTCAACTTCATTCACCACTGTCCAGTCACTTTAGGTCAATTATCCAACCCAGTGTATACCTATGTGTGACATTAATGTCGCTCTACACAATTGTGGTGGAGAGGTGGGGGGGGGGGGGGGGAGATAACCAACTCAGAGTGAACATAGCGTCAGTTTTTAGATGACTGTTCTAAACATACATATATATTACACAAATATATATTACACAAATATATATTACAGAAATAGATTTAAATAAGTAGCAGTGGTATTATGACAATGTTTTTTTACAGAGGGGTCCATGGGGGAGGGGGGGTTGTAACTGTTTCATATAATTTGTAATCGTAATCACTATCGTCCAAACTGTAAGAATACTACTACTTCATCGTGATGACGTTGTTGACCTTGTCAAAATTACCCCACAACTACGCAGTTTGCTCATAAGTAAATTTAAATAGAGGTGCCACATCAGTTGTATTTGTGTCTGTATTGTAATTTTTTAAAAACTAATCACACGATTCAAACTGTAACATAAAGTAATTATGTGTAAAGTTTTATGTATAACATTTTCTAATCCAATTATTCGTAAGCAAATACATTATACAGTTGCCTTAAACTTAACACCCCTCTTGCCAAGTGGTGCTACCCGTAGAGGTTTTTTAAACATTACAATGCATCGTAATGGTTATTTTTAGATAGGCAAACTGATGCAGCTGTTAATACGTGTTGTAAACGTAGACACTACTTGACTAGTACAATAATGCTTAATTGCTGCATGAAAATAAATCTTGTGATTTACATAGATGTGCCGACCAAAAATACTTTTTAACAAATATCATTGTTTAAAACTTTGAGTTTAAAAAGTTTCCAAAAAGGCGCCACTTTGCTGAAAATGGCCAGAGGGGGAGCAGCTGCTCCCCCTGCTCCCCCCCTGCGTACGCTACTGATGCCAGTACATTCCCCAGCTTTAATGCCCCTTGCTATCAGCTGTAGTTTTGTGAATCACCACAGTTTACCTTAAGACCATCACATTCCCCAGCTTTAAAGTCCCTGTCTATCAACTAGTTTTGTGAATCACCACAGTTGACCTTAAAGACAACTAAAATTGCATGTTGTATGTCTCTAGGTCCACAAGGACCACATCCACAACGCAACTGTCTACCACGCTGGAACAGATGGCACCATCATCCACCCAGCTGATTATGAAAATGACATTGATGTCTTGGATGAACAAGACAACAGGCTAGATAAAGAGTAAATTGGGTTTTTTTTTTTAGAATCAGATGAAAGTGCTACTGAACCTATTAAATTCTTTGGAAACATAAAAAGTACATAGATGCTTACTGTTGCCTTATTTCAGAAGCTGTGTTCTATTGTACGGATACATTAAAGCTCACTTTAATATTGATTTTTTAAAAATAAGTTGAATTTATGGAGGAAAATATATTTCATGGGTAGGATATTTTAAGGAAGATTTAAGGATTCCCTGAGTGACCTTATGTAAAATAAAGATGTCTGGGCATAGGGCTGGTCATACTATACCTTCATAAGCTGAGGTCACTGAAACATGTGCACAGTAGACCTTCAGATTTCAAATGGTAATTATCTTAGATTATTGCAAATACTGCAATTCTGGTTTTTAGAATCAATGAACATGACTAGTTCAACTTATAGCTGATGTAGTTGTTTAGAATCAATGAACATGACTAATTCAACTTATAGCTGATGTTATTGAACCCTTTGCTCCAGTTCCACAGACAAGGTTTCTGTGCCCAGTGGCTTGGCTAAAGCAGGTCACACCCTGGTCAGTGCTGGTGCATTTGTCTTTGAGGATGATGAGGACTACTTGTCAGGTGCTCAAGTGAGCTACCACAGGCTCAAGCTGCAGGTTTGCTTATTTTGTGCTGTAGAAATAAATTCTAATTTTTAGACATTTATTTTCCTTGTTACTGTATGTACATGGGTTTAACCAGTACTGATGTGAACAAGTTCTACCTCAGTTGAAGTGTAGGATTTCTTTTTTTTTTTTATCGTTCAGTAGAAAGTTTGCTGTATAGAAATTTATTTATATTTTTGTACTGTACATAAATTGATGCAAACTATAATTTAATGAATTTCTAATAAATAAATATGACAATTATTTATATTACTTTTTTTCAGAACTTCTGTCTTTTTTTTTTTTAAACTGACCAATGTTTATTTTCTGGAACAGGTGGAAGGGTTTGAACAAACAACATCTATCTTACACAAAAGGGCTTGCAGAAGACTTATTCCATTAACACCTATAAAAGTAAGTAAAACATTTTTATTTACTCTACTCACCTTAAATGTGTTTTATATGATTCAGCCAAATTTAAGATTAAAATGACTATGAATGTTGTGATATTGATTAACAAAGTGTTTAATGTTTTCATCTTGTTACTCTTTTTATTACTTTAGTCTGATGAAACTGAACTGGAGGTTTGTTGTTATTAATGTGTTGTTTTAAATTGTCACCCAGATTTTTTTAGCAGCTAATGTGTGCCAATTTGTTTTGTGACAATTATTTTATGCTTGCATTTGAAGCAAAGAAATTGTGCAGCTTTATAAATTACTTTGAACAATTTAATTAACTAATATTTTCTTTAAACAAAAAATTTAATTGCACTTGGCTGATTTTTAAAATGTATCACTATTTTAAAAACTAATAAAATCAGTTACATCCTTATTTGTGTGAATTTTTAACTGGTGTGCAATAAATAGTTTGTTTATTTATTTATTTTTTAAATGTATCAAATTATTTTTTATGATTATTACAACAGTTATTTGTTATTTTTAAATACATGTTTTGCTTTCTATGTTTAGTGCAATCTGCAGTTTAAAATATAATTTTATTGTCCTACCTATATCATAAATCTAGAGAAATATTTGTGAAAATTAAATTAAGGATTCAACTTTGCTAATGTAGGAAAAATTAGGATGGCTTGCCTATATGAAGACATAAAGCTGATAAATTTAATACTTCACTCATTTAAGAGCCTGAACCTAAACCCTCTTCTATAAGTACCAATAAACAAGTCAGCTGATTTTCTGGCAGCTTTGCATGACATGTAGGCCTACCCAAAACTGATCACTAGCTCTACTAGACAGATATGTGTGCAGTTGTTTGCTTAATGTTGTTTTACTGTAGTAAATTGTATTCCATCTTCTTCCTAGAAACAAGGTAATTTCTATTTCTCTAAACTTGGTATATTTCAAGTTGTATGAAACATTCAATGGCTTTTATTGCTTACACAAGCTTTTAAAAAAATATTTAAGAATGGATCTAATACAAATGGATACCAACTGAGGCAGACAAATAAATCAATGTCTTTAGTCTTAATTAGACAGCTTGCAACTTCTTTATTGCTTTAATCGTAAAAATTCATTTTTAAAACTTGTTCTGATAACTATGTATGCTGTGTTTTAGGATGGTATGAAATCTTGTACAATATACCATATATTGTTTTTACGCTCTGTTTTAGAATGTTATAAAGTCTTGTACAATATCCCATACATTGTTTTTATGCTGTTTTAGAATGGTATGAAATACTGTGCTGTGATGGAGATTGATATTTGGCATGGCTGTAAGACTGTCACATTTTACTCACCTCTCAAGGTAAGCTATAAAGATTTCAAAGATTGTCAGCAGAAAATGCATATAACAGAAAAAAATATTTTCAGTAAAAATATTTTAGTCTGATTCTTTATATAGAAACATATGCACTTTTGTTTCAAATGTGTAATAAAATACTGTTATGGACTTAATAGACATTTTAAAACTCATAAATGCTTTGATTAGATTTCTTAAACTATAAATAATTTCTAGTTAGCCAATCTTTAAATTTTACATAGTAATATAATAGACATTTTAACAGTAGAATGTTGATCCCTACAGCTGGAAAACCATCTTACCATGAACATAGATGTCTACTGTAAAACAGAAGACCTCAAGAAGTTCAAGGCCACAAAAGAACTAGCAGGAACAGATAACTACTCCAAGCTGGCCACTGTCAAGTCTGGCCAGACGCTCTACTTGCCCTTGTTTGTTTCTTATCACTGCCCCCTCTACATCAAACCCTCAGAGATACAGTAAGTCAATGTTCATTGTGGTAGTGCTGTGTAAAATATGCTTTTTATAACTAAAATAATATTGAATGTGCTATTTCGGTGTAACAATAGGCATTTGAATTAAAATAATGTTGATCGTGTTAATATTAGACTTTATAGACTATTCAAAACATAATATTGTTCTCATTAAGTGAAATCTAAAAAATTATTTAACAGATTTATTTTACTTTTTGTATCAAATTATTTTTTTAAGCTACCTCATTATCTCATACCACCTAGCACTTCATCAACTCTACACACAAAATTTGAATCATAGCCATAATCACCAAGAGAACATGCATCTTAAATACAAATTTTACATTACGTCTTGCATAAAATAACAATGTCTCTGTTTTAGCTATGAGCTAACCTCCAACCCCTTGTGGTGGCAGGAAATGCTGCAAGGAAAAGACAAAGTGAAAAGTTTTCTCTGTCACTCCACACAGGAGGAGAAATCTTTTAACTTTAAGGTAGGAAAGTCTGATATTTGGGTTATTTTATACTTAAGTTATATTTATACACTATTAATTCAATAAGTAATTTTTAAAAGATTATTTTAACATGACTGTAGAACCAACTTGAAGTTCATGAAACTTTATAGATATATTATCAAAGTGTTTACAAATATGATAAAAGTATGTTGTGTAAAAAGTAATTTTTCTTTGTTTTAGGCCATCTGCAAGGAGGGGGATCCCCTGACACCCCACCAGGCTTACACAAAGCCCTTACCTTACTACACCCTCAGCTTGTATCCCCCTGTGTTTCTACACAATTATCTTCCTTATGATATTCTCTTTTCCCTGCACGTAAGTTTCATGTCAAATTTTTATATGATGTAACTATAAATTACCTATATTTTTTTATATTTTCTTCAACTGCTAGTACGTTTAAAGTTATTATGTGATGGTGTAAATTATATTCTTTATGAAGTCCTGTTTTTACTGCAAGCAAGTTACTGTATTTTTTAAATTAGCTTTTATTTAAAATTTCTTTAAAATATTGACATATGACATTTTAAATTTCTTTATAAGGTGTAGTATGCAATGGCCATTTTGTTTAGTTATTAAAATATAATTACTGAATGTGAAAAACAAAAATTGTTATTTTTAATTATTGGATACAATGGTTAGAATAGTGGATTTAACATATGCAGATATATGTAGAGTGAAAAACTTACAATTTGAAAAAAAAAGTAGCTACATTTTGTAGTGCATATAACAAAATGTCTTTATACCAGGGTACCAGCATGTCCAGTAGTCTAACACATGGAGAGATGACCCCTCTCTACACTGTGGAAACACACAAGTCCTATAAACTGCTCATTACAGTAAGTTTAGTCTTGTTGACAACTTCTTTACCTGAGTTCACCTGTAATTTTGTGGGTTGTTGAAATCTTCTTACCTGAGTTCACCTGTAATTTTGTGAATTGTTGACATCTTCTTACCTGAGCTCATGTGTAATTTTGTGAATTGTTGACATCTTCTTACCTGAGCTCATGTGTAATTTTGTGAATTGTTGACATATTCTTACCTGAGCTCATGTGTAATTTTGTGAATTGTTGACATCTTCTTACCTGAGTTCACCTGTAATTTTGTGAATTGTTGACATCTTCTTACCTGAGCTCATGTGTAATTTTGTGAATTGTTGACATCTTCTTACCTGAGCTCATGTGTAATTTTGTGAATTGTTGACATCTTCTTACCTGAGTTCACCTGTAATTTTGTGAATTGTTGACATCTTCTTAACCTGAGTTCACCTGTAATTTTGTGGGTTGTTGAAATCTTCTTACCTGAGTTCACCTGTAATTTTGTGAATTGTTGACATCTTCTTACCTGAGCTCATGTGTAATTTTGTGAATTGTTGACATCTTCTTACCTGAGCTCATGTGTAATTTTGTGAATTGTTGACATATTCTTACCTGAGTTCACCTGTAATTTTGTGAATTGTTGACATCTTCTTACCTGAGCTCATGTGTAATTTTGTGAATTGTTGACATCTTCTTACCTGAGCTCATGTGTAATTTTGTGAATTGTTGACATCTTCTTACCTGAGTTCACCTGTAATTTTGTGAATTGTTGACATCTTCTTACCTGAGCTCATGTGTAATTTTGTGAATTGTTGACATCTTCTTACCTGAGCTCATGTGTAATTTTGTGAATTGTTGACATCTTCTTACCTGAGCTCATGTGTAATTTTGTGAATTGTTGACATATTCTTACCTGAGCTCTACTTTATGTTTTAACTATTGGTGAAAGTAGGACTTTAATCAAAGTATATTTGTTTCTGGTAAAAAAATAACATACTGGCAAGACAAAACATGATCTTATTAGTGTTAGGTTCTTCAATGTCTAGGGGGGAATACACTAAATACAGGACAATACCAAGACAATGTACTTGATAAATAATGTGAATGTTTTTTTTACAGTGTGTCTTTATTATTTCACACAATAAAATCTCATGTGGCTCTCAATAATAATATATGTTCAGTCATTTTTCGACTAGCATTATTTCTTTTACTCCAGCTCCCAGACTACATGGGATCTGATTGGACAGGCACACTAGAGATATCTCACGACATGGAAGAGTTCCGGGCCATCACTATGGAAACTGAGATAGACTCAGAAAACATAAACAGACATCTAAGTCTCAGCATTCATGCAGACCAATCTCAGTCACTTGATTTGAGAATTTATACTCCATATTGGATCGTTAACAAGTCAGACCTTCCCTTGCAACTGAGGGTAATTGTTTTTAATGATTTTTTCCCTAAATTCAATGTTCATTTATTTTTAAAGTAGGCATAGCTTGCACATTGCAATATTTTAATATTTAAATTTTGTATTATTTTCTTAGGGTTCTCTGTCTGAAGCTGTGTATGAGTTTGGAAGTTCTCCTAATCCACTGCTCTTCCGCTTTAAGAAACACAAAAGGAAAAAGGTACCTGTATCATGATATTTATGTTGTATTCTTTATTTTAAAAGAATCAAAAGTAATGCTATACTACTGATTTCTTTTAATAGAATCAGATAAGACCAAATTTCTCACTTTATCCACCTTTTTATTTTTTAAAATCTTTACACTAGAGTTATTCATTGTCTTACTTAAACAAGTTTTATTTTGAATGTCCACAGGCCAAGTTGAGAGTTTACGAGTCTCGCTGGTCCCAGTCTTTCTCTACTGACACCATCGGCAGTGGCGGAGTTGTCATCTGCAATGATAAAGAGAGAGGGAAAAAATATATGGTGGGGTTTACTTTTTTAAGGAAAATAATAGAGTGGGATTTACAAGTTTAACTGGGATATACAGTGGGATTTACACCCCGTATGGTGGGATTCACAATTTTTAATAGGGGAATATATTGTGAAATTTACAGTTTAAACGGGGAAATTATAAGGTGGTTTTTTTATTGAAATGGGTGGGGTGGGATATATGGTGGTATTTACATTTTAAGGTGGGGTTTTCAATTTTTAAAATGATTGTGATGTGATAAAGGTAACAGTATCAAAACTTAGAGTGTTAATAAAATTGTTGTTTGCCTCCAGTTCCTAGTACAGATCGCTTTGTCCAAACTTCGGCTGACCAAAATTGTGACCATTCTTCCGTTCTTCCTGGTGATCAACAGCTCCAAGCAGAAGCTGAGGTACATGGAGGAGAATGAGAAGGCTGACCTGTGGATTGATATAGAGCCTGAGCAGGTGGGTTATGGAACCTGGGCAGGTGGGTTATAGAACTTGGGCAGGTGGGTTACAGGACCTGAGCAGGTGGGTTATTGAACCTGAGCAATATAGAACCTGACCAGGTGGGTTATAGAACCTGGACAGGTGGTTTAAGGTACCTGCGCAGGTGGCTTATGGAACCTGGGCAGGTGGGTTATAGAACCTAGGCAGATGGGTTGTAGAACCTGAGCAGGTGGGTTATAGAACCTGGACAGGTGGGTTATTGAACCTGAGCATTATAGAACCTGACCAGGTGGGTTATAGAACCTGAGTAGGTGGGTTATAGAACCTGAGCAGGTGGGTTATAGAACCTGGGCAGGTGGGTTATAGAACCTGGACAGGTGGGTTATTGAACCTGAGCATTATAGAACCTGACCAGGTGGGTTATAGAACCTGGACAGGTGGGTTATTGAACCTGAGCATTATAGAACCTGACCAGGTGGGTTATAGAACCTGAGTAGGTGGGTTATAGAACCTGAGTAGGTGGGTTATAGAACCTGAGCAGGTGGGTTATAGAACCTGAGCAGGTGGGTTATAGAACCTGATTAAATAACAATATAATGCAGCTTAATTGCTACAATTCTCACATGCTTAATAGTTATTTGGCACCCTGACATAGCAGTTATATAGCAGGGGTTTCTGTGCTATCTGAGTTTATATCTGTTCTTTCCTTAACGTTGTTATTTAAATAGAATCATTGCATTTGTTGAATCTGAGTAAATAATATGATGTTTAATAATAGTCTTTATGATTCTGGCAGTAATTATTTATTGTGTGTTTGTATTAGCTTTTTTGACTATCCCTTAATATCTTTTAAAAATGTGTGGTTGGGTCTAACCTTTCCTGCCATTCTCAGAATTCTTTAATACTTTAAAAAAAAATTTTGTTTAGTACCAACCCTTCTGGCCTGTGACTGAATCCCTTTTAAAAAAATTGTGTTTAGTACTAACCTTTCTTACCTGTCACACAGAATCCTTTAATACTTTAAAAAACAATTATGTTTAGTACCAACCCTTCTGGCCTGTGACTGAATCCTTCAACATGTACGTGAAGTATGATGGCAGCAATGTTTCTTCTCTACACTTCCCCATCAAGTCTTGCCACAACACTGTTTTAAGGATGGACCAAGGGGTATAACTCATGCGTTTTTCACTTGTATTTGACCATTACATTTTTTTCATTATAATCTTATTTAAGTTTACATCTATATGTTTAAGTGTATAAACATCTTGCTGGCATCTTAAGTATATTTCCTTTAATTGTATACATTCTCTTCCAAGATAAGTGAAATAAGAACGTGACTTTACTATTATAAAGAACTCTACATATTTCATCAAAGAATAGACATGCTCCAAGAGCAGGGAGACTTATTTACAATTTACAACCATTTCTAGCTATATCTATTAAAAATAATTTTTTTTTTCCATTTAAGAACACTATCACTTCTTTATTTTGTTATATTTTACTAATTTATAAAAGAATGTGCACAAAAGATTTTGTTATATTTTACTAATTTATAAACGATTGTGTACAAAAGTTTTTTTGTTTTATTTTCTAGAGAGCCCTGTGTGTGGAGGTGACAGGAGGAACAGACACCCCAATCACAATCATCTTCAGTAACTATGAGTACGGTGATGCTTGTGTCAGGGTGGAGAATCTGTGTGAAGATGTCTTCATCAAAATACATCAGAAGTAGGAATTTTTTCATTATCAGAACATCAGAAGTAGGATTCTTTTCATTATCAGAATATCAGTAGTAGGAATTTTTTTCATTATCAGAACATCAGTAGTAGGAATATTTTCATTATCAGAACATAAGTAGTTTAAATCTTTTAAAATATCAGAACATCAGAAGTAGGAATTTTTTTCATTATCAGAACATCAGTAGTAGGAATATTTTCATTATCAGAACATCAGTAGTTTAAATCTTTTAAATATCAGAACATCAGAAGTAGGAATTTTTTTTCATTATCAGAACCTCAGTAGTAGGAATATTTTCATTATCAGAACATCAGTTTTCTGAATTTTTCATCAGCTAGCATAGCAGTGGTAAAAACTGTTTCATTTGCAGAAATATATTGCACATTTTTTCTTTTTTTTTTTTTTTACTATTTTACTTATTTTTAAAAAGTGCAGTGGATATTTGTAAATGTGACAAAGTTAAACTCATGTTTATTGACCCAAATTAACATAATGGGTAGTTCTTTCAAAAGATGCTTACGCTTAACTTCACTGAAAGAGTAATTAAATATTCATTACCACTTGGATTATTAAATATAATATATGTTTGCTATTTTTAGAAACCAGAGTCAGGTGACCCTACTTTCACCCAATCAGAGTATCCTGTACACTTGGGATGAGCCATCAGCTGAGAGGACATTGATGTGGAATGTTTACAGCAGAAAGAAGCCCAGCTATCCAGCTTTTATATCTAAGGTACATGTTTTGTAAACAACAATCTCTCACAGTATTATACAGTTGGCAGTACAAAAATTGTCCCATTTGTACAAAAGTGATATACTGCACTTGTGACATTTGAATAAAAAAGGAAAACCTGCACTCCCCTAAGAAGTATAAACTTAACTGGTACCAGTGGTAAAAAAGAATAATACCCTTTAACCTACACCCTTATATCATAAAAAAGTTTAGATCAAACAAAAGCTATCTTCTATGTGTAAGTTTAGTTTAACCAGTTTCTTCTTCTTCGTTCTTAATTGTAATGTTGGACCGAATTTCCTCCAACACAATTAAGTATTACATGTCAATCTGTTATGCGCCATATAGGCTGACTCCGATTTCAACCTGCTTGACTTTTTGGATTTGCTTCCAAAAAACAATGAAGTAGTTGTCCCCAGCCTCATCTGGGATTTGAACCCAGGACTTTTTGGTTTACTGACCCGACCATATTGATCCCTCAACATGTTTAAGCATTGTAAAATTAACTTTGTTTCTTGACACCTGTTTAATATTATTAAAGGGAAACTTGAAACATACATTTAATGGTTTGTTTGAACTAATGTAAAATATGTTCTATAACTCATCTGTTCAGAACTAATATAAAACATGTTCTATAACTCAGGATGGCTCAGGGGAGGTAACACTGAGTGTGGCATCCCTCAGAAACACAGGGAACTCTGGGATAGATTTTGCTGATGCTAGAGAGTCAGATGACAGCAGTAGCCCTGCAGGTAGATAAGTCTTGGTTTTTTTTTATTAATCTTTCTACAGGTTTGATTTTTGAGGATGAGTGTTAGTCCATTATCAGAGTCTATTGGCTGCTTTTTATTTTGCCAAGATTATACCAAACTTATCTTTCATGTTATTTTTTTTTTTTAAATAAATTGTTTTGCTTGCCACCTCTTATCTTTTCCCTTTTGTGCCCAAGACACATGGGGCTGCCACAGAAAGCTCTTTCAACTTTTTTTGTCTCTGGCAACTTTCTCTTTGGTATCCCAAGATAGCTCTGCCTTACTTGCCACCTCTAGAACTATTTTATTTCTCTCCCTGTTTTTGTCATTTATTATATGAACATTAGTTCTTCACAAAATGAAGTTAGAAAAAACACATTTGGGTTGATTGTAAATCAGCTCTTTTCGTATTGAAGTTACAAGCCAAAAGTTTTTCATCCTACTTTCCTTTCGCCTGTGTTGTAGATGAAAGTGATGAAGCAGACGCACTAATGGCACCTAATGACAAGTCGCAGCTGGTGCACACGCGCGTGGACAAGCTGGTCATCTTCTGGGTGTCTTACCTAGACGGGATGCAGCGGGTTCTTCTCTTCACACAGGATGAGAGGGTCTCTAAAGCTGTCCGCAAGGTAAACATACATCTCACACCCTTAATACAACTCAGCTACGTTAAGTTATTTTAATTAGGGTCTGTCTATAAATGATGTCACATACTGAAAGTAGAGGGGTGAGAATGGATTTTGTCTTTAGGAATGTTTTTTAAGTTAGTTAATATATTCTAAAATGGTCATAAAAATTATGAGTAATTTGATAGTTTTAAAGTTTACAAACTTCAGAATAGTGAAAAGAAGGAAAAATATATTAAAGTGTGATACCATTTATAAAAAACCCTTTATGTAAATTATTATGATACTTCATAACTTTATTTAACATTTAAATGTAAAAACGATATAAATTCATCTTTCTTGTTGATTAATGTGACTATGTACGTGTAAACAGTTTTCTTGCAGTAGTTATGTTACCTGGTGCAGTAGTTCTGTTACCTGATGCAATCTGTGTGTGTAGAGTGCGTGTACTCACCCATTGCATGCATGCCTTGGTCCGTGTTAGTTTGATGCCGTCTGTTCAGCAGTTTTACCTTCAGTATATAAGCACTTTGTTGGCCGTATGCTTGTTAGATTTCATTCTGTATGTGTACTGTAAAACTGGCAATCAGATAGGGTTTATTGAAATTTATTTCTAATATATCACAGGTAATTAAGAAACTATTGTATCATCATTTAGTTGGGTGGATAATGAAATTCTACAGTCATTTTTTGTCTGCTTAGGCTTTTCTTGCTATTATTTATTTAATTGCTCAAGCTGTAAGCTTAAAGTATGAACATGCAGGGAGACCGATATTTTTTTTTTTAATTAGGAAAAACAATTGGCTAAGGCTAAGAAATGAAAACATATTGGTTGATTGAAGATCTCGGCTGGGCATAATGCTTACACACCATGTTCTTTCATATGTCAAGATTGTTTGATTTAAAGAGGAACTTTACATTAAGACCTCAAGAAACAGGTTTAACAAATGGTTATATTTCATTAAATTATTTTTTCTATTATAGTTTTTAGCAAAATTTAACTCTTATCTCTAAACAATATTTAATAATGGTTTACTTTTTGTCTAATTCATCAACGCATTTATTGGCCCATTCCGGGCTCATTTATTTGTCCATTCATAGGATCATATTTAGCCTAATTGTAAGGCACTTACCAACAAATTGTGTGTACTTCCTACTGTATTTCTATGTCTTATTCCCCCTCCCCAAAACCTTTTTACCTTTCACCAACCCCATCCCCCCACCCCCCAAAAAAAATCCTTTTACCTTTTTCCCCTCCCCAAAACCTTTTTCCCTAACTCCCCACCCCAAAATCCCCTCCCTTACCTCCCTAATATCCTTGTACTGTACTCCACTTCTTCATATTGTTTTACCTTACTCCCCTCCCCACAATCCTATTCCCCTGCTGCCCAAAAGCCCTGTGCCATGTTTGAAGTGGTTGAAAGTTGCTATTCATGTCCTCTCACCACAAAAACGTGTAAAGTGCTTGCTGCTTCTTCCTTAGGGCTACGTACAAAGTGTAGATTTGCCTCGAAGGCGCAATCAACTCCAGGTAAAATTTGGTGGATGGAACCTCCATGATGTCACAGACATTCCATGCATGCTTTTAATATGCTTTGCTTGTTTTTTTTACAAATATATTATACAAAATTTCACTTTCAAACATTTTGAATTTTTCTTTCAAATATTATCTTTGGTATTATTAACTGGGTACATCGTGTATAATAAAAATGAGTTTAATCGCATTGTTATTAGCTACTTTTTTTGTCTGAACAAAATATAATGAGCTTCATTTAATCATTTATGTGGCATTTTGTGTGTTATCTTTATTTCATGAACCAATGGTTAAAGTCATTGATTAAAGCAGTTGGCATTCTGAAGTCCAGCAACTTTATTTTGATACCAATGTTTTAAAAATAATACCAAAAAAACATTTAGAATTAAGCACCTGGTTTTTTTACACCAACATTTTGAGATTGTTTTACACTTATTAATGTTCAGGGAAATTTTTCTTTGTAGTTGCTCAAATTTGTTTCATATGTGACCCCTTAAAACTAGCGAGTTTTTTTTTAGTCCCCTTTGATCAGCTATTTCTAAATTAAAATATTTTAGACAAATATTTTAATAGCAATACAAGAGAACTAAGGTGACTTTTTTTTAAATAAGGAGGGAACATTTGCAGCTGTGTCTAATATTTGCAAAAAGTTTTACCTGATTTATTTACAAATTTAAATTATTATCCTGTCTAATAAGCCCACACTGTATGTGACTGGACATTACTGCAACAACTGGTCAGCATTTATAAAAAGTTTATGGGTCAGCAAAATTGTTACCTCCCTTGTAAGATTTTTATGCCTATTATAAATTTCAATTCCTACATGAAGAGTTCAGTGGTCCATCATCAATAAGTTTACTTTTTGGCAGAATATAATGTCATGACAAGAACTTTTGTTAGTAAACTGTATTTGATGTACCAAGTTAAGATCATTTAAATAGTGTAGATGTACTTGTTATTTTTATTTTCCTGGTAGGATATTCCATTTGTTTCAAATGAGTAAAAAAAATGACAGGACACCATCATTTTTTTTTAAACTGATTTAGCTGGAATTGATTTTGGAATTTTATATTTTTTGCTTGAAGCACGACACATGGGGCTTTTGTTGCACAACAATTATTGTTGATATAATAAATATGTAGTTTCTCATTTATTTATTTAGCAATGCTATTTTATAGTGTGGCCACATGCTTTTCACATTTTCTTCTAGTAGTCACTTTCAGATGTCCTTATTTGAAGAGTTCTATGCTAAAATAGTTACTTTTAGAGCTTTTTTTTTTATTCATATTGGATTGAAACTAACCTAGATCTATTTGGCTGGCTGATTGATTCATCTTTTTAGAAATAGATTTAGTTATTTTTAGTATCATTTTATTCTACAAAATAAAGGTTTGGTAAATAGGAGAAAATTTTATGCTATATGTGATATCTGAATTTATACAGTTTTCTTAGCTTATAAATTCTTGCTATATTGACTAAATCAGTAATTTTAGTTTGCATGTCAATATGGTTTGCAAACCAAGCATGTTAGCTATTACATCAGCATTTTCTTTGAGTTTATTTTAAGAAGACCCTACAGCTCTCTGTTGTATAACACAGTCACTTACCCTAATTCACCAGTGTATGATAATTTTATCTGGCATGTTGACCCCTTTTTATTTGGTTTACCATTGTATAGACCAGAAGTTATTGCTAGACTTAAGTATCCCTTACACATATCCCAATATTTAGATGTTTGGTGTATAACTAGCAAATCCATAGGCTACTCATAGTTTAAAATGATGTTTAGTTTAAATTTAGTATTAAAGTGTCTTTTATTAGTGTTATTTTTAAATATTAGTAAAATGTTACCAAATTATTGTTTGTAGTGTAAAGTTGTGCTGATTTTATTACTGTTATTTTGTTTGACTCAGGTGAATGAAGGAGAATATGCTGACCTGGCAGTGTTTGCTTCCCTGGAGGGCATCAGTGTGTCTGTCATTAACTCCCTGTACCAAGAGGTGGCGCTGCTGTCCATAGCCAGCAGCCCCGCGGTGTGGGAGGTGGAGGTGAAGGAGAAGTGGAGGTCCCTGAGTGTGGAGCTGGCCACCTGGCTGGAGGACCAGTGGAGGGGGGAGGTGGTTGCTGCCAGCCTTCACGACCAGATCGAGGTTAGATGGGTGTCATGGGGTGGAGCTTAACAAATATTTTAAAAACTACCCTGATTATATACACTGATGGGCTTTCCTTTTACAACATTTATTGAATTTCACAATCCAAATGGTTAAAGCATCTTTATTTTGTTAAACTATATAACATCTTCTTTGTGTGCATTTTTTATCAGAAAAATTCTGGCAGTCAATTTAGCTACATATTTAAGATTAAGGGAATGATTTTCTTGCATTTTCTTTATATATATATATATATATATATATATATATATATATATATATATATATATATATATATATATATATATATATATATATATATATATATATATATATATAAGCTCACTCCTTGTAGGGCTCACATCTATTACATATTCGCTTTGAAAACACTATCCCCCCCCCCCCTCCATCTATATCCTCCACATCCTGCAAACATCCTCCAAGCAATGCCACTAGTTGTTACTTTGGTTTGATTCATTGCTTGCTTGAAAACTTAATTCCATTTTTGCCCCGTCAAATTTTTGACAAAACTACAGTCTTTGCTCTTTGTTCATAATAGCATTGAATTTTTCCTTCTACTAAATGTGGCACTGTATTATATTCTAAACATTTTATCTCATCATAAGGCTGACCTACAGAAGATGCAGATGACCAAACCTTTCATGGGTGCCCTGAGAAGAACCTTTCACCCAGGTGTGTGGAGCCAGTACAGAAGTTCTAAACATCATGTGGCGCTGAACACAACCTTACAGACTTTACAGGTAGGGCATTTTTTGTAATAAGCATATTCTTTTAAAAGTATTCTATTGAAAAATGCAGTATAACAGACAATTAATACCAGTAATTTTTTTTTTTTAATTTAATTTTTCATTTAAATTTATAAATACTGTAAACTGATTCAACCATTGATTTGCTTTATGAATTTAAAAAAAATATTCACTTTTTTTAAAAATTAAAAATAGATTGACAACCAGTTACCTGAAGCATATTTCCCCACCGCCCTCTCACCCACTCCCATACCAACGTATATTCTGAGACGTATGGGACCCAAACCTTTCATAGAGCTGGGTGTCATGAGGAGGACTGTTCCAGAACAAAATATTGACACCATCAGGTCTGTGCTTGTTTTGTGTTCAGTAACTTTTTTAATCACTTGTAAAAACCATCTTCTTAGCTAGAAGAGTTTCAAAATAATAATTAAAGCTATTTGTTAATATAAAAAAAATTCTGCTGACAGATATGCAAAGATTCTTGTCCAAGAATTCAACTTGAAGTTAGACAAAGGTTTCCTCCTGTCCCTGGTTGATGTCCTAACTCAGCTGACCCCACCAGTTAAAGAGGTCAGTTCTTGTGTGCTCAGTGTCCAAGACACACAAACATGTTACCAAGATAGAGATTTTAATTGTTTATTTTTTATGGCATTGTAATGAAAAATATGTAAGTATATTTTGCGACTTTAAGTAATTTAAGCCCTTTTTCTTACAATATTACTTTTTTATTTATAAAGTTTAACTCTGCCTGATAATATATTACACTTTTTTACTTAAATATATTTTTAATCCTTTGTCTAGTAATATAGAACTATTACATTTTTTCACTTTAATATAGTATTAACCCTTTCTCTTTAGATATATTAAATTTTGTGATGGTAATATAATTTTAACCTTGTCTTATAATTTATTAAATTGTTTTGATTTTCATATCATTTTAACCCTTTGCTGGATACTATTTTTAGAGCTTCCAGTTACAGTGTGACCTATGTCTAGCACGCCAGTCATTGAAAGAAGCCACAGCGGTGTTGGTCAGTTCTTCTCTTGTCTTTGTCTTATGTTAGAACATTATAATAATGTCTGTGTGCTACTCTTAAGTTAGAACATCATAAAAATGTCTATTTGTATGTCTGTTCATGTGTCTTAGCTTATTTCTAATTAATGAGTGTAGTATTTTGTTGCATGTTGATTATAGATTTTAAAGAAATATTTTGATTTCAGATTGCCTCAAGACCTCAGAAGATGTACTTTGAGTACATTCATCTCTCCCCTTTAAAGGTAAATTTGGATGGGCAGTTTTGTTAAATGATAGCTTCCACATTTATAAAACACCTGGTTTATCTCTCTATTTTATCAGACAGTTTTTGTGCCTGTTATTCTATCAAAATATGTATATTATCCAATTATTTTTAAAAGATGTAGACAATTTAAGACAATTGGCTAATTTGGTTGATCTGCCTTTACTTAAGCTCTTACTATGGCCTAGTATGGGATAGGAGTGTGTTATAACTATCATGCCAAGCCACATATATTCTCCCAAACTTATGCCAAGTACCTGTTAAGGCTGAGCAGAAACTGGGACACTATAGGTCTAATAATTAAGGACTGCACCACTCCTCCATGAAACTTACATTGTGTTTGTAACCAGACAATATATTTATTGAAAAAATAACACCAACATTCACAAATGTGCACTTTTATGACCAGTCCTTAAAATCCTAAAATAATAGGAAACACCACAGTAACACCACAGCTTGATTTAGTGAGATAATTCTTGTGTACAATAAACAGAGTTATCTATCCTGTACGTTGTATTCCCTCCCTTGCTACAATTTATAACTAAAACCAATTTTAACTTACTGCTCACCAGCTTCACCTGAGCTTCTCGCTGAATGGAAAAGCCTTTATATCCCCACACAATCAAAGTCAACTCTCCAGTATCAAGGGGGACATTGTGGATTTTTTCCTCAACTCTCTGGGGGTCACACTAACAGAGATCAAGAACGTTGAACTCAGGTCAGTCATTTGTTCCCCCATAATTCTTGAAGTATTACAAAAATATAGGTCAGATAGCCAGAGTGAGGCTAAGGTCAAAAGGTCACTAACACGGGAGCTCATGTTTTCTCTGAATTTGCTACCAGATTACAATGCACTGGTGTGTGTAGACGTGTGTCCATCACACTAAGAAAATTTGCTACTAATTAAATCTACATAAGATTCTCATTTGACACATTATAAATTTTAAAATAGTAGGCCTCCATATCTACTTCATTTTGCTTTACTTTGTTACTTGACTTATTTGCAATAATTATATAAAATTAAGGGTTTTTCTCTATTAAATTTCTGTTATAGTATTTTAAAATTTAAAACAATATTTTTCCTATCTAAAAGTGTTGTGTATTTAATAAACCAGTTTTGTCACATTTGTTCAGGATGGCCTACTTTGAGCGTAAGGGTGCCCTCCTGTCAGCCAATCAGCTCTCAGCGCAGGTCCAGTCCCACTACACCCACCAGGTCCTACAGCAGGCCTACGTCCTCATCCTAGGCCTCGACGTACTGGGCAACCCATACGGGCTGGTCAAAGATTTCACGCAAGGCCTGGGAGATTTCTTCTACGAACCTTTTTTGGTTGGTTGCTTTTTACTTCACTCTCAGAGCCTATAGCGAATGAAAATAACTAAAACAAATTTAATTTTTATGCTTTTAAATTATCCGTTATGCCTACATCTGTTTGCCATTTGGTTCTCTTTATATAATAAACAATGGTGAAAATTATTTGAACTTTTGTGTGTTTAAAATAGGGGTCCATTCAAGGAAGGGATGACTTCACTGATGGGCTGACAAGAGGAGTGCAAAGCCTCATGGGAAATTCAATTGGTTAGAGATGCATTTTTTTTTGCCTTAAAAAAAATCTTAGCATTTAAAGCGCATTTATTGCAATGATCTAAAATTTAATATCAACTTTTTAACGAAACAATGCTTTAAAAATTCATCACACACAAAAAATATTTATTGCTGTAGTTAAATGTCAAATTTTAATAAAATTAATTCTATCATCTGATAAAGTATTTATTGCAACTATAATGTGCATTTGAACACCCCAGGTGGCGCTGCAGCCTCTGTTGCTGGCATAGCTGGGGGAATAGGACGGACTTTGGCTGCTCTCTCATTTGATAAAGACTACAAAAGAGTAAATTTATTTTAACTTTCCTCTCTTTTTCTGATTATGTTCAACCTTAAACCATTGATTTTAAAAGTTTTATAATTTACTAATACTAATATAATTAAAACGTGTTTCTGATTTATTTTTCAATGTAAATAGCTAACACAGTTTTTATACCCAAAAAATGTATATAATATAAAAAAAGTCTTAATAGCATTCAAAAACTTAGAATTAATTTATAAACAGATGTTTTTTACAAAGCAATACAAAAATATTGAATAGCTGTAATAAAACTTAGCCTGACTCATGATGTCATTGATCTGTGTCAGAAGCGACAGTTAAGAATGCAACAGGAGCCCAGGGGTCTGCCTGCAAGTCTGGTGCTGGCCTCTAAGACTCTGGTCATGGGGGTGGGGCTTGGTCTCTCAGGTGTCATACTAGACCCCATCAAAGGTATGGTAACATTAAATTTCTATAATTAGTCTAGTTGTATGTCATACTGGACCTATCTAAGATATAGTTTTACTTTTAGTTAGGTTACTATAATGTGACTCATTTATGTGCTGAGATATTAAGCTGAATGTGAGAAGAAAAATATTTTCCATACCACCTTTTGTAACTAATGTAGAATTTTAAACTGCCACTACTGTGCAGCAGCCATTAAATATATACTAACATTTTTTCTTGTTTATTTTGTCAATTAATTGACTATTTACTCTTTCATTATCCTGGAACTTACTTTCTTGCTAAATAACCAATAAACATTTAAAACTGTTTGCACTTTTCTGCATAGATGTCCCATTTAATGTCACCATGTCATTGTCTTACTTAGGCGCTCATGAAGATGGTGTTGAGGGATTTTTTAAAGGGGTGGGCAAAGGTTTACTGGGGCTGCTGACCAAACCTGCAGGTGGTGTAGTGGACATGGTCAGCATGGCTTTTGATGGTCTGCGCAGGTAAGTCTCGGTTGTTTTGTTTTCAAACATAAAAGCTAGATATTTTCTTAATCCCTATCAAAATTTTCAAACATTGTTTAGATTAAACATTTAAGATATTTCATTAATAAACTTCAATAGAAAATGTTATTGTAAATGTTATAAAAATAGTTATTAAGTATGATTAAGCTTAAAGTTTTTTACTTAAAATGAATCTTTTATATCCAGGTCTGCTGAGATGGAAGGGGGAGCTGTGGCTAGGGTTCGGCTTCCGCGGTTTATAAATCCACAGATTGTAAGTTGTCATTGAAAAAAATAGAAAATATAAATTCTATCTGTACACAATTTAGAAAAAATATTTTTACATCATTGGATATTGTAGTTTAAAAAAAAATTTTAAATTATTTTTGAGTACCCAAAATCATATCATGGGATGGAGTGGTCTAGCGGTAGAGAGCTGGACTGCTAACCCGTAAGTCTCGAGTTCGAATCCGGGTTCAAGTCAGTAGACCATCCCTGAGTCCACCCAACTCTGATGGGTACCTAACTCATGTTAGGGAGAGTAAAGGCGGCTGACCACACTATTTCTTCATATGCCGAGGTCACAGAAACAAGTGAACTCTACTTCACTTGCCCCATAGACTGTCAGGTTTGAAAGGGAAACTTTACTTTAAAATCATATCACAACCTCAAGCTGTTTTAGTTAAGTGAAGTATTTTTTGTAGATTGCTTACCAAATCATGTTAATTAGGTTAATTAATTTTAAAGGGTCTACAACCATGTTACACTAGTTTAATTGAATTAATTTTAAACGGTCTAGAACTATGTTACACTAATTAAATTAATTTTAAAGAGTCTACAACCATGTTACACGACTTACATTTAAGGGTCTACAACCATATTACACTACTTACATTTAAGGGTCTACAACCATATTACACTACTTACATTTAAGGGTCTACAACCATATTACACTACTTACATTTAAGAGTCTACAACCATGTTACACTACTTACATTTAAGGGTCTACAACCATATTACACTACTTACATTTAAGGGTCTACAACCACATTACACTACTTACATTTAAGAGTCTACAACCATGTTACACTACTTACATTTAAGGGTCTACAACCATATTACACTACTTACATTTAAGGGTCTACAACCATATTACACTACTTACATTTAAGGGTCTACAACCATGTTACACTACTTACATTTAAGGGTCTACAACCATATCACACTACTTACATTTAAGGGTCTACAACCATATTACACTACTTACATTTAAGGGTCTACAACCAAATTACACTACTTACATTTAAGGGTCTACAACCATATTACACTACTTACATTTAAGGGTCTACAACCATGTTACACTACTTACATTTAAGGGTCTACAACCATATTACACTTCTTACATTTAAGGGTCTACAACCATATTACACTTCTTACATTTAAGGGTCTACAACCATATTACACTTCTTACATTTAAGGGTCTACAACCATATTACACTTCTTACATTTAAGGGTCTACAACCATGTTACACTACTTACATTTAAGGGTCTACAACCATATTACACTACTTACATTTAAGGGTCTACAACCATATTACACTACTTACATTTAAGGGTCTACAACCATATTACACTACTTACATTTAAGGGTCTACAACCATATTACACTACTTACATTTAAGGGTCTACAACCATATAACACTACTTACATTTAAGGGTCTACAACCATATTACACTACTTACATTTAAGGGTCTACAACCATATTACACTACTTACATTTAAGGGTCTACAACCATATTACACTACTAACATTTAAGGGTCTACAACCATATTACACTACTTACATTTAAGGGTCTACAACCATATCACACTACTTACATTTAAGGGTCTACAACCATATTACACTACTTACATTTAAGGGTCTACAACCATATTACACTACTTACATTTAAGAGTCTACAACCATATTACACTACTTACATTTAAGGGTCTACAACCATATTACACTACTTACATTTAAGGGTCTACAACCATGTTACACTACTTACATTTAAGGGTCTACAACCATATCACACTACTTACATTTAAGGGTCTACAACCATATTACACTACTTACATTTAAGGGTCTACAACCAAATTACACTACTTACATTTAAGGGTCTACAACCATATTACACTACTTACATTTAAGGGTCTACAACCATATTACACTACTTACATTTAAGGGTCTACAACCATATTACACTACTTACATTTAAGGGTCTACAACCATATTACACTACTTACATTTAAGGGTCTACAACCATATTACACTACTTACATTTAAGGGTCTACAACCATATTACACTACTTACATTTAAGGGTCTACAACCATATTACACTACTTACATTTAAGGGTCTACAACCATATTACACTACTTACATTTAAGGGTCTACAACCATATTACACTACTTACATTTAAGGGTCTACAACCATACTCACCACATCGAGCTGCCGGCCAGAGACTTTTCCAGGGAATCCTGAAAGGGGAACTGACCAAGACGGACATTTACTGGGCTCATGTGCCACTGGGCAAAGAGGAGAAGTCAAACATCATCCTCATAACAGACAGGTAATGGGGGCTTCTATACTCATAATAGACAGGTAACATGGGCTTCTAACGTTGTGAGGTAATCAAACATACTCATAACAGACAGGTAATGTAGACAAAGCAGCTTGTAGATTTTTTAACTGCTTCCCATGTGACCCATGTGACAATGATTTTATTTAAATGATAGATTTTAGAGGGTAATATTTTAAATAATGAGATGGAGCTTTATCTAAAATTATTTAGGTTTTTCTTTTTTTAAATAGAATTATTAAGGGCATGGGCGGGTGTACTTTTCGTCATAATTCCACTAAATCATCGATTTCCCACTTTTACTTGATCTATACAGAATAACCATCGTTGCATCTAAAAATGACATTGTTATGACCCCGAAAACATTATTTATTTATGAAAAACCGCGTTCAAAGTACTGTGTACAGGGTCTTTTGTTTAATTTTTTGGTAAAAATAGCCATTTTTCGACCTAGAAAAGTACTATTAGGCTTCGTGGAAACTTAATGTGTTTCATATCAATGGAAATGCCGGGACTTCCTTTCTTTATTTAATCTAAAATTAAATGACCAATCAAAATACCTATTTTAATGTGATTATTTTTCTACGTCATAAAGTTGTTTATTTACTCAGTCGGGTTTTTCGGTATGCAAATTTTTGACCTCAATTTTTTCATTGGCCTTCAACGGCGGAAGCTAGTTAGCGATTGGTCGTTTCGCTTCGGAAGTAAACATTCCCTTAGTTTCAGCGCGTTGCTAAGTTTGATCTAGTTTTGTTTCTCTAAGCTTCTGTGAAATACTTACATTATTTTAACATATAATTATTTCAATTAAATATACTATTAACAGTTTAGATTAGTTTGTGTGAATTATCATAAGCAGTGAGACGATTTCATTTGTTTCTCTTTCGATAATGGGTAGAACAAAACACTCGCTAAAAATAGATACATCTAACTAATTTACTAAAGCTTGGGTATGTCCGAATGCAACTGATTGCAGCTACCTCTACTCAATCTAGCACTATTCAGACAAGCACTGGTGCAGATGTAATATGCACATTTACTAAGAAACTGCGACAATGTAAGACACAGTTTTTACAGACAGAAGAAAGCACTGTTACATCTAGTACTGGTAGTGCTAACTGTAAACCACAGCCATGCAGAATTATTGTCGACTGTGATTTGCTTCTTGATGTTATCAATACATTTCCTCGAACACTGTGATGTAGTGGCTACTATTGATGAAAAAAGTGTAAAGGGTTTGCTTCAAGCATGGTATGGCAGTAATAAAATTTTGTAAACCGTAAGTATATAGCTGCAAAAGAATCCAGAACAAGGCCATTCACAATAAACAAAGACATTGTCTTATCATAATTGGCCTTAGACATGAGACCATGCAAAATATACTGCTGTTTCTACGATAGCATAATTCAATTTAGCCAAGTATTACATCTTTAGACTCGGAAATAAGGAAGTTGGTACTCATCACCCGCCCATGCCCTTAACAGACAGAGGCTATAAGCAGTACATAGACCATAATTTGTGATATATGAGTTATATCTGGCTAATGTACAAATGTGTCATATATTATTTAGTATTTAGTTCATGTATAAAGTATTCATAAATTATGTAGTTCACTCTTGTTAAATTAACAAGCTGTCCATGATGAAAAATTAATAATTTTATAAACTTTTTCTTCCTCCCTTCAACCCCCCCCCCCCTCCCCCTCCACACCTCCAACCCACCCTATAGACACCTGTTGCTCCTGGAGAAGTGCAGGTTCTGGGGAGGGTGGGATGTGGACTGGAAAGTTTCTCTGGACAGAATTCTGGGAGTTCCCGCCATCAATGGAGAGAAAATGGTTTTCAAAATTAAAGAGGTGAGTGTATGGTGTTGTGATTTGGCCATTTATTTAGAAAAGGTGAGAGTATGGTATTCTGATTTGGCCATTTATTTAGAAAAGGTGAGAGTATGATTTTTTAAATTTGGCCGTTTGTTGAAAAATTTAAGAGGATGTTGTTGTGATTTAGTCATTTGTTCAAAGAAGTGAGAGAATTGTGTTTTAATGAATATTTTGCATTAATGTATTTCATTATGTGTATGTTGATTTTAAAATGTTAAAAATTATATTTTTTTGGCTGATTTTGAATTTACCCATTGAAAAAATGTTGCAACCATTTTGTTTAGGATGACTCTGGGGTGAACCTGTTTTCAAGTGGGGAGAAGGAGATCAGCAGTAAAGAATCCGACATCTTGGAGTGGGTGCAGGGTCAAATATGTAAAGTCATCAAACACAATACCCAGTAGAGACAGCAGACATATCCAGGACACACAAGACAGACTTGGGGAATTAAAGGGTTAAATCATAAAAATCAAGATAGAGTTTGCCAGAATGTTAGGTCAAATGTTAAGATCAACTATAACACAGTCAAGTTTTTGTACTGCAGTAAATTGCATTTTTATTTTTTTTAATTTTAACACATTTTTTAATACTTATTTATTGTTTAAGTTGAACTGATTTTATTTTGGGAAAAAATAATAAACTTAGATGACATTATGTAATTGCTGTGGTAAACTGTTTTAATGTATATAAAGTTGCTTTATATGATGGAATATTTACCTATGTTTTGTGGGAGTACTGTTTTTTGTTAATCAATTTGTAAAACACAATCAGATTCCCGCATAAAAAAAACTGTGATTAATTTGTTGTTAATTAGTATGTTATTTTTTTTTTTATTTTGTTAAATCTGTAAAAAAAAATGCATTTAGATATTAAATAAGGCAATACTAGCCAGTTAATATGAATGTAACATATACACATATTTTATTTGTCTTTATTACTATGTATTTAATTATTTTAGTTATTTCTATTGTTTTAGGCTTACATATCAATAGTATTAGATTTGAAGTAATATTTTATGTTAAACTTTCTTTTTAGAAGGATAACTCACTAGGCATTTTTTCTAGTCTAGTTTATAGGCCTAAATAATTTTATTTCATATTTTCTATTTTAGTCTTATATTTCAAGGGTCTTTAGGTTTACAAAAAGCTATAAGATAAATGTTTAATATCATGAGGGTATAGTTTTACTTGAGCCTACAGAAGATGTGCAATATGTGTGGTTTAATTGGTGGAGGAATTCCATTATTTGTTATGCTCATGCATATTTTATTTAAAAAAAACAATAATATCTTTATTCTGTTAAGTGTAAAGAGGGATTAAATACTGAGTTTTAAGGTAAATTAATCCTAATGCAAGCAATTATGTTATTGTTTGCAACACCATGCTTTATTTTTCTGTTTATTTTTGAGGTTATAATTTTAAATTAACAAAACCTGTAGAAGCAAATAATTGTAAAAGCTAAACAAATATTTTTTTTGGTTCAAAAAATCTACTTATATAATTAAAGGATGTACATTTATTTTTATCATGGTCATAAAAGTTTGGCTTAGTCCATGTAAACATGAGTAGAATTTATGTAATATATTTTGTTGGGTGCTTGTAAAACTGTTGACAGGTTGAAATTTAAATTTATTATGTGGGGTTAATAAATAATTGGAATAATTATGAAGTATAAAAATCAACTTTTTTTTTCTAATTTCGGATTTAAAATGCATTTATTTAAATTTTATTTTAATGAAAAGAGTGCAGTAATAACTCTTCAATGGTGCACAGTTTCAAGTCATGTACTGGAGTGTTTAATCACATAGACTGACAACTAAATAAAGTTTATTTACTACCATAATATACAACCAATACAACCTTGGTTTTTCAACAATTATCAATTGAAAATATCTCCCTGTTGTTCAGTGAACTGTGACTGTTAAACTGTGTGTAAAAATGTGTTATTTTTAGCTGACGTACATATTTTCTTACAAGTGTAACTAAATTGCTTAATTTATACATTCACTGTGATCAATTAAAAGGGGACATAACCCTACAGCTTACACATCTCAATTAAACATTTTCATTAACACCAATTTATTTTCTGTTTATCTTGTCTGAAGGAAGCTAATATTATGGTAACTGTGGTATAATTAAATCCTAATTAAGGCAGTTAATGAAAAAATATTACCTTAATTTTGATGTTGTTAGTGAACAGTGCTTGTGACAATGTATGTGCCCTGTCTAAACTTGTATGACTATGCCCTGTCTAAACTTGTATGACTATGCCCTGTCTAAACTTGTATGACTATGCCCTGTCTAAACTTGTATGACTATGTTCCTGTTTTTTTTAATAAATGGCAAATCATGACAGACTTTTTTTTCTACATTGGTTTATAATAGTACAGTTTAGTACATCCATTGTGTTCTATTTTGTTGATTTAAAGTTCACTGTAGCCTAATTGTATTGTAAGCTCTATGGGACATTTTACATGAATTAGCTTCTAATTACTATTCAAACTATTCACAGTTAGAATTCTCTTGTTTACTTATTGAAACAATTTGACTGTTCATATTTCAACAAATTTTGTTCATATAATTTAGTTGCTGACCACTGTTTAAATAACCTTATTGAAACATGTGCTGTCCTCATAGAGACAAGAGGAATCCTCCATTACTTTCTCATTGTTTTTGTATTTGCATTTTTTTGTGTCATATGATTTAATGGTTAAATTATCATATTGTTTACTAGTAAATACTTATTAATAATGTATGTAATTATAGGCCTACATGTTTGCATGTCTTTCTGTGAAGGATTTTATTTATTCACTTGTCATCACATCAGTTTTTTATTTTTTATGTCTTATAGCATTGCAGAAAACATTGTAGGCCTAAACTTTCACATGAAATCTAACCCAAAGCTTCCTCTCAATGATCACAATATTTATACATGTGTATTGACCCAGAGGTCACTGGATCAGTACTCAACCTACTCAAACCCACTCAAAGCCAGGATGAGCCCCAAAGATTGCTATTTAACACATCCTGTATAGTCAGTTGGGCATTGCTCAAGTTGGTTAAGCCAAGATAAGGGAGGCAACAAAATTATTAACAACATAAACAATATAGCAAATATTTTGAGCACTTGATGAATAGATTCACTGAAAAAAAAATATGTTAAATGTATTTAGATATCAGTAGGTCTGTTAGAAAGGCAGTAACTTATTTTATGTTTACCAGTGTGTTTATCCATTGGACTCAAACATGCTGATAGTTCAGTTGCTTTTCCAAATTTTAGGATAGTGATCTCCCTTTATGTTAGCTTGATAGTTTCCCCTGTATGATTTGCTTTTGAACAAATAAAAGAACATTTGGAATGTATCATATACCAACATCTTCACCATGCAGTTTAATACTTGTTCCTAGAATTTTAACAAAAATGTTATGCAATTTTGGGAACAAATTTTTCTAGACACACCCATTTTACAATGCATTCCAATATCACAATTATGATTTATACATTTACCATTCTGTAGATGTTATATTTAAATTTAATGGCACAGAGCCATTAGTTGTTTTATTTATAAAACCTGAAAATATTGTCATTGTTGGTCTGTGTATATGTACCTATAAATTACATGGTATTGTGTTCGTCAATTCTACAATTAAGTGATCATAAATAAATATTTCTCTAATACAAGCGGCTGTTGGTGTTTCATTTATATATATATATATATATATATATATATATATATATATATATATATATATATATATATATATATATATATATATATATAATATATTAGCTAAGTTACATACAATTTCTAAGTTGAATTATTTAGCTTAACTATTTTTCTCCTTGAAAATGCATGGCAGTCTCATCCACTTTTCTGTATAAGGTGAAATAAAAAACCAAATTTCCCCTACACCACCTTAAAGGAAGACCACTCATTTTAAATCATTTCTGGACACTCCCCACCTCCCAGATACACACACATAACCCTTGACACAATAAGGTTGGACAAAAATTAATTATATTTTTATTATGGGAGAAAATATTTTTGAGAAAATAGTTAATCACCTCCTTACCAGCATCACCAATATTGACTCAGCTCGGTCAAAATACTTCTTATCCAACCACTTACAGCAAGGCTAGGGTGAATTTGCCATAAATATTAAATCAAAAGTATCCCATGGTACATAAAAAAGGAAGCACTAAAAAAAAAAAGCAAAGCAAACATATTATTATTATTCCAATATCACTAAAATAATATGTATGAAACGTGTGTTTTTGAGCCTATGGTACGTAATTGTGTATTTCTAGTTTCTTCGATTAGAATTGTATTGGTTATGCCGCTTGAATTTCAATGTTTCAAAAAATTGCAAAAAAATGTATGGTCAAAGGGAACCGAACATGAAAATGTGTCACCATATAGTTTAGCCGAGGTTGTCTCGCTTACGTATAATTTTTTTTTTTAATTTATTTTTTTTTTTTTTGCGGGGTAAATTTAATTTAATTTAATTTATTACCATTGAAGTGAGCTTACAATTACGAGTTAATTATTTCACATTTTAACTGCATAATAATAGATAGTAATGTTTGTATTTATTACTATATAAATGTAATATCACTTTTAAACAAAATAAGCGAGATAACCTCGGATGAACTACAAAGTGAAATAATTAATTTGTTTATTCCGTTTTGACGATACATTTGCTACGGAAAATTAATCACTTTGAGGAAAAAAGCAACCAGAAAAGCGTAACGTCATCTATAAGATCCCTTTCTTCCAGAAAATTATTCATTTTGAAAGTTTAACATTGATTTAATTTATAACGGCATATGAAATGTTCATTACACAATGATACTTCTGATATTGAGCCTATGGTACTTAATCGTGTATTTCTAGTTTCTACTGAGATTTTTGTATTGGTTATTCCGCTTGAATTTCAATGTTTCAAAAAATTGCAAAAAAATTACGGTCAAAGGGAAAGAAACATGAAAATGTGTCATTACTTAGTTTAGCAGAGGTTGTCTCGCATACGTAACATTTTTTTGGGGTGGGGTAAAATTTAATTTATTACATGCCTTATGCGTATTGAAGAGCCTACAATTACGTGTTAATTATTTCCCATTTTGTTAACAACATTATAATAAATAGTACTATTTGTATTTAGTACTATTAATTTCAAAATACCTTTAAAAAACATTTAAGCGATGAACTACAAAGTTAAATAATTTTATGTTATTCCCCTTTGACGATACATTTGCTACAGAAAATTAATCACTGAAATTCAAAGCGGGATAATACATATAAAATTTATGATGGTTTTATAAAAACATGACTATCTTTCTTAGAATTTTTTCACAATTAATATTTTTCGTTTAGGTACCTAATTAAGAAAACGTAATTTTAGTCTTTAGAAAATAAAAAAAAATCAAATACAATTATTTTAGGGAGGGGGGGGGGGGGGATAGGCTGAGGTTTAACGTTATTTAGAGGTAGTAGTGTAGCTTTTTACGACGTGTGAGGATGAAAGGAGGTAAAAAGCGTCCAGCTAAGCGTATCGTCATTTTAAATTACCCCTTTCTTCGGGGATAGTATTCCTTTTGAATGTTTAACATTGATTTAATGTATGATAGTATTTGAGATGTTCTTTACATTAATCTTTATGATACTTCTGATATTGAGATTATGGTACATAATCGCGTATTACTAGTTTCTTCTCTGATTGTTGTTGGTTGTTCCGCTTTGAATTTCAATGTTTCAAAAAATTGCCAAAAAATTATGGTCAAAGGGAAACAAACATGAAAATGTGACATTACTTAGTTTAGCAGAGGTTGCCTCGCTTACATTTCAGTTGTTTTTTGTTGTTGTTTTTTTTTTTTTGTCAACTGCAAATAATTAATAGAAATATTTTTATTTATTACTATTATTCCAATATCACTAAAATAATATGTATGAAACGTGTGTTTTTGAGCCTATGGTCCGCTTGAATTTCAATGTTTCAAAAAATTGCAATAAATGTATGCTCCAAGGGAAACGAACATGAAAATGTTTCACCACTTAGTTTAGCCGAGGATGTCTCGCTAACGTAACAGTTGTTTGTTGTTGTTTTTTTTTTTTTTTTGTCAGGTAAAATTTAATTAAAATTTAATTAATCACAAGCGTTATGCTTATGAGGAACAAACTATTAAGAGTTAATTATTACACATTTTTTTAATTGCATAATAATAGATAGTAATGTTTGAATTTATTACTATTAAATGCAATATCACTTTTAAAAAACAATTAAGCGAGATAACCTCGGCTGAACTACAAACTGAAATAATTTCATGTTTATCCCCCTTTGACTGTAAGTAAAATTCAAAGGGGGATAATTAATATAAAATTTACGATGGTTTAAGAAAAACATGACTATCTTTCTTAGACTTTTTTCACAATTAATACTGTAATAGATCTGTTTGTTTTTACAAGAAAAGTATTTTTTTAACTATTAAAAAAATTGATTATGGTCGGCTAGTGGTGTAGCTTTTTACGAAGTGTGAGGATGAAAGGAGGTAAAAAGCGTCTAGAAAAGCGTAACGTCATTTATAAATGACCACTTTCTTCGGGAAAATTATTCGTTTTGAAACTTTAACAATGATTAAATTTATGATAGCATTTGAAATGCTATTTTTAGCGCAATTTCCATACTGGGATTGCGATTATTAACTCGTCATTTCTGGATGGATGTGTGTCCGCAGCCTTTAAGTCGTATCTCCTCCTCAACGAAGCAATATCGAGGACTAGTTCCAAAAGCAAATATGTTAAGCAAGTTCCGAGGATGAACATAGGCCATAAAAATTCCCGGAATTAAAAAAACCTCGAACAAATGCAGTTTTTGCTCCATATCTCGGCAACTAGACCACTTAGCGACTTGAAACATTTACCAATCGATTCCTGCCATAATTTAGAACAATATTGCCGAAGAAAGTTTTCAAAAATATCCTTTCGTTCGGTCACAAAAAAAAAATTAAAATTATTTAAACTGAGCATCGTGTAGGCCTACTCGTTAAAATAAAACTATTTCCGTTGATATTTTCTATTACCCTCTACACGTCCGCATATTTTTTTAAATCTCGTTAATAAATATTTTTTCTATTTTGTTTTGAATTATTAAAACTACTTGTGTTGCATTATTTATTTGCTGAATATATGATTTATCTCGATTTAAAATTGTTATGGATAACATAAGGAAATTGCGCTTAAATTTTCACTAGACTTTTTATTAACTTGTTTTAATATAAATTTTTATGATACTTCTGTGGGTGGTTCTTTACGTTTTCTTAAATTAGAAAAGAATAGTCTATATTGCTATATCCTTTTGTCTTTTTTAGAAAGTACACCAACCTGGTACAAATTAGTTTATGTGAGGTCAGTGACTTGTGCCAGTCTCGAGAATGTGGGAGGGGAGAGCTTATAACGATTGTTACTGGGGGGGGGGGGGAGGGGGGAGCGCGTATATCAGGGATGGGGAAGGGGTTGACGCTGGTGAAATTATAAATTGTGTATATCAAGTATAGGCCTTTATTCATTTATTTTTTGTTTTAGGGGATGCGTGAAAGAAAACCGGTTCAAACGTTTATTAAACGTGTATAATACATTTCCTAATTTTTATTTCGAATAAATGGAATTTATTTAGTAAACATATCCTTTATCCAGTGCCCCCCCCCCAAAGAAATATCAATTAAGACAATTAAATACAGCAAAGTTTCCCTCTAAAACACTGCCGGACATTCAAGTCTGGGTGAGGACGTCTACATCCGTTTATAAAAGTAATCAGAATTGTAGTCGATATGTTGGCTCGGTCTTCTGTTAAAGCAGAATTTTGACTTAAATCATGTCAACTGGACAACGAAAAGCAACGTAAAACCAAACAAAAAACTTCGGTCTAAGTATTAGTAAAGAATGCTTTATAACAGTGGCGTAGCGAGGTCGGGTGTCACCCGGTGCGGCACTTAATGGTGTCACCCCCCCCCCCCCCCCAGAGGCGTTGCGACCCTTCCCGGGGACAAACTTTCAAGTTTTCGATTTGCACCCCCCCCCCTTCAAACTTTCGATTTGCACCCCCCCCCCTCAAGTTTTCGATTTGCACCCCCCCCCCCCCCATCAAACTTTCGATTTGCACCCCCCCCCTCAAGTTTTTCTCTATATATTTTGCTATTTTTTGCCTTGGTGTCACCCCCCTAAATGGTGTCACCCGGTGCGGTCCGCACCCCCCGCCCCTCCCTCGCTACGCCCCTGCTTTATAATGTATAGTTATCTCTCTCCTCTGTTTACTGAACTTACACTACAATCAGCTTGTGTACTAAAAACAGCACTTGATAGAGCAGCGTCGACAAAATGGCTTCCGCCACAATCCATAAGTCTCAGGTATAAGTATAATGTTTAAAAAAATAAGTTTTTACTAATGAATGTGTTCCACGAAACTTCTGATAACCACAAAAAGATAAAGCTAAACAAAACAAACAAAGACAAAGGCAAGTCCTTTAGACCTAACTACGAAAAAAAAATTGTTCTTATGATAGAAAATAAAATTTATAAAATTAACACATTAAATTTAAATTATTTTTTATTGCATATCAAAGACGGCTTTAACACCTTTGAAACCTTCAGTAGCCTTTTCAATAGCAGCTTTGTAATCCTCCAGTTTGAAGAATTCACACAGTGGAGGCTTAAATTTTGACTCTTTAATGAGCCTAGAAAGATCTGATAACATTTCATATCTGGCAATATCAGTTTTATGAATGCGATTCCAGTTTGTGTTCCAGTACCCACACAGCACCACGTCGCTGAAGATAAATGCACGGGAAGGGACGGAGACCGGAAGTTTGGACATCCCACCATACGTCACCATTACACCTTTTGGGCACAGATGACGTAGGAGGTCTGTAGCTGACTGTCCACCTACACAGTTAAAAGCCAACTTTGGAGTGGTGGGAAAAGTTTTTAACAATTCTTTCATCTGTGGAGAACGCACAAACTCTTCAGTAACAACGGCATCAGCACCAAGCGATAACAAATAATCTGTTAATTTATCAAAGTCTGGCCTGTTTCTCACAGTGTTTATTGTTTTAAATTTCCACTCTTTAGCAAGTTGAATGACACTTACACCAACTCCACTGTTGGCGCCATTTTGAATAATTACATCTCCAGGTTTAAGATCGACAAAATCTTTGATCATGCGATACGCCGTGCACGGGTTGGCTGATATAGTGGCTGCCGATATTAGAGGAACATCTCCCGGGAGTTTGATGACGTCCTTGTCTTTTGAAATTTTAAAAGTCTGCCAAGTCCCGAACCCGGCGTCTGCTGGAATGACCAGATCACCTGCTTGAACACCCTGTACGTCTGCTCCAACCTCAACAACTTTGCCAACGCCCTCGTTGCCCATCACCGCAGGAAGGGGCGGCTGCACGGAGTACGTTCCTTCTATCATGTTGAGATCCGCTGGGTTGACCGGGGCCATCAGCATCTGTACGGCGACATCCGTCGGTCCCAGAGTTTCTGGCAGCTCGTAACGTCTCAGTTTTAACACAGTGCCTGGGTCCCCGCACTCCTCAACATACAGCTGGTGTGACGTCATCGTTCGAAACACTACACTTGACCGGCCGTGCTGTAAAAAACAACGCGACAAGAGTTTTACCGTAGTGAAAGCCATCGTTAACTTGACGGGTCGGCTGAGCGTCTTTTTGTATCCGAAAACGGATGTAGCCAGCCAATGAACGAATAGACCAGTTACATATCCGGATGTCTAGTTTTATAATTAGTGCAGGTCTGGATTTTAAAGAAAATCGTCCACTTAATTAAAACCAGCCGTACCGTAATCGCGTTACAATGCATAGGCGTAGCGACCCATTCCGGCGCATTGGGGCGAACTATCAATGTTGTGCCACGCCCCCCCCCCCCCCAATTTATAATTCTATAACTTATAAGTCATAGTTATTCAGGCTGGTATATAGCAACCCCTTCCCCAAATTTAGAACGGTCGGGGCGCTTTTTAACTATCACGGTCCCTGTTTCTGTGAACTGCCAGGTACTCCATCAGAGCTGGGTTCGCTCGCCTCCTAAAGTTTCAGTATTTTGGGTCTAAATTGTGACTTCTTCCCATCTCATATTTTAAGGAATGACACAAAAATAAACAAAGTTAAATTTAAGCATTACAAATCACTTCAGGCCTAAATCCGCGGTTTATCATCGTTTTAGTTTATTTTCTTTTCACTACCTTTTTTGTAAATTGTATACTCATAAAATAAAAGATTAAACATTATGTTGCAACAACAGGTGGGGTGCAGTATGTTCTGCCTGTACGGGATGGGGGAGAAACAATCAGTCCCACCCGTGGCCTTAAAGAAGTCCAGCTACACCCCTGCACACAAACAGCTGGTCAGAAGATTACTCTTAAGTATTTAATTATATTATTTAAGACCAATAGCTTTGTGAGGGCAATGATGTTTTAATAACCTGTTAATTAAGAAAAAGAACACATTGAGGGGGGGGGGGGGGGTGTGTCATTGATAAATGTGATAAATGACGTCATACATCTTTGCCGATTTTTACACCACCCCCCCCCCCCCCTAATACATAGTTTTTTTTTCAAAAAATCTTTTCCTAGCTTGATCAACATTAAGTAGATTAAAAATGCGCAAAACTGCTTTTACTTTTAATAACAAACAATTGCAATTAAAATTCAGTTTCAAACATCACTTTTTTGAAATGAAAAAAAAAGTCACACTTTCTGATCCTCACCCTTCATTCCTTAGACACCCTCATGAAATTTCGACCCCCCCCCTCCCCCCAACTGGATTGTGACGTTATTTATGTAGGACCCTTGAATTAAAACACTACACTTAGCAAAACACAAAATAACAACAGGTGAGCACATATTTTATTCAGCTTAATTTAATGAACATGCTTAGGTGAGATAAAACACAACAAGATCACCGTACAATTATTATGCAGGATATGACCAATGTACACGTCACTTGAGGCTATCAACTAACACTAATCTAAATGCTAATAATCTACACACGTATGTGGTGTTAACTAATCTAAATGATAATAATCTACACATGCATGTGGTGTTAACTACACTGAGTAGAACTTAATCAATACATCAGGTACATGTGGCTGGTATGAGTAATATGGTGAACAGAATCTTGATTATCCATAGAGGGGAAAGGGAAGAAAAGTAAAATAAAGAAGTGAAAAGAATGGGCAAGGGGTTCGGTCTGGTCAGTAAAGAAACCATGACTAAGTCCCGAGTTCGAACCCTGAGCAGATGAGACTTGATAGCTGGGAACCACAACCCATCTAGGAGAGACAACTCCAAGATCAAACAACTGCTGCCTTGTAGTCTGTTCTTGGATGGATAAAAGCTATGGAAGAAAATCTAAAAGAAAGGCAGGCTGAAGTCGGGGTCAACGGCCCATGATACTCCTATTGACACATAAGCCTAATACTTGTGTTGGAGTACGAAGTAGAAGGAATGGACAATGCTTCATTAGAGCACATATAATGTGTTTCTATAGTAATTCTGAGGTCCATGGGTTTGTTTTTAGATAATCATCAACAGGCATTGAACATTATCATTAGTCCATGTGATTTATTTTACCTCACATTACCTAGTTGGTGTCATAATCTCTGTTCACGTAACAGGGGACACTATTTTAATAACAGGGGACACTACTTTAATAACAGGGGACACTACTTTAATAATGCTACATCACATGACTGGCATAGCTAGCTCCCTTCTTCATTTTGACATGTAACAGTTATAAAATACAAAAACACTGTAGGCCTATATAAAGCCACCTTTACTTTCCCTCTTTTATGTCAGGTATCTCATTCAGCTGCTGTATAATTTATCATGTAATTGAGGTCAGTATTCTCGTTCTTTTTTTCAAGGACAGTACTAGAGGTAAAATCTTTCAACATACATTGTGTTACTCATAGAGGTAATACTACATATCAACAGCAAAAAATCAACACCTGATTGTTATTACCATCTTAGTATCAAACTTTGTGCTTAAGAAGTGGTGGGATTTGAAACAATGTGAAATTTACTTTTTTAACATGAGGGAGAGAAAGATCTAATCATACAATAGGAGTAGATGAAAAAATTCAACGTTATAAAATCATCACATGAAACAAAACAAACTTGTCCATTTCCCATTTGGTGCTCATACTTCTTACAATATCTCAGACAAAATTAATCAAAATGTTTTGCAGTAATTACAGAGTAAATTGAAAACCACATGCATTTGTCAAGCTACTTTAAAAAAAAACTTTTACTAGATTTCCTTCTGAACACTTATTAGCAATTTATATTTGTTAGTAAACATGATTTACATTCTACTGCATAGACAATATGTTTATTTACATTTTAAAATTCATTTTTTTTAATGTATCAAAAACAGTAACATTAAAAAGTATTTTTTCAAAACTATAAAATGTAACAAAATAATTCTGATTAGCTTTTTATAATGTACAGAAATTTCAGAATGTACTGTCTACAACACGGGTTCCCAACCTGGGGGTCGCGACCCCCCTGGGGGTCGCGAAGGGCTTTCTGGGGGGTCGCCAACTGGTATACTAAACCTTAGTAATTTGAAACAAAACAAATATTTAGAAGAATTTTTGAAATTCGGCTTTACTAACATCACTGGAAGAAGCAAAGCGTACTGTACAAAGTTGTTCTCAGTCACGAGTTTATGAAATCTTCAAAACTAAAACGTCATTTGATATGAGTCATTCGAAACGCACCAAAAAAGATATGGAGTTCTTTCGTCGTTATGAAGCTAGTTGCAAACGTCAGAGACTTGATCGAACAGGAAGTTTTCACCAAGGAAACACAGTATTAGTGCAAGCATCACATGAAGTCGCGACAGAAAATGCCAATAAAAAAAAAAACACAATAGGAAAACATCTCATCAAACGCTGAATGTTGAAGTTGGTGAAGTTAATTCTTACATGTCCGTAGATGTTAAATAACACATTTTTATTGAAATTAAGCTTTCACCATTGTTTGCTTTTCAAGTTGATAAATCAACAGACGCGTGTTCGTGTTCGCAGTTGCTAGTCTTTGTCTATATTTATTCAGATGATAGCAAAGAAGAGTTGCTCTTTTGTGAAGATAGCATGGAGAAAATAAAAACGTTTTTTTTTAAAATTGGATTATTAAAATGGGTTAAAACGGCTGTGATGGTTTGTACGGATGGTGCACCATTTATGGTTAGGTCAAACTCGGGCTTTCAGAAAGCAGAAAAGATTTAGCTCCCTAACCACTGCCCTCACCAATCGCCATCAAGAGTCCATTGCTAGTATAAGTCGTAAATTATATAAAATCTGGAGCCTTCAAAGAACTGAGCAAAGACCTGAATAAAGATCACGAGGTTCTGATCTTCAACACTACAGTGCGCTGACTGTCAGACGAAATGCTGTGAATCGTGTTTTTTAATTGAAATCTGAAATTAAATTGTTCTTGGAAATGCAAAGGAAACAAGACCTTTTGGTATACTTAAAACGACATAGAGTGGTTGGAGAGAGTATCATACCTAGCAGATGTGTTCGTACATTAACATAAGCATAACCTGAAGCTTCAGGGAAAATGAACGAATATTATCACTTTCCATGATAATCTCGGGGCATTTTTATCAAAGCTGCAAAATTGGCGAAGAAAAAAAATCTTGGAAATACTGTTAATTTGAGAAACTCTGCAGTGTGGTAGATGAATCTAATTGTGAGATAATTAAAATTTTGAAAGAAGAAATTTCAAGGCATCTTGAATCTATTGAAAACGAACTGCAGCGCTATTTTTTCTCTGAGCTGAAAAAAAAGAATCTGTTTTGACGCATTATCCATTCTCTTCTTCCCTTAATTTTGCCAGCATTCCCGATGAATTACAAGATGAATTCTTTGATTTGTAGAATGATTCCGCGTAAGATGAAAACTTCAGACACAATTTTGGTGTAGTATTAACCGTTTATATCCAAACGTAAAATTGATTGACTTTTCGAGAATATAATTTTATTTTGAACACTATTTTTTCAATTAAAAACAAAATTAAGATAATGATAATGACATAGGTTGCCGTTAAAAAAATACTTTTAAAAAAATAAACCGCGAATGTTTAGTTAATAGTATGCAATTTTACTCATGGTATTAAAACAGTTATCAAGAGTAGTTCATATTGAAAGTCTACTAGAAAATCTTATTTTAGTGCTTATTATTTCCATACAAATTTCGGCTTTTTAATTCTATGGGGGTCGCGGGTCACTTAATTTTTATAAAAGGGGGTCGCCACTCGAAAAAGGTTGGGAACCACTGGTCTACAATATAAAAAAAAATCATTTTATTCCCTGACAAAGAAACCAAAAGAGAAATCTAATACTTATAGTGGCGTCATTAGTATAAGTATAAATATACATCAACAATATTAAAATCCAAAGTAATCAACCAGCGTATACAAAATTATTGTCTTCTAGCATATTTTATAGCATGTGCTTTTAAGTATCGGTACCTGTGGGTTTTATTGAATAAAAGTATTATATTTTAAAAAGGCAATTAAACTTGTCTAGAGAAAATTTGCAACAAAATAACGTTATAATTATGAAAACATTTCCCCAAGTTCTTTTTCCTAAACATTTATAGTATAAATATCACAAGTCTAAAGCTATGTAATAATACTTAAAGGAGATTTCTACAGTTCAAACAAATTCCAGTTTTAAAGGGTTCACTAACTGAAAGATATGAACCATTCTCATTCATTTTTATAAAACATTTTCACTGCATATCAAAGACAGCTTTAACACCTTTGAAACCTTCAGTAGCCTTTTCAATAGCAGCTTTGTAATCATCCAGTTTGAAGAATTCACACAGTGGAGGCTTAAATTTTGACTCTTTAATGAGCCTAGAAAGATCTGATAACATTTCATATCTGGCAATATCAGTTTTATGAATGCGATTCCAGTTTGTGTTCCAATACCCACACAGCACTATTTCTTTGAATAGCAATGCACCTGTAGGAGCCATAACTGGACGTTTGGACATTCCACCATATGTCACCATTACACCTTTTTGACCCAGGTGACGTATAAGTTCTGTTGCTGACTGACCACCCACACAGTTAAAAGCTAGCTTTGGTTTTTTTGAAAAAGTATTTAACAATTCTTTCATCTGAGGTGTACGAACAAACTCTTCAGTAACAACGGCATCCGCGCCAAGCGATAACAAATACTCTTTTAATTTATCAAAGTCTGGCCTGTTTCTCACAATGTTTATTGTTTTAAATTTCCACTCTTTTGCAAGTTGAATGACACTTACACCAACTCCACTGTTGGCGCCATTTTGAATAATTACATCTCCAGGTTTAAGATCAATATAGTCTTTAAGCATACGGTATGCTGTGCAAGGGTTTACTGAAATAGTGGCAGCTGATAACACAGAAATATCATTGGGCAACTTAAGAACATCTTCATCATGGGAGATTTTGTAAGTTTGCCAGGTACCCCATGCTGTGTCTGCTGGAATTACCATATCTCCAACCTGAAGACCTTTTACTTCGGGTCCTGTTTCAACGATCTGGCCAATACCTTCGTTTCCCATTACGGCTGGAAGTGAAGGCTGTACGAAATAAGTGCCTTCCATCATGTTTACATCAGATGGATTGATCGGGGCCATGAGCATTTTCACCATGACCTCTCTGGGTCCTAGTGTAGGAGATAATTCCTGATGCCGTTGTCTTAATACTGCTGTTGGATCACCAAATCTGAATACGTATAGTTGTGAAGAAGTTATTGAACGCACCGCTTTACATCCATCACTATTTAAAAGTATTTTAAATAAATTGCGAGTAGTAAATCTCGCCATGGAGGTCGCCATCTTTGTTATTGTAGGAAGCTACTATTACGCCTGCGTAGACACATGGCAACAGCCGAAACAAAATGGCAGCATCCCTACGTAAACAAATTTAAACAACTGAAGAATTGGCCTAAGTTGTTTATTGTCATAAGAGATGGCTAAGGCTGGGAAGCGAGGTAAAAGTGCGGATGTAAAGGGTAATTTTTCTTCCACGGGAAAAGATTTGGGCTTGTCCGCTGTGTTTGAAGAGGTAAACTAAAAGTAAATTTATTTTGGCTACAATTTTTTACTTTGTTTTGTCTTCAAATACTCTGTGAAACTCAACAGCTCAGTCTTCTTATTTATTACTTATTACTTACTAGTAACTAGAGCTACTTATTCTTTTTACTTATATTACTCTTTCTGTAAATTTTAGACTAGATCAAGTAGACTAGTGTTAGTCCTCCTAACTCAGTACAGTAGGTTTTTACGGTAATCTATCGTTTTGGGTACGTAAAATCGCCCGCGATTTGTAATGTGAAAAACAGGTGACTCCTTAAATTTTAATAATTATTTCACATTTTGAGGAGGATTTATGTTTTAAAAAATTCAAAAATGTTTCCTTGATTCATTTATGTACCTGTTTTTAAACAATTGAATTAAAACTTTTCCGTAATTAATGAAGACTAGCGATGTTTCCAACAGATGCAACCATGCTCATTTACTACAGCAGCCATCTTGTCTAAGTTTTATTTTCATAAGCTTTTAGCGCCAGATTCAGGGGGAAGCCACTCTATTTTACAAATGGCTGCTGTTTATATAGCAAATCTTGCTCTCAGACACTGCTGTTTAAAGTTAATTTCTGGCCTATATCGATATATTTAGCCATTGATTTAGGTTTATTATTCATTTATCTATAATATTTGACACAAACATATGACAATATAATTCTATTAAAACCTTGACAATGATGTAACGTTTTCGTACATAAATAGCCGCGGGCGATTTTACGTACCCAAAACGATAGATTACCGTTTTTACTAATACTTACTTTACTACTTAGTAACTTAGAACTTAGGCTTATTACTTATTAATTAATTACTTATTATAGTATAGTCTAAGTCAGCACTATGTCTATTCTATATCTGAGTATACTCAGTGTATAATATATAGACTCAACTTAAGTACACAAACTATGTTGAATGTTCTCAGGTTAACTATGAGTTATGATATTGAGTATGATCAGTGGCGTAGCGAGGTCGGGTGTCACCCGGTGCGGCACTTAATGGTGTCACCCCCCCCCCCCCCCAGAGGCATAGAGAACCTTCCCAGGGACAAACTTTCAAATTTTCGATTTGCACCCCCCTCCCCTCAAACTTTCGATTTACACCCACCCCCTCAAGTTTTCCATTTGCACCCCCCCTTCAAACTTTTGATTTGTACCCCCCCTCGAGTTTTTCTCTATATATTTTGCTATTTTTTGCCTTGGTGTCACCTCCCTAAATGGTGTCACCCGGTGCGGTCCGCACCCCCCACCCCCCCCCCTCGCTACGCCCCTGAGTATGATTATGATTATTTTTTAATTAGTCTATACTCTATACACTCTATAGATCTAGATCTATAAATGTCTATAATGTAGATCTATTAATATTATTAATAGACCTAGCTGTAATATTTAGTAATACTAGGCTTAATTCTAACTAATTTGATACAAGATGGCTTTGACTCTACTACTTTTACTAATTACCAAACTATATTTTTTACACTGAGCTTAATTTTATATCGATAATTATTTCATCTGGGTGGGGGGTGGGGAGGATTTTTATACCAGCGTGCGATAATGATAATGGTATCCAACAGACAAGTTAAATGATAATGACTGATCATTTTTAACACACACAAAAAGTTTTATTAATATGATAATTAAAAAATTAATATGAAGGTTGGTAGTAAGCCTGTAAGGTTGTGTTCCATTACCTATAACAATAATTGTGAGGTGTGTAAAATACCCCATTTTCTGTGATAGGCCTATACCTTTTCTATTATTTATGTTGAAGCCCACTTGGACACCATGTGTAGCCTGGATAGTTGGCAAACAGACAGAAGATTTGAAGCATGTCGAGGCACTGAACACGATTACTATGACTGGACTGAGAAAGCTTTTCTCTGTGGTCACCAAAGAACTGTTATTTTTAGAAGTAAGCATTTACTTTATATCATCATATTTATGATGTTTATTATAGTAATGTTATACTCTACTTAGGTTTATATATTTATAAAGATTTAACTTTTGAAATTTGTTTGTTATTTTTAAAATCTTGCATGGCAGATTTTGAATGCTCGTTTAATGTTTTCTTCAACAAGATTACGTTATTTTTTTTTAGATAAAAGAACAAGCCAGTGCTAAAAGTAAAAAAGGGGGCAAAGAAGTTTCATCATCTAATGACATAAGTGATTTATGTAAACCTTATTTAGACACAAATGAGCCAATGCCAACTGCCCTGTTAGCTAAACTTATTAAGTGGAAACTCCTGTCAATTAAAGCAAATGATTTAAAACGCAGAGAGCTTGAAGCTAAGGTAATACGAATTTTACTATTATTGTACAAATATGTTGTCTTTATCTATTTTTAAAAAATCTGCTATATCTTAAATTTTTAAACTTCAAACCTAGTCATTGTGAAAGCCATATAAAACTCTCACAGAAGATCCCCAATCAATATGTGTATCAATACAATTAGCCTCAATAATCAGGAGTAATCCTGTTAATTGTAGTTGATGGTTTTATAAATTCATGAGTAAAAGCTTGAAGTTTTTAATCCTCTGCCTGCAGATGGATGATTATTATGCAGTAAGTTTAAAATGCGTAATTGTCTTTTATTATTATTTTAAAAATTCACCATTTGAATTCAAAGATTTTTAAAAAAAATTTTTTTTGCAAAGTTTGAAAAGCATGTGCTCTTAAATATTGTTTCACTGTGTTGGTTTGGAAACTTTTTTAAAAAAATTCACAATCTTGTTTCAAGTTAACTTTTGAATTTTTTCCAATATTATTATTTTTAAAGAAGTGTTTTAAATTTAGTAAGATATGGTTTTGTTGAATAATGTATAGTTGCTTCACCTAAAGGCCTTTATCTGGTACATGTAGGTTCAATACTTTTAGTAAATTAATTATCTTCAATGATCACATATTTTGTAAAACATTTTTAGCAGAACATGGTAGAAATAATGCAGGAACAGATTTGCAACAAGAATCACATACTGTTTTTGCTAGACATAGTTTTACTAGTTATTGGCTAAGTTAAAATATACACAATCTTCATTTGAAACATTCAGCTTACTAAATTGTCTACATCACAATATATTCTAAAATATAGTAAATCACTACTTATTTAGCTATTACCTGCAATATAACATTCATAAACATGTGTTGGCTTTTATTTAAGGCACAAAAATCAAAGGTAAGTTTTTATAAGTCTCACAGTGGGTCTTTTACAAACTTTCTTTTCCAACGATATTTCTTTATTGCTGATGAGAAAGTGCATAATAATTCTGTTTACTTTCTGCTGCTTCTTAACTAATAAAAATTGTAAGTTACAGATACATTGTTTTTTAAACAGTATTATACAAATTCTGAATAATATGTAAATAAATTTTCCAAAAATATGCACACATATTTGCATTTAAAAAATGTGTAGCCTTTGTCCATCGGTGCCTGTTCTTTATTGATATCTAAAAACATTGATCGTGAAGTTTCATCATTCATTGCAAAACAAAACCTCATTCATTTATTCAAATTTCATTGAAAGCATTATAATATATTTATTTTAAACTACTTAATTATTAACTTCAGAAAGAATTATATAATTTGCAATTCAATATTTATAATTTATAAACCATATATTTTCATCTCTGCTAACCATAATACCATTTACTCTATTTTTTGTCAAGTTTGAAACAAATCAGTGGCAAGTTCAACCTTACCACCATCATTGTTTTTTTCATACTTGTCTTTATTCATTTATCATCTATTTAAAATATCATTAATCATTATACAAAAATCTTATTATATGTCAACTTTCAACTTTTTTAATACTTTAAGACTCATCTTCCAAGTTCACAAAACAATGAATGATAAGTGAATAATTTAAAGGAATAATGAAATCTGTTGGCTTATATTTTTTTCTCCTGGGTTATTTAAAGTTGTAGAAAGTCAGCTATATAAATAAGTCTTGGGTACTTCAAGTGGTACTTCAAGTAATCTACAAACAAAAATAATGGTTATAATAGTTATTATTACACTTATGTATTGTTATATGTCCACTGTTTTAATACAAAATTATATTTGCGTATTCAAATATAAAAAATAAACAAAAAAAGATATTTGGTGTAGAGATAGAGAACGAGAGATTCTTTGAGCATAAAAAGGGAAAATAATCATCTTTCTTTTTACTGACAATGAATTATTTTATATGCTTGCTTACTCACTTTCTTTTAAAATAATTTTACTTTTAAACAATCAGCAATTTATTATTTTTATTATGTAATCACCACATTATTAAAAAGTATTTTGCCATTATTCTAGAACTGAAATTCATAAATTTTGTTTCTCATTTTTTACCCATAATACACAAATGTATGATAAAATTATTTTTTTATCTCTAAACTTCCAACAGGTTTACAGAAGTACTAACTTTGTTCATTGAACAAAAAAAATGATCATTGTTGTCATTTAAAACAAAATATCTAGGCAATCAATTTGTAGTTTGTACACTTAGAATTTTTTATAAATATGACGATAGAATTGAAGTTAAATTTGAATTACTAATTGCATTGTTTCTGTGAAAGGAAATTAGATTATTTTTTCTTGCATTAAAATATAATAATTTTTTTTATAGGGTAATGCGGATAAAAAGAAAAGAGAATCTGCAATGAATAAAGACAGAGCTAAATCCCCTCCTAAAAAAGGTGGTAAAAAAACACCAGAAATGCAAGCTGCAAAAGAAGGGAGCAAACTCAAGAAGAGAGGGGAGGAGGATGAGGATAGCAAGTTTATTGGTAATATATGTAGTGGTTTAGGCAGTATTTTTATTTGTATTTTATGTTGGAAGGTTTTCTGAAATTTACCTAAGGCTCTGTTTTGCTACTGTTTTGATACTGCTTAGTAACACTGAGAATATGAAAATATTTTTGGACTTAATCATTTGAGGACTTTTGCGTTTAGTAAACCCCCTTGTTATTGTTCTACTTTCTACATTTAATTATATTTTAACATTTGTATCAACTTCATAAATCATCAAAGAACTCTGATAAACTTATCCAATATTGATGCATTTATCATTTATGGTAACCCAGGTAACTACCCCTCCCCTCCATAGTACTAGCCAGTAAGTAAGTTAAGTTCCCTTTCAAACCTGAAGGTCTATGGGACAAGTGAAGTAGAGTTCACCTATTTCTGTGACCTTGGTATATAAAGGTATAGTGTTGGCAGCCACCTTTATTTCCTTAACTTGAGTTAGGTACCCATCAAAGCTGGGTTGACTCAGGGATTTTATACTGACATGAACCCGTATTTGAACTCAAGACTTTAGGGTTAGCCGTCTAGCTAGTACTTGCCAACCAGATCCTATTTGTATTCTGTTCCTAGATGATGAGCCAGATGATGGGGCTCACCACTACATCCTGGTATCTGGTTTCCATGACCCTTACTTGTTCCAAGCATTGGAAGAGATTAACATCAACATCACTGCAATCATTGGTATATCAACTCAAGGACATAGCATCAACGTCCGTAAGTCATCAAGTCCTTGTTACTTTCATTGAATGTTAACACCCATCTATTTTATTTTTAATTTCAAGCATAAAGCCACTATGCAGGTGGATATATTCTTACTTGCTAGAAGTACATACTTAGATTCTTTCAGAATGTATTTTTATAAATTACAGTTGGATTTCCCAAAAGAGTTTTTGTTAGGACTCAGAGGATTGAAAATCATAAAAAACTTTGGTGTATTCTTTTTAGTATGCATAGTTTAGCTGATTTTGCTTATAGTTAGTGACTTTTATAGCTGTTCAAAGATCTTCTTTTTTAACTATATTTTAATTTTTTCATACTTAAATTCACAAAGTTGCTTCGAATTCATTAAGACATAGATAGGAAAAAAACAATTTTCTATTGTTTTTCATATCTATTTATCCCTAGTAGCCCAACAATTCTATTTCATTAACAGCTTTATTTTAAAATGTTGAAACCTTAAAGCCCTGTTGTAAACATTTTGTTTTTAACTGAAGTACTAACTTTTCAGCCCTTTTTTTTTTTTTTTTTTTTTGTTTTTTTTTATAAATGTATATGATAAAGCTGATAGTATAAAATAGTATAATAGTAATAAAATGTATTTTTAAAATTTGTATTTGTATGTAATTCATATCATTAGCCGTAGAATTGACCCCTCAAGAGACGGAACTGAAACAGGAGATTGCCAACTTCTGGAGAGATTTACTTCCACTTTTACAGCACCTACCAGACTCATCTCGCCTTCATGATACAGCCCAGCAAGACTACGAGGTCAAGTCCCTCATGATCCCCACAGACCCTAATGATGCGGAGCAAAAGGTTGTAAAACTTTGATGAAATTTTAGCTTACATGTGGGGAAGTAATTTGTAAACTTTGATGAAATTTTAGCTTACATGTGGTGCAGTAGTTTGTAAACTTTGATGAAATTTTAGCTTAGATGTGGTGCAGTAGTTTGTAAACTTTGATGAAATTTTAGCTTACATGTGTGGCAGTAGTTTGTAAACTTTGATGAAATTTTAGCTTACATGTGGTGCAGTAGTTTGTAAACTTTGATGAAATTTTAGCTTACATGTGGGGCAGTAGTTTGTAAACTTTGATGAAATTTTAGCTTACATGTGTGGCAGTAGTTTGTAAAACTTTGATGAAATTTTACCTAACAAATTGGAGCAAAAGGTTGTAATTAACATAATTACAGTGACCCTTTTGGCAAATAGAAAGCTGAAAATATTTAAACTTTTTTATAAACAGACATATTACATATATACATAACCAACCTAGTTATACTCCTATGGGTGCATGGATTAAAAAGTTGGAAAGAAAAATATTAAAATCCTACATCTAAAAATCATTATATGAAAACCTTTAAAATGAAAAAGGTGACATTTAGTTAAATCTTCAAGTAAGGATTGATGTCTATAAACTGTTATAAAAAAACCAGGTGCAGTACAGCACAGCCCTCTTTGAAGATGTGGCTGTCATGCTCTACAACCTGCTAGAAGCTAAGCGCCTCTACGGGACATTTAAAGAAAACCTCAAGCTCATTAATGTCCCTGTGTACGAGCCTGTTGATCAAGGAGGTAAGGGAACTAACTCTAGCAGTAGCCTACTCACTAGGTAACTTATTTTACTTTATAAATCTCAGAACAATCAGTTTGAACTATTTTACTTTATTAGGCCTACATTAAAATAAACCTACATTACACAAAGATACATTTCAGAAATTCGACATGTTATTATCTACCAATTACTGAAGAAAGTAACTTTTATAAAATGTGGACAATTTCAAGAATTGTTTTATTGCTCATATGGAGCTTAGTAAACTGCTAAAATTGGTGTCTGGAGACAAACTGTATGTGTTTTAATAACATCCTTTGTGACTTAGAACGCTCACATTGTACTACTTATGTTTAGTCCTTAAGTCTTCATTAAAAAATTGTGTGATTAATTTTCCAATAGAAATAAAATCTAAGCACAATGGTGAAGGTCTGATACACTGTAAAGGACAGTAAGAGCCCTATGGAGCTGACCATCCCCCTAACTATCAATGCTTCTAACTTAAATTAAAACCAATTTTCTTATTTCATGCATTAACACAGCCCCTCCTCCACCCCCTCACTTAGCTACACACAGCTGAAACCTAATTTATAACAGGTGTTTTTTTTTTTTAATTAATGATATGTTTTCATTATTTATTTGACTCCTTGTTCCTTGCATCAATAGGTCATGAGAGTCCGATGTCACCAAGCCATGCTAAACCCAAGCAGAAGTCAGTTGACATGAGGTACTACAACGATTTGATGAACTGCATCCCCCACGAGAGTGTCAGCGTTCCTCTCATCATGTACTGTATGCTGGAACAGGTAAGAACTCTTTTTCTTTGAAAATTATATTTTTCCAGTACTAAAAACTAATGTTGGCTAAATCACAGTTTCTATGTAAATAAAGCAAAATAGTTTGTTAGATATACTTCAAGAAATTGTAAGATATTAATTTAAAAAGAAAAGTAGGAAATAGTATTTGGTTATGTGTGTCTGTGTTAAGTAATGAACAAAGCCATCTTTGTAACAGATTACTGCAACTGAGGAAGGGAAAACTCCACCCAGTGAAATCCCTCCACCTGTAAGGCCGGATGGAATGAGTTTTGGTCTTTCCTCATATCTGACTGGCATAGCGTCCAAACTTGGACTTTCAGAGCAGGAACACCAGGTACAGCAGTTTAACATTTTTGTCATACCTGTAAACATTGATAGCAGTTTTTAATCATTTAGAGCAGTTTAAAATTTGTTGCACTCAATATGAATATTAAAAAAATATTTCTTGATTGTATAGCCTTTTAAAAGTTATATTTCATTAGTATAGCCTAACGTAACACCAAATGATTATTAGTTGTTTTTTTTTTTGTTTTGTAAAAAAAGTCACACTTTTTATTGTCAACTTAACATGCAAAAATAAAAATCTAATAAATTTATAGCTATTAAAGTAGATTTCTGATATCTTTATATGTTTAAGTGTAATTTAAAAATTATGTATATCACACTAAAATAATTTTCTTTTTTTCATATAATTTTTTCCCCTCAGGTTCTTTCAAGAGAACTTGACCTTACTACACCTTTTCCACTTAGCCCTAGCCCACCTGTGCTCATAAACTACAATGACAGCATCAGTATTAGAACTCAGCATCTCAAACCACACTATGGCTTTGACCCATTAGGTAAGCATCTGCTTTAATCTCTTGTTTACGTCTCGAAAAATAATCAATAGCTTTATTATTTTGTCAATTTTTTTAAAGGTAACAGCAACTCTTGTTCTCTTATGTTATAATCATGTAATAGTACAATTTAAAAAAAAAATTGTTATCTTACGATTCTTAGATTTTAATTTTTTTTTTATTTTCAGCTGTGGAGCAGATGATGCTTAAGTTACTTCCCTTCTCCAAGCTGCATAGTATACAGGAGCATTCAGCTGTAGATCTGAAGCAAAGGGCGGTCAGGCTGCAGGAACTTCTACATTACTGCACAGAGAATGGTCTCAGCAAATCAGGTGGGGGGCAGTTTGGTTTCTTAATGGCTTCATTAATTTTATCTCAGCTGGGCTCTTGATGGTGTGAAAGGCATGTATAATTAGAACAAGATCTTAAGTTTTATAAACTTTCCTATCAAAAGATTTACAGTATAAGCGCTTACCTGTGAGCCTATGAAAGATTATCATTTTCAACTATATAAAGTTATTTTAAAAATAAAAGTTTGAATTCAATGCTTGTCAAAAAAAAAATTCTTTTGCTAGCAGATAAAATGCAACCAAAATTTTTTTATACTGGCTTTTAAAATTTAAAACACACAATGCAGTTTCTTACATCAAGAATAAGAATTTAATTGATTTCCTCTTTGGTATTCAGAAGTTGATAGAGCCTTCAAGCAGTTTGTGTTTGAGAGCATGGACTTGGCAACCACAGACTTTAATGGATTTATACTAGAAAAAGAAAAAGAAGGACTTCACCACAAGCCCATCCCTTGGGATGACCCGGATGGCTTCTTCAAATCTCTCCTGCCCCCAACAGAGAAGGAAGATGAATTCCAGAGTCTTGATGAGAGAATCAGTGAGGAAGATAACCAAGACAAAGGTAGGGATAAGTGGTTTAACACTTTTTACTGTGTTCATGTATAAGTCTTACAATAATCACAGCTGAAATAGGTGAACCAATGACAAGGCTATGACAGAATTCACAGATAAGGTTAGACGTCAAGATTACAAGCTGATAGAAAGATTAATAGTTTCATTTTTAACTGTTCTATCCGTGTGTAAAACTTTAATACTTGGTCTGGCTACGTGACACTGTGGTTTGATAGATTAAAAATAGTTTTTGGAAATAGTTTTCATCTAGAACTATCAATAATATGTTTATTAATAATATTTTTCTTCTTTGAAAGTGATATAATCCAACCCAATAATTTAATACATTTCAACATGTTATGAACTTATGGCCCATTGACACAGACTTTCTTTCTGGATTTGCTTCCATAGCCTTTGCTCTCCCAAGAAAAATCTGCAATGTAGCAGTTGTTTGTTTTAGGAATTTTCACACCTAGATTCTTGGCTATCCATATGTTCTCCTGCCCTATCGCTCCCCAATTAATAATTGAAAATAAATTCAAAATGGAGCCACACCAAAAACAATTGTTCCTTGCAGCTCTCTATAGTAGTTAAAGATTATTAAATCACATACATGAAAAATTATGCAGATTTAAGAAAAGAAGAGTCAACTATGAAATGGAATCCTGAATCACTTAAATCTATTCATGATACAAAAGTTCTCTCCCCTTTTGGAGGAACAGGACGGGGTGAGCTCCACTATGTTAAATTTCTTGTTTTCTGGACGTTCTATGCTTTTTCATTTTTGTAAAGATAATGGTGCTATGTTATTTTTATTGATTATTTAATTTTAATATTTTAATATAAAATAATATTTTGTTAAATTTCTTGTTTTCTGCAAATTCTACGCATTTTGATTTTTGTAAAGATAATGGTGCTATGTTATTTTGATTGATTATTTAAATCAATACTTTACTTAATTGCAGAATTCTAGAAAATGTTCTAAAGTTTTATTTTTGCTATATTCAAATAACCTTTTTGCTTGTTAAAAACGATGTTAATTTTGTTTGGTTGTCTTGTTGATCATTCTTGAACCGTTTGAAAGTTGCACAAATTATTTTGGCATTTTTTAAAAAATAAATGAATTATTAGCATGAGCTGGAGTAAAATGAATGATTGCACTTTTTAAAAAATTATACAAATTGAATTTTAGTAAATTAGCTGATGTGTATATACATGAAAATTGTTGTACCATTTTATTCTAAGGCATTAAAATGATTGTTAAAATTTTTTCAGTCTCTAATGTAATCCTAGAATTGAATGTTAATCTTGGAAATGGTAATGAGTTCTGTTCTAGTAATTTCCGATTTCATGTTCTTGTTTTTCAGTTTTTATTTTTGTGAAGTTTTCTTCACTTACAGAAGTTATAATTTTTTTCTTTGCTCAAAACTTTGTTAATACTGTATCTTATTTGTTCGGTGATATATTTTAAAGATATTTTGAGCAGTTTAAGTAGTTTCTCTCAAATCTGCATGCAACTGTATGTAAAGTCAATGCTTCGTAAAAAATGTTATTCATTTATTGTTCACAATAGGTATTATAGTAGGCCAAGGCTTTGAAAAAAAAATTGTTTTTAACAGAAAACTAAATAGGAAATTAATTTTAAAAGCAGGCCTACATTCTGCCATTGTTATTGCTGTTTATACCTTCACCCTTTTTTAATCAGATGGGTTGGTGGGTCAGCTAGCATGGATTGATGGGTCAGCTCGGTTGGTGGATCAGCTAGCATGGATTGATGGGTCAGCTCGGTTGGTGGATCAGCTAGCATGGATTGATGGGTCAGATGGGTTGGTGGGTCAGCTAGCATGAATTGGTGGGTCAGCTAGCATGATTCGGTGGTTCACAAGAAGCAAACGTCCCCTTCCTACTCAAATAGGAACATTAGAAAGATTGATCAGAGTTCTCTGGTCCCACTACCATTGTCCCAGGCCTCTGTACCCATCACCCCACTAAGTCCCACTATCAATGTACCCATCACCCCACTAAGTCCCACTATCAATGTACCCATCACCCCACTACCAATGTACCCATCACCCCACTAAGTCCCACTATCAATGTACCCATCACCCCACTAAGTCCCACTATCAATGTACCCATCACCCCACTACCAATGTACCCATCACCCCACTAAGTCCCACTATCAATGTACCCATCACCCCACTAAGTCCCACTATCAATGTACCCATCACCCCACTAAGTCCCACTATCAATGTACCCATCACCCCACTATCAATGTACCCATCACCCCACTAAGTCCCACTATCAATGTACCCATCACCCCACTAAGTCCCACTACCAATGTACCCATCACCCCACTAAGTCCCACTACCAATGTATCCATCACCCCACTAAGTCCAACTATCAATGTACCCATCACCCCACTAAGTCCCACTATCAATGTACCCATCACCCCACTAAGTCCCACTATCAATGTACCCATCACCCCACTAAGTCCCACTATCAATGTACCCATCACCCCACTAAGTCCCACTACCAATGTACCCATCACCCCACTAAGTCCCACTATCAATGTACCCATCACCCCACTAAGTCCCACTACCAATGTATCCATCACCCCACTAAGTCCCACTATCAATGTACCCATCACCCCACTACCAATGTACCCATCACCCTACTAAGTCCCACTATCAATGTACCCATCACCCCACTAAGTCCCACTACCAATGTACCCATCACCCCACTAAGTCCCACTACCAATGTACCCATCACCCCACTAAGTCCCACTATCAATGTACCCATCACCCCACTAAGTCCCACTACCAATGTATCCATCACCCCACTAAGTCCCACTATCAATGTACCCATCACCCCACTACCAATGTATCCATCACCCCACTAAGTCCCACTATCAATGTACCCATCACCCCACTAAGTCCCACTATCAATGTACCCATCACCCCACTAAGTCCCACTACCAATGCACCCATCACCCCACTAAGTCCCACTACCAATGTACCCATCCACTAAGTCCCACTATCAATGTACCCATCACCCCACTAAGTCCCACTATCAATGTACCCATCACCCCACTAAGTCCCACTACCAATGTACCCATCCACTAAGTCCCACTATCAATGCACCCATCACCCCACTAAGTCCCACTACCAATGTACCCATCACCCCACTAAGTCCCACTATCAATGTACCCATCACCCCACTAAGTCCCACTATCAATGTACCCATCACCCCACTAAGTCCCACTATCAATGTACCCATCACCCCACTAAGTCCCACTATCAATGTACCCATCACCCCACTAAGTCCCACTACCAATGCACCCATCACCCCACTAAGTCCCACTACCAATGTACCCATCCACTAAGTCCCACTATCAATGTACCCATCACCCCACTAAGTCCCACTACCAATGTACCCATCACCCCACTAAGTCCCACTATCAATGTACCCATCACCCCACTAAGTCCCACTATCAATGTACCCATCACCCCACTAAGTCCCACTATCAATGTACCCATCACCCCACTAAGTCCCACTATCAATGTACCCATCACCCCACTAAGTCCCACTATCAATGTACCCATCACCCTGCTAAGTCCCACTATCAATGTACCCATCCACTAAGTCCCACTACCAATGTACCCATCACCCCACTATCAATGTTCCCATCACCCCACTAAGTCCCACTATCAATGTTCCCATCACCCCACTAAGTCCCACTATTAATGTACCCATCCACTAAGTCCCACTACCAATGTACCCATCACCCCACTATCAATGTACCCATCACCCCACTAAATCCCACTACCAATGTACCCATCACCCCACTATCAATGTACCCATCACCCCACTATCAATGTTCCCATCACCCCACTAAGTCCCACTATCAATGTACCCATCACCCCACTAAGTCCCACTATCAATGTACCCATCACCCCACTAAGTCCCACTATCAATGTACCCATCACCCCACTAAGTCCCACTATCAATGTACCCATCACCCCACTAAGTCCCACTATCAACGTACCCATCACCCCACTAAGTCCCACTATCAATGTACCCATCTCCCCACTAAGTCCCACTATCAATGTACCCATCTCCCCACTAAGTCCCACTATCAATGTACCCATCACCCCACTAAGTCCCACTATCAATGTACCCATCACCCCACTAAGTCCCACTACCAATGTACCCATCACCCCACTAAGTCCCACTACCACTGTTCCCATCACCCCACTAAGTCCCACTACCAATCTACCCATCTCCCCACTAAGTCCCACTATCAATGTACCCATCACCACTAAGTCCCACTATCAATGTACCCATCACCCCACTAAGTCCCACTACCAATGTACCCATCACCCCACTAAGTCCCACTACCACTGTTCCCATCACCCCACTAAGTCCCACTACCAATCTACCCATCACCCCACTAAGTCCCACTATCAATGTTCCCATCCACTAAGTCCTACTACCAATGTACCCATCACCCCACTAAGTCCCACTACCAATGTTCCAGGCCTCTGTGTCCCTCCGGAAAGTGAGAGATCTATCAGAGAAAGCATGGAGAGTAAAAAGGGAATTCTGGTGTCCAGCCTACACCGCATTGGATCTATTGGATCTGCCAATTCAAGGAAATCTGCAACAAATTCAGGTAGCAGCTGTTTTATTTAGGTCTCACTGAGTTATCTCACTGTTTTATTAAGGTCTTACTGAGTTATCTCACTGTTTTATTAAGGTCTCACTGAGTTATCTCACTGTTTTATTAAGGTCTCACTGGGTTATCTCACTATTTTATTAAGGTCTCACTGAGTTATCTCACTGTTTTATTAAGGTCTCACTGAGTTATCTCACTTTTTTATTAAGGTCTCACTGAGTTATCTCACTGTTTTATTAAGGTCTCACTGAGTTATCTCACTGTTTTATTAAGGTCTCATTAAGTTATCTCACTGTTTTATTAAGGTCTCACTGAGTCAGGTAGGGGCTTTATTAAGGTTTATCAGGTATGGGTTGTTTTATTAAGGTCACATAAAGTCATGTAAATTAATGGATTAAGTATCCATTTAAAAAAAAAAAGAATCCAAAAATTATTGAGCTTAAGCTCACTATTTAACACTGATTTAGAATTTTTTTGCTACAAACTTTCCAGTTCACTTTGATGTACCTGATGAAGCAGAAGAGGATGATGCTCAGTCTAAGCCAATGACCGACCAAATGAAAAAAATTTTGGACGATGCTCTGGCCAAAATGGTCCATTCCCAGCAGAGAAACCTGGACACCTGGTGTTTTGCTGAACACTTCCAACCTGAAGTCTTCCAACAGGTGAGGTTAAAGTTCATGGATTGTTGAGTGGGGTTGGCCAGAGGTGGCGCTAGTTGTGTGAACAATTTGATATAAGTTCATGACTTGTTTAGTGAGGTTATGTTTAGTGGGGTTGACCACAGGTGGCGCTAGTTGTGTGAACAATTTGATATAAGTTCATGGCTTGTTGAGTGGGGTTATGTTTAGTGGGGTTGACCACAGGTGGCGCTAGTTGTGTGAACAATTTGATATAAGTTCATGGCTTGTTGAGTGGGGTTATGTTTAGTGGGGTTGACCACAGGTTGCGCTAGTTGTGTGAACAATTTGATATAAGTTCATGGCTTGTTGAGTGGGGTTATGTTTAGTGGGGTTGACCACAGGTGGCGCTAGTTGTGTGAACACTTTTATATAAGTTCATGACTTGTTGAGTGGGGTTATGTTTAGTGGGGTTGACCACAGGTGGCGCTAGTTGTGTGAACAATTTGATATAAGTTCATGGCTTGTTGAGTGGGGTTATGTTTAGTGGGGTTGACCACAGGTGGCGCTAGTTGTGTGAACACTTTTATATAAGTTCATGACTTGTTGAGTGGGGTTATGTTTAGTGGGGTTGACCACAGGTGGCGCTAGTTGTGTGAACAATTTGATATAAGTTCATGGCTTGTTGAGTGGGGTTATGTTTAGTGGGGTTGACCACAGGTGGCGCTAGTTGTGTGAACAATTTGATATAAGTTCATGACTTGTTGAGTGGAGTTATGTTTAGTGGGGTTGACCACAGGTGGCGCTAGTTGTGTGAACAATTTGATATAAGTTCATGACTTGTTGAGTGGAGTTGACTTCATAAAGCTTCATACTTATCGCAATTTAATTAAGAGAGTTCAAACATCATATTTTGCCTTTGATCAGGTTCTCCATGAAGCTTCATATCTACTGCCACTGAGAGAGTTCTACCACCATAAGCGAGACAACAACATCATGTTGGTCCTACACAACCCCTACAACCAGGAGCTGAGAAACCATGTGGACTGGCACATAGAGCTGCACTCTAACATGGGCTTCAGGTATGTCCTGCCTGTTTCATAGGTGACACATGGGCTTTATCCACCCCAACATGGGCTTTATCCACCCCAACATGGGCTTCAGGTATGTCCTGCCTGTTTCATAGGTGACACATGGGCTTTATCCACCCCAACATGGGCTTTATCCACCCCAACATGGGCTTCAGGTATGTCCTGGCTGTTTCATAGGTGACACATGGGCTTTATCCACCCCAACATGGGCTTCAGGTATGTCCTGCCTGTTTCATAGGTGACACATGGGCTTTATCCACCCCAACATGGGCTTTATCCACCCCAACATGGGCTTTATCCACCCCAACATGGGCTTCAGGTATGTCCTGCTGTTTCATAGGTGACACATGGGCTTTATCCACCCCAACATGGGCTTCAGGTATGTCCTGCCTGTTTCATAGGTGACACATGGGCTTTATCCACCCCAATATGGGCTTCAGGTATGTGTTGCCTTTTTCATAGGTGACACATGGGCTTTATCCACCCCAACATGGGCTTCAGGTATGTCCTGCCTGTTTCATAGGTGACACATGGGTTTTATCCACCCCAATATGGGCTTCAGGTATGTCCTGCTGTTTCATAGGTGACACATGGGCTTTATCCACCCCAACATGGGCTTCAGGTATGTGTTGCCTTTTTCATAGGTGACACATGGGCTTTATCCTTCCCAACATGGGCTTCAGGTATGTCCTGCCTGTTTCATAGGTGACACATGGGCTTTATCGACCCTAACATGGGCTTTATCCACCCCAACATGGGCTTCAGGTATGTCCAGCCTGTTTCATAGGTGACACATGGGCTTTATCCACCCCAACATGGGCTTCAGGTATGCTCTGGCTTTGTCGTAGATGACACATGGGCTTCATTTGATACAAGTAACATATCACATACTGAGTCCTTCATATACCCCATTTCAAGTTTAGTCCTAGAAAATTTTTTGATGACCAATGGGCAGATGAAGTAGTTATACTGTTGCCATGTAAAATGGCATAACTTTTGAAGATATTGTTTTTCTCTTTATTCTCTGGCAAATGGTCAGTTGTGAAAGCTGACCTTCAGACTTGAGCCAGTTTGTGATCTACCTCACTGCCCATCTGGTCTAACAGCTGACCACATTTTCGTGTGCTGAGTTGACAGAAACAGTTGAACCCCATTTGGCAGGGTCACCACCATGTCTATAATGGTTCTTTACCTATTCGTCACCACAAAATAAAATGAAGGGATATATATATATATATATATATATATATATATATATATATATATATATATATATATATATATATATATATATATATATATATATATATAAATATATATAGATAAATATATATAGATAAATATATATATATGTATATATATATATATATATATATATATATATATATATATATATATATATTATATATATATATATATAAGTTGTGAAAAATGTATAAACAGTAGTCTAATAAACATATGAACAGGAACACAATCTCTATCTGGTTTCCAAGTTAGTTTAATGTACTATGTTGTTGTTTATTTAGGAACTACCTTGAATTCACTGCTGAGTCCATTGTTGATTGGCTGAAGGAAAAGGATGCGGAGTATCAAGCCAAACTTCTGTCTAAAGAAGTGGCTTCCATAAACAAGGAAGAGGAAGACAAGGCCAAGGAAGCAGAGAAAGCTGAAAAAGGCAAAAAAGCAAAATCCCCCTCAAGATCCTGTAAGTAATCCCCCAGTGTTGACATTAGGCCAATATCCTATAAAAACATGTCTGAAAGTGAATGGTGATGAAACATGCTTCAACTTTTATAAATTAAATGTTAGAATATTATGATCCTATACATTTAGTTTCTATAACCAAAAAAACATCACAAAAGTGTAGGGTGGGGTTTTATGTGGGGTGTGGGATATTTTGATGCAAGAGATAGAGTGTACAGAAAGTATTTATATTCGTGCCATTTGGCTGTTGTTTTTTTAATACTTTTCAATAAACAGGGTAGCATCTTGTCATGACACAATTTTAATGCTTCAATCACGACAAAACTTGAATTACTTATCTCCAGCCTCTAAAACAAGACGAGATATATCCTCTGAGAGACAGGCAGAAGAAAACCCCTATGTACGCCAGGGGTCACTCAAAGCCCAGCAGGCGGAGCTACAGAGGCTGGCGGCTGAAGAGGAAGAGAGGGAGAAGGCCAAGCTAAAAAAGAAGGAGGCTTCAGCCACACAGAAGAAAGGGAAGGTGAGAGCAGGGGTGGGTGGTACGTGTGAGGGGTGGGAGTGACTTTTATTTGAGGGGTAGGGGTGTGTCACTTATGTGAGGGGTGGGGGTGTCACATATTTTAGGGGGGTGTGTGTCATTTGTGTGAGGAGTGGGTGCAACGCTTATGTGAGGGGTGGGTGTGTCACTTACCTGAAGTGCTCAGGTGGGTTACTCATTGAATATGAAGAGTGGGGTTGTGTAAAGGAGGGGTTCTGTACAGGATGAGGTTCTGTGAAGGGTGGGGTTGTGTGAAAGTGGATTTGTATGAAGGTGGGGTTCTGTAAAGGGTGGGGTATGTGTGAGGGGTGAGGTGTGTAAGGCATGGGGATTGTGTGTCACATGTGAGGGGCTGGGATGTGTCACTCATAGAACAGAGTGGGGTCATGTGAGGGGTGCAGTTGTGTGTCCTGGTCAGGGTGAGGCTGTGTTACTCATGTAAGAGCCCTTATTTTCAGGAAGAGAAAGAAAAAGTGGAGCGTGAGAAGTCCAAGAGCCCCAGATCCAGCCAGAGCCGGAGCACCGCAGACAGAGACAGCTTCAATCTTAAACAAGAGCCTGCTGATGAAGAGAAGGAGGAGGAGAAGTTTTGGCCTGTGAGTTGTTTTAAACCTTTATATCAGGCAGTGGCGTTGGCAGAAGGGGTGTTAGGGGTTAGACGCCCCCTCTATTACTAACTCCTGGCTCTATCACTGGTATCTAGTATTTATTTTAGAGGTGTCTTATTGTTAGAGGTTTTGTTCTTATCTATATTTTCATGGTATTTTGGTGACTTTTTGTATCTTTTTTGTCTTATAAGTAAATTTATTAGTACATTTTTTTTTCTTGGGGTATTCAACTGATTTTTGCTTAAAATTAGCATATTGTTATCATGCATTATTAATTGAAGTAAAAGTATGTATAAAGGATGAAAGTCAGGAGTTCAGAAACCTGGCTCAAGTATGTAAGATGTGGCTTCTTCTTCTTCGTTCTTAATTATTAGTGTTGAAGGGGATCGAGATTTATCTGCCAGTGGGTTTGAACTCGAGACTTTGTTCGAATTTATCAACCATGAGCTTTTTGCCGACTCGACCACGCCTCCAACACAATTAAGCATTACGTGTCATCTGGTTATGCACCATTGAGGCTGCTGACTCCGATTTCAGCCTGCTTTTCTTTTTGGATTTGCTTCCATAGCCTTTGTCCAATCAAGAACAAACTACAAGGCAGCAGTTGTTTAATTTTGGAGTTATCTCTCCTAGAAGAGTGGCTGTCCCCAGCTAACAAGCCTCATCTGCCCGAGGGTTTGAACTCGGGCAGACTTTTTGGTTTAGCAACCATGAGCTTTACCGACTCGACACCGACCCCCTAAGATGTGGCTGAGTCCGCCCAGATCTTATGGGTACCTGACTAACATTCAGGAAAATAAAGGCGGCTGGGCATAGGGCTGGCTACACTATCCCTTCATATGCTAAGGACACTCAACTCTAATTCAAGGGGACACTTTTTTTTACAAGCATAATAAAAATTTAACACCAAGTTGCTTGTTAATTTAATTGACAAAAGTAAGTTAAAATTTGTAAAAACTTGAATTCTTCTAATGACTCTATGATTTCAATTTTCGTATCCAATTCACAACTTTTTGCAGTTTTGTCAATGCATTTTATTAGTGCTGTAGTTTGAAACTTCGTCTCAAATCATTTCCTTCTTACATCTAGTTCCATACTTTGAACCCAAACACAGAACATTAGATTTTAATGATGTATTATCTAGTTCTATTGCTTGTACCTAACCTAAACATTGACTTAACAAAGTGCCTATGGTGTTTTCTCTAGTTCTGAGTTTAAACTAAACATTGACTTCATGTCTATGGTGTATTCTCTAGTTCTTAGTTTAGACTAAAACATTGAATTCATGTCTATGGTGTATTCTCTAGTTCTAAGTTTAAACTAAAACATTGACTTCATGTCTATGGTGTATTCTCTAGTTCTTAGTTTAGACTAAAACATTGAATTCATGTCTATGGTGTATTCTCTAGTTCTAAGTTTAAACTAAAACATTGACTTCATGTCTATGGTGTATTCTCTAGTTCTAAGTTTGAACTAAAACATTGACTTCAAGTTTAAACTAAAACATTGACTTCATGCCTATGGTGTATTGTCTAGTTCTAAGTTTAAATTAAAACATTGACTTCATGTCTATGGTGTATTCTCTAGTTCTACGTTTAAACTAAAACATTGACTTCATGTCTATGGATGGTGTATTCTCTAGTTCTAAGTTTAAAGTAAAACATTGACTTCATGCCTATGGTGTATTCTCTAGTTCTTAGTTTAAACTAAAACATTGACTTCATGCCTATGGTGTATTCTCTAGTTCTAAGTTTAAACTAAAACATTGACTTCAAGTTTAAACTAAAACATTGACTCATGCCTATGGTGTTTTCTCTAGTTCTAAATTTAAACTAAAACATTGACTTCATGTCTATGGTGTATTCTCTAGTTCTAAGTTTGAACTAAAACATTGACTTCAAGTTTAAACTAAAACATTGACTTCCTGCCTATGGTGTATTCTCTAGTTCTAAGTTTAAACTAAAACATTGACTTCATGTCTATGGTGTATTCTCTAGTTCTATGGCTACAACACTGGCAACCAACTGATCCATGTGTCTGGCATCACAACCACTATGTTCCCTAGTGACGGAGGTCAAATCAAAACTGAAAGGACTGAATTTGCTCTTGGTGAGTTGTGTCATTTAATCAACTTATATCCCAATGGGTAACTCTTAACTAAAGGGAATTAACTGGATGGAAGATCATATTTTATTGTAATTATTTTCTTCTAGAAAAAAAAAATACTTAAATATACATCTTTTTTAAGTTTGGTCATAAGTTTTTAAAACATAGTTTGTAAAGATTGGTTAAAGTTTTTAATTCTTATATAGATTAGCTGGTTGAGTTAGCGGTTGCCTCACAATAAAGTTGTTTTGAGGTTTTATCCTGTTCTTTAGCCAATCTTTAAAGGGAAACAACTTTATCTTTGAAGACATTTTACTTTTTTTCTATTTCAAATTTTTAAATATTTTTTATTAGTCTTGATTAACCAATTTTCTAAAAGTGTATGTTTTAAAAATTGAGACTTATTTCTTTAAATTAAATCAAATATCAGATCGCATAAAGAGACTAAATAATTGTGGCAATGCTGTTTGTTTGTTATTGCAGGCACCACTTCAGTGAGATCAGTTGTTCTGAAAGATGGCCATATTTTTACGGTCCACATTCTGAATCCTTGCGAGAGCACTGAGCACCATGAGGAGAGCACTAAGGACATCCCTGAGGATGATGAGAGCAGCGTCAACACAAGGACAGCCTCAGCCCCACAGTCAAGGCCACTGTCAGCTGAAAACACCCTGCCTACAGACAGGTCTGACACAGGTAGGTGACATAGTAGCCAGATGAGAACACACTGCCAATAGACAGATAGGTGACACAGGTAGGTGACATAGTAGCCAGGTGAGAACAACCTGCCAATAGACAGGTAGGTGACACAGGTAGGTGACCCAGTAGCCAGGTGAGAACACCCTGCCAATAGACAGGTAGGTGACACAGGTAGGTGACACAGGTAGGTGACACAGGTAGGTGACACAGGTAGGTGACACAGTAGCCAGGTGAGAACATCCTGCCAATAAACAGGTAGGTGACACAGATAGGTGACACAGGTAGGTGACACAGGTAGGTGACACAGTAGCCAGGTGAGAACATCCTGCCAATAAACAGGTAGGTGACACAGTAGCCAGGTGAGAACACCCTGCCAGTAGACAGGTAGGTGACACAGATAGGTGACCCAGGTAGGTGACACAGGTAGGTGACACAGGTAGGTGACATAGTAGCCAGGTGAGAACACCCTGCCAGTAAACAGGTAGGTGACACAGTAGCCAGGTGAGAACACCCTGCCAGTAGACAGGTAGGTGACACAGATAGGTGACACAGGTAGGTGACACAGGTAGGTGACACAGGTAGGTGACATAGTAGCCAGGTGAGAACACCCTGCCAATAGACATGTCTGACACAAGCAGGTTTAAAAAACTCAATATTTGTAATATATTTCATCATAATTTTTCAAGCTAATGACCAAGACACATTGGGCAGATAAAGTAGAGTTCATCTGTTTCAATAACCTTGGCATACATCAACATAGTATGGTCAGCATTATACCCAGCTGACTTGGTGTCCAAACTTAAGTCAGGCACCCATAAAAGCTGTATTAACTCAGGTCCTACAGGTTTGAACTTGTCGGATGTATTAATTTGTGTATAACCAGTACTTTTCACTTTCCTTAATGGGATTGATTGATTTTTGCAGATCAAGCTTCAAAAGTTGTAGAAAGTGCTCACACACAGGAGAAGGTACAAGAGCATGAGTGCAAATCCAAGGCAGTGAGCCAGTTTGGATCAGTCACTGCTGTCCTTGCAGATGGCATGACTTTAGCCTTCAGCAAGTTTGGGCCTACAGGGGAATCTGACAGTAAGATGGGCCTGTTGTCATTACAGTGGTGTCAGTGTCATAGAGTCACTGTTATGGTGTTGTCAGTGTCATAGAGTCACTGTTATATTGTTGTCAGTGTCATAGAGTCACTGTTATGGTGTTGTCAGTGTCATAGAGTCACTGTTACGGTGTTGTCAGTGTCATAGAGTTACTGTTATGGTGTTGTCTGTGTCATAGAGTCACTGTTATGGTGTTGTCTGTGTCATAGAGTCACTGTTATGGTGTTGTCAGTGTCATAGAGTCACTGTTATGGTGTTGTCTGTGTCATAGAGTCACTGTTATGGTGTTGTCAGTGTCATAGAGTTACTGTTATGGTGTTGTCTGTGTCATAGAGTCACTGTTATGGTGTTGTCAGTGTCATAGAGTTACTGTTATGGTGTTGTCTGTGTCATAGAGTCACTGTTATGGTGTTGTCTGTGTCATAGAGTCACTGTTATGGTGTTGTCAGTGTCATAGAGTTACTGTTATGGTGTTGTCTGTGTCATAGAGTCACTGTTATGGTGTTGTCAGTGTCATAGAGTTACTGTTATGGTGTTGTCAGTGTCATAGAGTCACTGTTATATTGTTGTCAGTGTCATAGAGTCACTGTTATGGTGTTGTCAGTGTCATAGAGTCACTGTTATAGTGTTGTCAGTGTAGTGTTAATGGTATAAGTCAAGGGTCGGCAACCTGCGGTTTGTGAGCTGCATGCGGCTCTATTGATATCTAGATGCAGCTCTCCAGCTCCTTGCACAAATATTAATAGTTATATAATTTCATTTTTACTGGACGGTAGGGTATGAGTTTACCCTGCGTTCAGTGGGGTGGAAGATGACCCTGGTGAGAACAAAAGGACAGAAGCGAATGATGCAACTTATTCAAACCGATAACCAAGCCAGTTAGAAGGCGTTTGCCGTGTTGAGGCCTGACTGGCTAATGGGAGACACCCCCTGACCCGGTGATATCCATAAAGAAAAAAATAAAATAAAATATTAATAGCTTCTAAAGTGGATTGAGAGAGTCCTAGAATTATATTATTTGATTACTAATTTTATTATTCTGGCAAAACATGTCTATGTTTTTATAAGAATAAATATTATTTCATATTTAAAGCTATTTATTTCAAGTAAAAAATCACATTTATTTAGTTAATCCTAATCAAATAATAAAATATTGAAATAAAAATGTGAGTGGCTCTTTAAAAACTGGGAAAATTAATAAATTGTAACTTTTTGCTCTTGCGTATCAAAAGGTTGCCGACCCCTGGTATAAGTCAGTGATTAATAAGAATAGAATGGCTCTTGAGAAATATTAAAGTTACTTGAAGTTAAGAAAAATTTAATGTTTGTTATCTCAGACACCAGAATATATTGTTATAGTATAACATATATATATATATATATATATATATATATATATATATATATATATATATATATATATATATATATATATATATATATATATATATATATATATATAATCTTATAATTCCTACACTAATTCTTGCTATAAAAACATCTTTCACAATCTTAAATTATTTAAAATGAAACAGTTTGTTTCTACTTTTTAAAAGCTATAATTGAAATTTTGTTCTGCATACCTGCAGTTTTACTTTTTATGAGAAGTTATCACCCTAAGTTCACTGATGTATTGGTTGTTGAAAAACAAACACCTTCTGATGAAATACAAGTCCCATATTGTAATCACATTTTTAAAAAATGTTCACAGTCAAGCCACACATTCCCACTGCCATCCCACCCCAAGTCAGTAAATCTTCAGTGCCTTCAAACAATGCCACAGTTCCTTCCCCTAAAGGCAAGAAAGAATCCAAAGTAAAAACACAGCCCAATTCGGTGATTTCTGATCAAGAAAAAGTAAGTTTTGTCTGTAAAATTTCAACCAAACAAGTTGTCAAACAATATAAAAACAGAAATATAGTTAGAAAGGGCACACCCTCAGAAGTAGAACCCAGTGAGAAAGATGGTAAGACCAATGTTTGAGGAGATTATTTGAAGTAGAGATAGGGGAGGCTGGACTTTTTTTCATGGCATGAATTTTTAAATGTAAAATTCTCTTGGATGAGGACTGTGGGAATATAGGTCAGATGTACATTCTTAGCATAAGTGGGTTTATTTCCATAACAGTAATAGTTAGAGTATATTTGATTATAAAGTAATTTATCTTTCAAATATTTTTATGCATATCATGAAACGTTCTCTAAAAATAATTTGAGTACATTTTTACAGTTTAAAATTAGCTGATATTGTAAATTCAGCTAACAGAAATAGGTTGTTTTTTTTAATTGTGCCTTTAAGTAGTTTAAGTTTCTTTAACATATTTGTAGACTGTTCAGACGCAGCTTGAGGAGCTGTCTATAGAGGAACAAAAGAAGGAAGAAGAAGAGGAAGTGGTGAAGCAGCCATTCCAGGAGCTATTTATAACAACTCCTGATGGTCTGCATGTCACTTACTTCTTACAGAGCTCTGTTGGTAAGATTTAAGCCTGCTTACAAAATGTATATTGATACCATTTTTCTAAACTTACAAAGTGAAAACTCAATACATTAGCAGTTAATAATATTTATCAAATATTTTTTAAATAATATACAATGACAATATAACATATATTTTCTATCAGTTTTGAAATTTTGATTTTGAAAAAAAAATTAAATTATGCACCTTATAGTATCAATAATAATATATAATATACTAATATATAATCAGAAAAAGTTGTGGGTTATAAAAATGTATAGGCCTATAGTAACATACTAATGGTGTTGTTTGTTCTTGTCATAGTTTGTTTACAAAATGTTTGGATAATGTGGTAGTTTCCCTTGTTTTCAGGAGTGAAGCCATCCCACTCCAATGAACATTTGCTGGCCATCAAACAGTGCTACCCATACAAAACAAAGGGCATCCATGAGTGTGAGTCTGCTAGACACAAGTACATAGACAGTGAGATTTCTCGTGTTATCACCTCGGATGGGAGCGTCATCAAAAATATGGTCGACGGTTCTGTTGAGGTGGGCCTACCTTGTAACTTCCATGAAAAATTCACATCAATTCTTATTTTGACAATTTGAGAAATCAGATATATGAAATGATTCGATTGAAGTAACATTTTTAAAAACTTTATATTAAATTGATGTAGCTTTTTTTTAACTTCATTTTACAAAGCAGTGGCTGGTCATTTGATTAGCCAACTTATATGAGTATAATGGACTGCGTGGCGTAGTCGTAGAGTGCTAGACTGCTAACCCAAAAATCTCGAGTTTGAATCTGGGTTATAGTCAGTAGAATGTCCCAAAGTACACCCAGCTCTAATGGGTACCTAACTCACATTAGGGAAATTAAAGGTGTCTGGGTATAGTGCTGACCAAAGTATCCCCTTGTATACATAGGTCACAGAAACAGGTTAACTTTACTTCACTTGCCCCATTTACTGTCAGGTTTGAAAAGGGAACTTTACTATCTAACTATTATCAATACAATTGTCCACTTCTAACCCTTCTCTTAATTTCTTAGTCCACCCCCAACCCTACTAGTCCATTTTTATCTTTACTTATTAGTCACCCTCCTGTAGCTATGGTCAACTCTTTTTGTTCTGTACTTTTATTTTATCAATACAAAATGTACTAGATCTCACATCTTAATGTTTTTTTGTTTTATACATTCAGCTTGAAAAGGCAGTTTCGTTCATAGAAAATAAGTACAAGGATATATTGAGATCCACGAGAAAAAACATACTGGCTTTATCAATACATTTCAAGTATCAGTACCTAATACATCATTGTTGTTTTGTTTTTAACTTTTAAATTTTTTTTGTCATTCTAGGTCTTAAGTGCTGATGGGACTGTTAGCAAATTCACTGGCCAGTGGAGCAAAGACCCTTCAAGTCGGCCAGCTTCAGCAACCACCAGCTTAAAAACTATTGACACAGATTCGGTGCCAAAGAGAGGTAATTCAATGATGTTTTAAAAAAAGAACTAAAAATGTGTAATTAGAAGATGTAGGGAGATATTCTAGCTTGTTTTAAAGTCCTCTCAAGGGTGACTTAAGAAATGAGTTTATTATTTTGAACTTCAATAATTAATTTAAATTATTAGTCAATGATCAGATTTTTATTAATGAAAAATATTTTGATTAAAAACAATATTCTATTAATCCTTTTGAAGTTTATATAAATTGGTTTCATTGATTATAATTTAAAAACCACTGCAGTTTTATCATCTTGAGTATGACTTAGGTCCACAATATATTAAAAAAATAAAATACTTAAAAAAAACTTTTTAAAAAACCACGTTTTTCTTGTGGACTAAAAAGTAGAAAATAACTATTTACGTACATTTGAGCGACCAGGATTCGTACCTGGGTTGTCGCGGCCACAACGCGAAGTACTAACCACTATACGATCACGGCCAGCGCGCTCACAGCGATTAGGGCCGAAGTAACTGTTTCAATAGGCCTCCAGTCTTGTCGGTATCTTTAGAAATCATGTCCTCAAATGTATGGTCCTTGGGGCGTAATTAAATTAAGCTAATTACGGTCTCTAATTGCTAGTTTTTATGATTGCATCTGAAATTGTTAGGCGAAAGTAGCGTGTATGCCAAATTTCAGATCTCTAGAGCAATCAGAAGTGGGCTAATTTTCGATGTCAATTTTAACAACAAACAAACAAATCCACAAACGCGAAGCTGAGTTAAGAAAAACGTGTTAAAATAGCTGTTTTTGACTTTGTTTCTGGGATCTTTAAAATTTGTATCAACTTTAATAAATTTGTAATTAACAGTACCACAGCAACAAATTTCATTTTTTATATACTCCATTAGATTTAATGGAAAAATTTCTATTTTTTAAGGTTTAATTACCATATAAATTGAATTTAATTTTAGAATAATAATTTAAGAATTAAATTTTGCGCCACAGTTTATCCTTCAGAGCGAATCATCAAGAACACCAAATCCACTGAGGATGATCAGGTCAGACTGCACTCTGTTGCTCCTAACTGGATTGTGACGTACCCCAATGGGGAGCGCCTGCAGATGTTTAAATTCTCAGGAAATAGCAAAGAGTTGCCTGCTGTTCCAATCTCTTTAGCCTCGGATCCAGACACACAGCAGGCAAGTTTAGCTGGACGCACCAGCAAATCCTTTTTTAAGTTTAGCTGGACACACCAACAAATCCTTTTTTAAGTTTAGCTGGACACACCAACAAATCCTTTTTTAAGTTTAGCTGGACACACCAACAAATCCTTTTTTTAACGGAATCGTTATAGTATATATAGTAACTAGTTACAGTAGGGGGGGGGGGGGCAAATGAATCAAGAGACTAACACAGTTATGCCCATATATGAAAGAGGGATACCAAGCATTTTTAAATGGATTCAATGATTAAACAACACAGCTAATAAATGACCTAGTTGCTTCCCATGAAAGTTAAATACCACCACTTTAAAATGTATTACTGGTATTTTTTTAATGTTTAATGTTTCTGTCTGCAGACAATGGCTATCCGCGATGACCATGTTATAACTGTAAGTTTTCCTGATGGGACCACTATTGTAGAACACGAGGACGGCACTCGAATCACAGTCTACTACAGGGAGACCCCTGTGGCTGTCGAGGAGGCTGAGCATGAAGATGGTATGTTGTACTTTAACTGTGAATATCTAATACAAGTCGATAATGTTGGCTTTTATAGAAAAGTTTGTATAGAAATGTATTTCCTAGTTTGATTTAAGTGTTTTGTCTGGTACATTTTATTAATTTTAATATTAATTTTAACCAAACTTACAAATTTTAACCATTGTCTATTTCTTGGATAATTTCTTTTCAATTTCTAAGCAAGCCAAATCAAAATTAAATTTTTAATGTCATTTACCTTAAAGAATTGAGAAAAGTAAAAAAAATGTATTTTAATAGTAATTAATTAAACAGAATGTAAGATTTTCTATTATAAACTCAAATTGGCTATCAAATGTTATCAAAACAATAATAATTAAAGACAGAAAAAAATTAAATATTTGGCCAGATTTAAGTTAAATAAACTGATAGTCTCACTCCAACATACACTACTCTCTGATTATATCCTATTTTATATTGTCCAATTACATTGTATTCATTTTTAGAAGCTACTCTTCTAACATTTTAATAAAAAGATTAAATATGTTACATCTCATTTGTTTTTTAATCTTCACTCACTGGTTGATTTTAATCTGCTGATTGGCTTGTCCCACAGAAGAATCAGTGACTCAGATTTGTACAGCAACTTTCAAGTTTGTCAAGGTTGAGTGTCCAACATTTGCCACTGTGGAGTTCAATGGGGAAACATCAGAGAATTTGACAGTCTTTGGGAATGGAACAAGTATCAATGTCTTCCCTGACGGGTACTACATACTCCACCACAACAAGGGTGGGAGGCTGGAGGTAAGATACTTCCTTTATAAATCTTCCTTTTTAAAGCATGGGAGGCTAAAATTCTTCCATTATAAATACTTTTATGTTTTTTTTAGTTTCCTTTGTATTGTGAATAAAACTAATTTAAAATTATGTAATTAATTATTTTAAAGAAAAATTATTTTTAATTGTGCTAGTTAACTTGGCCTCTATTAGAAACTTGTAGTTGTACTTGTATGTTAATTGTCCATTATATTATATTATGTTTTTTTACTGCTGCAGATTGATACAGAAAGCACCATGGTTTACTATCCAGCTAAATTTGAATTGACACACTATAATATGCCAGATCGAGACATCCATTATCTCATTCGCCACAATGCTGATGTTATTGTGGAAACTGTGGATCCGGATGGTAATGTTTTTAACGTCAGATCAAACGGAGATTTTAATGTGCTGCCAGTGAACGCAGGAGAAGAACTTTCTGACAACAGTGACATTCAGATACTGAAACTCAAGGTTTGTTTTGTTTCTTTTATTTTCCTTGCTGACATGATTAAACTTTTAACTAGGATCAAAGTTTTGTTTGATTTCGGCTACTGTTTTATTTTGTTTTTAAAACTAGACCTACCTATTAATAAAAAGAATTGAAGAACAGTTTAATATATCATTAAAATCTGATATTTAGTAAATAAATTATTTTAGATACATTGTGTGACACTGGTAACAATTTGTATTTTAAAATTCTAGCTAAGATCTTTTGTTTAAATATCACCCATATTATCAGATTATATTTAGTTGAAGTAATGATTTTTTTAAAAAAAACATATTATCAATGGAAGCTAAAAGACATCTTAATGAATGAGAATCTATAATTGACCTTACAAAATTAGTCTAGATTGATTTTTTAAATTTTCTTTTTCAATAGAAAAAAACTATGCTTTTTATAACAATATTTTAAAATTATTTTTATTCTTTAAAAACCTACAGGAAAAGAAAGTTCACACCTACAATCACCATGCTCCCAGATTTTTTATCATCCATGCCGACGGTAGTGGCACTGAACTCTTGAGATACAAGGACGTGGCTGAGTATTTGGTGCTGGCTGAGAAAAACCCAGCAACTGCTATCTTGAAGGAACCGCTGACCGACCACCCTGGCGTCACAGGCATCACAGTTCTCAAGCCATACCTGATTGGCCTGTCTGAGAAGTGGTTTAAAAACTATGATCAGGAGTCAATCATACCGTCAGGGATAAGGTATATGTTCACACTATATATATGCTTATGAAATTTCATTTGTTTTTTTTTAGTTTGTCAGTTCACATAAATAACTAAAGGTTTCAGTATTTTGAGACTGAGTGGTCGGATGGCACAACACAAAAATTCCAAGCTGAGAGTCTTAAGTTCGGATCTTGGACTTGAGTCTACAGGGTGGTCTTGAGTCCAACCAGCTCTGATGAGTACCTGACTTATGTTAGGGAAAGTAAAAGCGGCTGGGCATAATGCTGACCACACTATTCCTTCACATGCCAAGGTCACAAAAAACAGCTTAAATGTGGGAGGGAGTACAAAATTGATAGTTCTAATGGGTGGCTAAGCTTCTGGTTTTGTAAAACTTGTAGCATAATAATCGAGTGTGCATCATTCATTTTTCTTCTTCTGTAGATGCAGAGATTTAAAAACTCTCCCTTCAAAGGAGGTAAAAAAGCCTGGCCCCAAGTTTGGGACAAATGTTGGTAAAGGATTGAGCATTGGGACTTATTCCAAGTCCCCAGCTAGAATCCCAATCCTCAAGTGCCCCAATAGGCTGGAGATTCGACAGTTGGTCCAGTACAAGCCTGTCACAGAGACACTACGAAACACGTATGAACATGCTTTACACTTTTTCTATGTATATTTTTAGCTGTTGTCTTTGTTTTTATTTGTCTACAGTTTCAGATTTGTATGTCTAGATACAGATATGTTTTATCTTTATTTATAAGTTAGAATGTCATTTAACTTTTCAATATTAGTACAATGTTTTATAACAAAAAAATAAATATTCTCTTAATAAACTGTAAACAAAGTTGCTACATACAGCAGACTATTTAATTTATGACATTTATTAGTATAATGTTATGAGCTGGTTAAACTTCCAGGCTTAAAGGTTCAGTGTTGAGCTATGCTGAAGCTCTGCTAGCCAGAATGAGTACTGAAAATCTGTTGAACATTGATGATCCCAGAAGTGCTGAGGAGATAGCAATGTCCCAAAGTATGAAGCTGCTGGCAGAAAGGCACAAGACTGAGTTACCAGAGTGTGATCCAGGTCAGTGCTACTCTATATTTACACAGGTCAGTGCTACTTTATATTGACCCAGGTCTGTGCTACTCTATATTTACACAGTTCAGTGCTACTTTATATTGACCCAGGTCTGTGCTACTTTATATTGACCCAGGTCTGTGCTACTTTATATTGACCCAGGTCTGTGCTACTTTATATTGACCCAGGTCTGTGCTACTCTATACTGACCTAGATCAGTGTCACTCTAATTGATCCAGGTCTGTGCTACTTTGTAATATTGACCCTAGTGCTACTTTATATGACCCACGCTGTGCTACTATATATTGACCTTGGTCTGTGCTACTCTATACTGACCCTAAACTATAGTAACTTCATTGTACCAACAAATTCAAAAATATAATTTATTATAATCATCAATTTTATTTTAAAAAATAACTTTACTGAGCTAAATCAAAGCAAGTTGATGACAACATTTGTGTTTAAGTGTTACTTTTTTTACCATTATTAATTTATTTGGTACAGAACATGTCAAAATGATGTATGAAAATGCTGTTGCACCACATGTACCAAGTCCCCCACCCACTCCTCACTCAAAGCGGAGCAAAGCAGACTGGGAGAGGGACAAAAGGGAACTTCAAGAAGAAAAAGAAATCAAAGCAAAAATTAGAAGTCGATCAATTGAGCCATATTTTGATAGTGAAATAGGGAAAGCTTTTCTTTATACACAGGTAATTTTAAAAAAAAAACAAATTGTATTGTATTTTTTAGAAACAGTATTTAATTTTTAAGTTTTTTTTTTAAATCCTTAAAAAAATCTAAAAGTAATATAATTTGAAATATTTATTTAACATTTGAAATATTTATTAGTTATTTATTTCCTTAGACTTGGTTTATTAATAATTAATTAGGTGAATGATGCTGGTGAGATGATTCAGCAGTTTGAAGATGACAAACTTGAAACAGATGATAACATCTATGGTAACATGGATGGTAAAATAGAATCGTTTCTACCAAGCCCCATTAGAGAATCTGTTTCACCTTCACGTAAGTTATCATCTAACTATTTTTATTGTCAACCTCAAATATTGCAGTTCCATGGATCAAATTCATTTTAGTTGTTTTTAATCACAAGCTTGTTAGCTTATGAACTAAAGGTGTTAAGTTTTATGAACCATCATTAGTTGTTGTAAAACAACTTGCAAAGTTGTCTATCTTAGTTAGACTGGGAGTGGACACATTGACACAAAGACCCCTGTGGGGTTAATACAGCTGTAGTGAATGAGTGAGGGGTTTTGGATGTTGTTTGTACTTTGTACCCTGTCTGTGTTCAATCCTTGTGTGGTGAGATATGCCAGTCTAGTTTTTACTTGTTTGTGTATGTGTATGTAACGTATATGAGAACACGCACGATTCCCTCAGTTCATTCCAGTTCTTCTACAAGGTTAGTGTAGGTTAGTCCTGTGTACTTTTAGATCACCAGTGTATCTTAGTTTGTGTAATAGCTTATGTATTAATATTTAGAATAACTTGTGTTTGTGTAGATAGTGTAAATTTTTTAATGATTTAGACCACAGGACCCTAAGACTACTTAGAGCTACTGGGTCAACTATTTTACAATATCTTTCTTAGCTGCAGGCAGTGAAAGTGAAATGTCAACAAACAATAACAGAAAGCCACATGACACACCCCTCTCTTTTGGTGGTAATTGGTTTATTTCACTTTTTGTTTAGCTTATTTTATTTACATTGATTCAATTATCAGATTAAAAAAAAAATGTATTAATTAAAAAAAAGCTGTGTTTGCAAATATGAAGAATGGTTATCAAAAAGAACAAATGGATTTTCTTTTGGTAGTCATACATAACTGTGACACAACATATTTTGTTTACGAAATTTTTTTGTATTAAGGATATAAATTATTACAGTGATGCTTAATACAAAAAAAATTTTTTTTTAAATAATTGTGATTTTTATAATTTTTAAATGTACATCCGTGAAGGTGGTAAAAGTGAGTCACCATCTGATGGACTTCAGGTCAATGTACAAACACCTGCCAACACCCCACTGGAGCAGAGTCTGAGACCACAAAACCCTACACCAGCACAAGCAGCTAAAGCTAGTACAGGTAAAAAAGTTATTGCAGGTACATAAGCTATTACAGGTACAAAAGCTATTACAGGTACAAAAGCTATTACAGGTAGAAAAGCTATTACAGGTAGAAAAGCTATTACAGGTACAAAAGCTATTACAGGTACAAAAGTTATTACAGATACAAAAGCTGTTACAGCTACAAAAGCTATTACAGATACAAAAGCTATTACAGGTAGAAAAGCTATTACAGGTACAAAAGCTATTACAGGTACAAAAGCTATTACAGGTACAAAAGCTATTACAGGTACAAAAGCTAATACAGGTGCAAAAGCTATTACAGGTACAAAAGCTATTATAGGTACAAAAGCTATGGGCACCTGAAACTTGTTTTATGTTGCATTTAGTTTTGTAACAATCATTAGCTATTACAGCAAACTGATTGCTTTCATGTTCTGTAGGGATTCATTAAGTTTTGTACAATCAGAAGCTATTATTAAAGGTAACTGGTTGTGTTCATGTTCCATTTATATCTGTAAGGGGTCGGCGTTGTCGAGTCAGTAAAGCTCATGGTTGCTAAACCGAAAAGTCTCGAGTTCGAACCCTCGGGCTGATGAGGCTCGTTAGCTGGGGACAGCCACTCTTCTAGGAGAGACAACTCCAAAATCAAACATCTGCTGCCTTGTAGTTTGTTCTTGGTTGGACAAAGGCTATGGAAGCAAATCCAAAAAGAAAAGCAGGCTGAAATCGGAGTCAATGGCCTCAATGGCGCATAACCAGCTGACACTAACGCTTAATTGTGATGGAGGTGTGGTCGAGTCGGCAAAGCTCATGGTTGATAAATTCAAAAAAAGTTTCGAGTTCAAACCCTCCTGAAGATAAGGCTTGATTCCTTCCAACACTAAAAATTAAGAACGAAGAAGAAGAAGATCTGTAATACTCAGTAGTCATTGATTATAATCTAAAATGGAATTATTGTTTATTGTGAAAGGGGTAGAGTTTTGTATCACATTCTACTCTAGCTTGGCTGTAGAATGTATTTTTTTTAGATTTAGACCAAAAAAAGTTGAAATGAAGATAAAAAGTTATGTTATTTACACAGCAGGAGATTGTTTGTGTAATCTTATCAATGGTCATATCATGCTTCTTTTTAGTAAGTCTAAGATGTTTTGTGTGGTCTAAACAATGGTCATATCATGCATCCTTTAAGTGGGCCTACATTTCTAGACCTAAAGAACTAGATCAGCTGAAACCAACATGAGCTCTCAACCACAAAATGATGCACCATAATCTTATTTCATCTGTAATGGTATTCATATCACTAATGAAAAATACAGTCTTAACAGCATTATGTAGTGTGTGATTTACAACTGTATTTAAAACAATTATTCAGGCTATCGCAGTGCTGAAAGTCTTCTGGTAAAACCAGGCCATTTAAAGTCCTCATACAAATGGTCAGAAAGTGACTTCCCTGCCATTTCAGAGCACTCTAGCCAGGAAGATGGTAGTTGTATAAACCGGCTTGCTGTGAACTGCATATTGGCCTACTGTGTCTCTCACTCCCTCAACTATTTTTTAAATCTATCATATTAATATTCACATTATAAACTCCTCAAGAAATAATTATAATAACTAACATCAGCCTTCTACAGAATGAGTATACAATGATGACAAATTTAGAAAATACTGTATAACCCATGTTTTGCTATGCATATAACTTGTAAAAAAATATAAGAAAGTCAGTTGTATAAGCCCTACAGTTTCTTGATTTTTTATACTTTTCTGCTTTTTGCTTGTTTGTCTTATTTAAAAATGCAGCTTCTCCTGTCATTTACATTAAAAAGTTCCTGGTTTTGTACAATAATCAGGTTTGAAAAAGTGTTCTTAATTGTCATGTCACTTTCATTGAAATCCAATCAAAATTATCATGTTTGTTAACATGTGAACTGTATGCTATTTTTAACATTAAACCCAAATCTATAAACTACAGCATTTTGTAAATTAATATATCAAATAATATTTGATTGGCAAAAGTGCATTGAGTATTTTTTACTTTTTTACAAATGTAAAGTAACTAATTGAATGAAAAGCTAGATATTTAAATCTTAAAACTTCATCCATTATTGTATTTATAATAGGCGCTGAAGATTCAAGCATTTCATTTTCTTTTTAACTTTCATAAAATAAATTCCTAACAAAATTTTGAATTTGAATATTGTTGGATAATCATGAGTGTGTGTTGTAAATAAAAACATGGTGACAGGACAAAATATCTCAGATCAAACTTTGTCTTATGTGATAAATAATACATTGTGAGTTTAACATTATCTAGAATTATTTAAAACAATGGTCATATGGAAATCTTTTAACATTTTAAAATATATTTGAAATGCTTTTTTATAGTGTAATAAAATACAACTATCAAAGTTAAATGGTTTGTTGAAAAAAACATACCAGTTCATTTCTTACATTACATTTTATCACTTATTCTTCAAAAACTGTTTCTCAAAAAGAATATTAAAACAGTTTTTGCTTTGATGTATTATTTACACATTTTTCTAAACAAATGTTCAGGGAGAATATCTAAAAATTATAATTTAATAATTTCAGCAAGTATTTTTAAAAATGGAACTGATTCTTTACACAAGTTGAGAAAATAATTTTTTTTTTAGACCAGGAGACCAAGAGTCCAGTTGATGTTAACTTACTTGGTCAGCCACGGGTGGAGCCTGTTATTCTGCCTAAAGCTCTCAAGGGAGGGCGCCCAGGTGCACAGCCAAACATACGAGTGCGTATTTTAAATAATTTTTTTTTCATTTTTTAAACTATTATAGCAATATATCATACAATGAAAAGAAGTAACTTGCTGGTTTAAGAATATTTTTATATGGAAATTATATATTTCCCAAGAAGATTTTTTAGTTGTTTTTTTTTTTTTTTTAACTTTTACTATGTTTTAAACGTGTTAACTATAAATGTAAAAGAAAAATTACTGATTAAAAAAAAGGATGCGAATTATAAACAAAACAAATGATAGTTAATATAGTATGATTAGTTAGTGGTCTAATAGTCTGGAGATCTTGGTCTCAACAGTACCAACACGTTGAAGAACCAGTTCGTCGTCAAGTCAAGACATCCCTCACCACTGGAGCTACCCCTAAGGGACAGCAGATCCTCAAGGACATGAGAGGCCTCATCTGTCAACCAGAGAAGATCAACTTTGGTATACTGAAGGAGGGTTGCACCTACGCCTACACCTTGTTCTTGAAGAACACAGGCGTGGATGCCTGCAGATTTAAAGTTACACAACCCCCACCTGCAACAGGTCTCAGAGTTTTCTTTAAACCAGGGGCAGTAAGTCATTCCTTTTTAAACTCCTTAAATCTAAAGTTAAGATGATAATTCACAAAAACAGCTCTTATAGTTTTAAAATAGCTGTTTCTGCTGTAAAATGTTCAAATATGGATAGAACCAAATTGGATTGAAGCTTGATTTAAATATAACTATATTAAGTAACCAGGGACATAATTCTCAACTGCACAAAGAGAACTAACTTGGGGCTTAAAATGCCCTTTTATTATGTGGAATATTACTTGTCTGAATGCTGTTTTATCAGTTAATGGTAGAATTTAAAAAAATATTAAAATGAAAACTAATGTAAGCTTTTTAACTTGACTGGAGAAGATTACTGAATATTATCTAATTATCAAATGTTTATATTCTTAATTTAGTTTTTATTATATTAAAAAAATTAATGTTTTTTAGAAATACAACTTGATATGAAAGCTAATAGTAATCTAACATTCGTTATTAATATTTTTTATCCTCCAATTTTTTTTTATCCTTTATAGATTAAGTAATTTGAATCAGACATGAAGTTTCCCTGATCACTTGTTCTCTTGTTGTATAGGTGGCTGCAGGCATGAGCGCCAGCCTGAGTCTGGAACTTTATGCTATCGCTAATGGTGTGGAGGGGGAGTCAGGAGTTGGCTGTTTGGACCATGTACTGGAGATAACAACTGAGACACACATTTTACAAGTGCCTGTTGCAGCAAATATCCTTTTTTTCTGCACATTTAGTCCAGTTCTGACTCAATTTACTTGACCCCCACTCATTCCTCAAAGACTCGAATAATTTATATTATTTTTTTTTATCTAATAATACCCCTGAACATAATTTTAACTTGAAATATTAAAATACAAAGTTTCATAGCTCTGGTATATTAAAAAAAATTACGTAGCTTAGTTCAAAATGTGAGTAAAGCAAAAAGATAATTTTTAAATTTCAAACTATTACTTACTGCTTAGAATAGATATTATATTTATTGAGATAGTCCCTTGTGATTCTCATATAATTTCTATGAAGAAATGTATTTACAGTAAGATTCAATTAAAGGATTCATAAGAAATTTAATCTGATGTACAAATAGGTTTAGAACTATTTTCCTTGACAGATGCACCTATTTTAACAGCCAATGAATATGACCTGCAGCATCTTGGCAGAACAAATGAAAGAACAGCTTATGCTCGCTTGATCTCCACGAAGCCACCAGCATTAACTGGCATCATACGACCCAGGAAAGAACAGAACATAAGTAAGTTTATGTTGGGAAATAAATCTCAATACAATATCTGTAACTTGTCGTTTCTCATGCAAAGTCTTTTGTATTTTATTGGCAGATCAGGCCCCACTCATTTTTAATTCAGGACAAACATGACTTCATTCCTTCTACTTTAACCACTCCCATTTTCACCACATCATTTGGTAGTGACTGCCTCACCAACATATTGTCAAGTCCCACCCCACAAGTTTGGCAACTCTCTGTTTATACCACATGTGGTACTGATTTCATCCCCAATCATCATCTAGTCAACTCCCACCCTGACCACCCTAACACACCCTAACAACCCACCTCCAACACCCCAACCACCCACATCCACCCACCTGCACACCCCAACCACCCACCTGCACATCCCAACCACCCACCTCCACACCCCAACCACTAACCTGCACACCCCATCCACCCACCACCTCACCCCAGCCACTCACCACCACACCCTAACCACCCACCACACCCCAACCACCCACCTCCTCACCCCAGCCACTCATCACCACACCCTAACCACCCACCTCCACACCCAAGTCACGCACCTCCACACCCCAACCACCCACCTCCACACCCCAACCACCCACCTCCACACCCCAACCACCCACCTCCACACCCCAACCACCCACCACCTCACCACCACACCCTAACCACCCACCACACCCCAACCACCCACCTCCACACCCAAGTCACGCACCTCCACACCCCAACCACCCACCTCCACACCCCAACCACCCACCTCCACACCCCAACCACCCACCTCCACACCCCAACCACCCACCTCCACACCCCAACCACCCACCACCTCACCACCACACCCTAACCACCCACCACACCCTAACCACCCACCTCCACACCCAAGTCACGCACCTCCACACCCCAACCACCCACCACCTCACCACCACACCCTAAACACCCACCTCCACACCCAAGTCGCGCACCTCCACACCCCAACCACCAACCTGCACACCCCATCCACCCACCACCTCACCCGAGCCACTCACCACCACACCCTAACCACCCACCACACCCCAACCACCCACCTCCTCACCCCAGCCACTCATCACCACACTCTAACCACCCACCACACCCCAACCACCCACATCCACACCCCAACCACACATATGCACACCCCAACCACCAACCTGCACACCCCAACCACCCACCTCCACTGAGTCAGGCACCATATGAATAGCTATGTGATAATTCTGAATTCTTTCCTCTCCTCAGGTGTAGCATAAACATTCAGCCAAGCAATATTTTCTATCTGAAACTGATAATGTTTTTGCCTGTGATGAATCAGCGTGACAAACCTGACTGTTTAGACTTTCAATGACAAGTGCAGCGGAGAAACTAGTTGCAATTCTCGTTAAATGTTCATAGTAGATTATATATTTTGAATGATTTCATTAAATAAACTCCTAACAAACTCCCTTTGAACAATAACTACCTTGCAGTAACAGTAAGTTTAAAAAAAAATAAAACCAGATTTTTGTATTAATTTTTTTTAAAATTGTAGTAAGCCTACTAAACTGCTCACAAATTTAAACTTATGTTATATATTAGGGATAATACTTTAACCCAAAATCATTTTGGAGTACAGTTGGCACTCATTAGAATTGAATGTAAATAAAGTTGAGTGCAGGTATGTTTTTAATGCATTATTTTAATAAGTTTTTTTTATAAAATGTTTCTAAAGTTTACTGTGTTATTAAAAAGTTGATTTGAAAACTCAAGAAACTGAAATATTCCATTACATTGTTGAGAGGTAAAAAAATAAAAATTATGTAAAGATATAACGTTTTCAAAAATTTTACAGTATTAAAAAAAAAAATAGTATTGATGTTTTTAACAAAAATTAAATTTAATATTTAGCTTTGTACTCCTGAATTCAAACAACCATGCTAAAAATAGTAAACTATGCAAAGTTATAATTATTTAGGAACAGCATGTATTTTTGTAATGAAAATTTACTGTTGGTACTACACTATTTATATTTATTATGATTAATCCCTATCAAAATAATATCCAACAGTAGCTGAGTAAAGTACACTGAGAGAAAAATATTGGCGATTTTGTTGAACTTATGATAGAAGAGTATGCTTGTATTGTGAATTTCATATGTGCAGGGACCAAAGTCCCAAATAATATGGTAAACTTCAACTACTGGAAAATAAAATGTTTTTTTTTAATATTGTGCTATGTTGTTTTGATTACATTGAGCTAATTTGACATACAAAACATGTTTCTGTTAACACATGTTACTATTAGCTTATTAGCTGTTAGTTAACAAATAACTAACATACACAAATTACACTTATTAACTCTGTAAAGTAAAATAGTGCTTTATTTTTAAACTATACATCAGAGATACATCACCACATTTTTTAAATGTTCTTTTATACATTTTTGGAAATATTTAAATATACATTAGAAATCAATATTTACAAAAAAAAATTTTTTGTACAAACAGAAATTAGGTTCAAGTTTTTAAGAATCTCCTGACCCTGGGTTTTCCCCCTTGTTGTAAGTGTGTACACACTTGGAGAGAATTTCCTGAAAATATATATCACACAGCCATGTGTTGATGTTGTTTTTTGAGTGTATGCAAGCAGGAAGATTGATATGTTAAAATAATTATCAAATATTAGGTTTTTGATATTTTATTAGTGATTAATTTATATCTGTAAGGATCAATTTAAGAATAAGGAAAGTGATTATGCACATACACATAGAGTTATAAGATCAGTTTTAGGATACTTCATCACTAATTATGCATTTCATTGGACGAAGTGTAGATAAAAATTCTTTGAAAGCAAACTTATACCAAGTATACTAAGTGAAACATTGTTAAACAAAAATATACTGTTTAATCTAATATGAAAAGTCTACTGGTCCAGAAAAATAAACTGCTGAATAAGCAATAGAAAATTATACTCTCTTTAGTGTTATGCTTTGGTTCAAGGTTCTGAAAATAATCTAAAGGCGAGAAGTGGGCAAAGCCCCACAAATGCTGGAAAATGCCTTTAAAAAATAAATAATTACCTCAATGGCTTTAGCTTTATAGTGCTCTTCATTTTGAAATTCTTCCTGGACTAACCATTTCTATAAGTAAATTAATAAACAAGGATTAAATTTTAAATTGCAAGAATATTTTTTTAAGTTGATGCATATTAGGTATAATTAGAGTGATAAATCACAAAAAATTACAAGTTTGTTTTAAAATAATAAACTATACCCAGATTAAATTTGACATGGTACTATAGTAACCAAATTATATACAATATTATGTTTCACAAATCTAATTACTTTTTACTTGTTTTACTTCTCATTTAATAATGGTGAGTAAATTTAATTATCGAAACATTATTTATCTAATATATAACTATTACAAGTAAATTCACAGCAAATGCAATTCAAAATTAAAACACCAGTGATAAACAAACAAAACATTTCTGAGCATCAAAAAGATCAACTACCACAAATACACATAATGTACTCACCAATGTCTCAGCATTTTTAAGTTCAGTTTTTTTCAACTCAATATCCCACTTAGTTAAATCTGGTGTGCCTGTATTGGAATTATTTTCATTCCTCTCTATTTCATTTGTAAGTGCTTTAATGTTAGTTGACAGGTAATTAACAGAGTTATGGAACTTGTTTTGTCTTATCTTAAATTGCTGAGTTAGCTGGAAAAAAATATATATATAGGCATATATGGGCATATATTTGATATCTTAATAAATAAAATGAACCATAATTAAAGCTAGGATGGAAAAGACATGAAATATTAACTTAATTAAGATAAATAGTATAATTAAGTATAGACTGACTTCTATAAATATTTCGTGCTCACTGCTTTTCTTGTTTTCCAGACCTTTGATTATAACATTACAATGTTCTTTATGTGCATTTAAATCTTCCTATCAAGAGTATAAAAATAAAAACATTTAATTACTTTATTAAAAAAATAGTATGCACATATTACCTGGGAAAAATAACACAATATCAAAAGATATATCTTTATATATCTTTGTATATATACAAAATGAAATAATAAAATAACAAATTAATAGTAGGCCTATAGTATAATGATTAAAATTCTTTGTGATTAGATGTGTTTAAATACAATTGTATAATGAAAAGTTAAAAAAAAAAAAATATTATAGGGAAACAATCTTAATAAACAAATTGTGGTGATGTTCACTAAATATCTAAAAGAAATAGTGTTTGAACACATCAAAATGTGTATTACTAGAAATAAAATGTGTATTACTAGAAATAAAATGTGATGTATTACAAATGTAATCATTGTAATTAATAATATTATTATGGTGTAGATCTAAATGTAGAATGTAAGTCTAGATTTGATATGTTTATTATTAGTTAAGTCTAGAGTCTAGACTCTAAAATACTCTAAACTCTAGAGATCTACATCTATAGTCTATACACTATATATATATTATATAATATATAATAATATAATAATGGCCGATGCTAGCCGGAAAAAGATACGCATGCGCAATGGAGAGAAACTACTACTTGCCATTCGCGGCGATGTTTACGGTGGTACTGCGCATGCGTGTGTTGACAACCGCAGAACCCTAACACCAACCCTAATCCTATCCCTAATCCTATCCCTAACCCTAATCATATCTCTAATCCTAACCCTAACCCTAATCTTATCCCTAATATTATTCCTAACCCAAATCTACCCCTAACCCTAGCTATAGGTCACTGCGCATGCGCAGAGCTATCTTTTGCCCACTAAGTGGAGACGTTGGGGAGAAAAATCTTCTTCCAAGTAGTCTCTTCGTATAAATATTAAATAATCTATATGTATAATTCTCTTCTGGGAGACGCAAGAAAACAAGCTGTAAGCACGCTCCCTTCCACCCCACCCCTACATGGTCTGATGAGCTGTGGTTCACGCTACATGTTTACATTCGTGGAGTTGGGTTTAGTGACGGCTATTAGGGGCAGATAATTTAGTTTGAAACGATTTTAAATTTAGGGGAGGTAACTAAGAGGAGGCTGCTTTCATGGGGGGGGGGTAGGGTAGGGGTTGGGGGTAGTATGGTCCTTAACCATTAATGTCCCGTAACGCCCGCTGCCGCCCGACACCGTTAATGTCCCGTAACGCCCGCTTACAATACGCATAGAAAAATTAAATTTGTTTCATTAAAATTTGGCCTACAAATCCTAATTTTTAACTAAACAGGAAGTCTGATAGTTTCAGCATCCTTTTCCGGTCTTCTAATTTTAATGGCGCTTTTGAAAGATAAAAAATAATAGTTTCTTTCTATCTCGAAATTTTAGACTCATCTGTCGTATTTTTAGTAGATTTAATATTAAAAATAAAATAAAATAATGCCTCTAAACGTATCTAGGCATGTATTTTATGAATTATATATCTTAAACATAACCAAATTGATATTTAACTGTTAAATTCGATGCATAGTTGTTTAGACAAAAATAAATAAAGTTGACTACCGAAAATGACCTGTTTTGAATTTTCTCCGACATTTTTTATTTTTATTCTGTACTTGTACCGAATATAATATATTCTATTTAATACTGTTGGAAAGCCAGGTTTATTCCCAACATTAAGCAGTAGTTTTTATCTTAATTTTCAATTTCATTTAGACAAAAACAAATATTTTGTGAAACTATTCACTTGATCATACAGAGTTATGCTCCTTACATTGGGCCGTCATGGGTGGAGTTTTGGTAGAATGAATGGGACATTAATGGTTAAGGACCTACTGATAGTCACTGATAGTGTTTTAAAGCAGATATTTTCAGTGGCAGCATTGGTGCTGTCAAATTCACAAATTATGAATTACTGAAAAGTAGAAAATAAAACAACTAAATAGCGGCGTATGATATGCCGCGGGTCGGCTCGTACTGTTTATTTTATATAGATCTATTTTAGTATTTAGCGTGATTATATGTATTTGTATATATACTAGATCTATATATAATTAATATATAGTATTAATATGTTATATAGTAATATATAGGCCTAAACCTAAAACAGTTACTACATCTAGATATCTCCGTAGGCCTATGTGTATGTCTATGTATCATTGTAGACCTAGACTAGGCCTAGTCATTACTTAGAAGTTAGTTTTCTGTACTGAGTCTGCCTGTACTACTGTAGTGTAGTAGTCTGTAGCATTTGTAGTAAGTTTTGTAGTCCGCCGTAACTGTAGCCTACCAAAAATGCTTCGAAGCTTTCCAGGTTAAACTTTTCATTTCTTTGGATGTCTGGAAATAAAGCTTTTTGCTTATTTTCTCGAGGCATATTAGATCTAGATTCAATTAGATTAAATTATATAATATTAACTCCTATTAAATGATTAATTAAACTGTGTTGTAGCCTAAATTGCAATTTTGGACAATTTGGTTTGTCTACCACATATTGCCAGATCAATTAATTGTAACATTGTCAAAGCCTCATGTATGTAGGCACTAAAATTATAAACACGAATGAGTTGTCATAAATAGTAGAACTACATCTAGATCTATAGACCTATCTAACTAATTAATCTAGAATAAGGGCCAATATGTCGATTGAAACAGTGATAGCTTTGGAAAAACATTCTTAAGTAGATTAATTGCACCAGTTTTAATAGCCCTATCTCTTAGCTCTAAAAACGAAGCCTATATAATTACTATATATTTAGTTTTACTGTGGCAGTTTTACAATATAAATAGATCTTAACTAGATAGATAGATCTAGTAAAAAAAAAACAAATTTAACTTTAATATAGGCCTATATATATATATATATATATATATATATATATATATAGAGAGAGAGAGAGAGAGAGAGAGAGAGAGGTGTATATATATACATATACACACACACTCCAAAACATGTCTACTGTCCCATTCAACGAAATATAATTATATACTTTTTCCAGTGTCCGCCCCCTCCCCGAAAATTCTACCCCCGCCCCTGAAAATTTCAAGTACCCCACCCCTCTCCGGGGAGGAAAAAGTCTGAAAGAAACACTGGTGGCATTTGTAGATCATACAAACTAAAGGAAGAACCTGGGCGGGGCTTCGCCCCTACCGGAAGAGATGCATGAAAAAAACTGCACGCTAAACATTTTTTTTCAGATTAGAAAAAATCCTACCTCCGGGGAGGAAAAAGTCTGAAAGAAACACTGGTGTCGCGCTTAGTCACTACCCGAAGAATTGCATGAAACTCTGCGCTTTTTAGCATAGACACATTAATTAGGCGGTAATTTTATTATAGAGTATCGATGACAACATTTCTTTTTAGTTGGGGGGGGGGGGGGTGGTGGCTTAGACGTTCATTCTCGAGGGTGGGGCTTCGCCCCTACCCAAAGAATTGTATGAATGAAACTCTTCACGCAAACCACTTTTAAGATTAGACAAAATTGCCTTTTTATTCAATGTTTACTCGAGAATCAATGAAGTCTTATTACTGTGTGCACTCTCTGGCTTGATACTATTTTATTCTATATGCTAAATGTGACGTCATATTTCGTTTCCGTCTGACTGTGCATGTTTTTAAATTGCTTGTGTTTTCTCTAGAGCGTTCTTGTCAGATAGATACATAGATACACAGATAGATAGATACACAGACAGCGAAACTATTATTGATATAGATGAACTAACACTGCAGTTCCGGCCTCCGCCCCTAAAATAACCATTATTCTAACAAACATGTTTTACATCATTTTTGTTCTTTAAGAGCTGCAAATGCATGCCATTTCAGTACCCCCAACCCCCATCTCATGTAGCATGTTGTAACAAAAATCTGAATGAACACTCATGCATTTATATATGTGGCAAAATTTCTGGAGTACTAACATAAGTCCAAATGGGGTAATAAGCAACAACAAAAAATAGACAAGTTTTAATTCTAATCAAACTCTTTACACTATGTTAGGTACCAACTTAAAAGTAGCAATGGTGTGAAGGATTTAATTAATGTATGCATTATTTTAAAATTATTAAAAACCATTTTTTTTTACTAATTTTGTGTTGTGGTTCAGAGGGAGAGTTAGTAGAAATGTTATAGAAGTAATGGTCTATTGAAATGTTACAAAACCTGTCATTGGGTTGGGGAGGTGGCATGTGTTGTGGCTGCCAAATATAAGGGCAGGTATTTTTATTTTTTACTTTGTATTTTAGTAAAACTGATTAGCAAAATAGATACTACATTTACACCATAGATTAGTTTAAGGTTTGGAGATGCTAAAAATTACATCAATTTACTAATTAGTGAGCAAATAAATTCTGGCTGATTTACATTGCCAGTGGACCATGTGAAAAGATGAATCATAAATCTAACAGTGGAGTGAAAAGATATGTCCTTTTCTGTTTTATTTTTTAGCAGGAAATTAATCCAACAAACAAGTAGAAGAAATATCTTAGAATAAAAAAACTGCACACCTGAATCATTTTGAGTTTTATTTTATGAAGATAATTATGTAAACACAATTTAAAATTAAATAATCAGCTCTATGTGAAAGATAATAATCAGACAATGTAAAAAAAGAGAATCATCAGTTGATGTTAAAAGGACATAACACAATAACATTTTACTAAAATGGAAAATTCAAACATGAGGCAACTAACAAAAAATACAACATGAACACACATTTAGCTAAGTGAATAAGGAATAAAACTGAGTGAAAGCAGTTTAAATTTCTAAACGTGGAATGTTTACACGATACTCACCGCAATTTTGGCCATGTTTAGTCGTTTAATTATTTAAAGCACCATTTATGTCAATTTATTCATATAAATAAATTGTAGACTTTATCAATCATATATATAATTATATATATATATATATACATATATACACACAAAAATATAGATACCTACATAGGCCTACATAATATATTTATTTTTATCTATATATAGCTTTTACAGAACCATACTACTTCAGCTCCATTTTTTTCCTTGTTAATAGATTTACACACCATTATGTTCTAAATTCACTTCAGCATCAAGCCAAGAAATTGTATTGCCATTTCTGACTATTATATAAATATATATAGGCCTATATATATCTATAAATAAATATACTTATATATATATACTTTCAAAAGCAAATGAATTAACTCATTTAGTTTTAAAAAACAAATCCTAGCACAAAAGATTGCCAATAAAAATGAATGATAAGAATTTACTAAAATCTAAAATTGAGACACTACACTTGTTTAGCTGGGGTTGTCTTAAAATAGCCAGGGGCAAAAACAGCCCAACCAATGTGGACGGTCACATCTATATTATTGACCAACACATTTTCATTTGTGACAAACATTTTATAACATGGCGTGTCAACAGTGTACATAAGTCAATAGTGCCTTACCACTTAGTCATTATGTAGAGACTGAGATACATGAGATTTCCACTTGTCTAAATGTAGGCTGGGAGATACATACCATCTCATCAATGATGAATATTTGTAATACTGGATTAAACTTTTGTTTCCTGTAATAAGACCTGAACATGTTATTGCATTTGTCACACCTACATGCCCATAGCTTGCAGATTGACTGCAGTTAAGGTCAATTATTGATGTAACTATAGCCTTTGATAGTTTGCCTTACTGGAGTTTAATCTGTCAGTGAATAGCACCACTGATGAAGTCATTGACTTGATAAAGAAAGTAACAAGCTGGTAAATAGGTTCCAGCACAATGCTTTACAAAGTCCAACATGAAATCAAGCTTCTGTTAAACATTACATCCTGAATGAAATCAAGCTTTTGTTAAACATTAAAACATCCTGCATGAAAATTGGCTTCTGTGAAGCCTTACAAAATCCAGCATGAAAACAGGCTGCTATGTAAATATTAGATGTTATCCAGGAACACAACTTGTTCTGAGAGATGGATACTAAATAAATCTAGCATAACTATAACATATCTCTATGTTATCTCTCTTTAGAAGCCAGTCTGGTAATGAACTCTAGCAGGTACATTTGTAGTCGAACATCCTGTCTGTTGTTGGTGACAAAAAAACCTGGCACTCCAGCTTTTTCAAGCATGCTCTGCTGGTCCATCAGTTTTTGGTCCAGCTCTAGAATTATCTTGGCATCCCTCCGCTTCATCTCTTCTTCACACCTGCGCTCCATTGTCTATAGAGAAAGTTTGGGGAAAATGTGTGTATTTCTTACTATATTTTTAATTACACCAAAAATTAAGTAAACAAAAATATGAATCCCTTGGCTAAAGCTAAGATAGGAAGGTTGATATCACTTTTGCTACTGACAAATATCACACCTGAATTTCTCAATAAATATTGGTATAAAATCTATAATCACAACTATAATCCAATCAACTCAAGTTGCCATACTAATATTTTACAAACCTCTAACTCTCTTTCAACCTGTGCTTCTACCAATGGAAGGTTGTGAGGTTTATTCTGATTCTCCATTAATAACTCCTTGTGCTTTTTACTCATTTCATGCCTCTGAGCTAAAATTAGGTAGAAAATATTATTTATAGCTCAAATCACTATGACAGTATTATATATTTTTCACAATATAAATTGAACATAGGGTTTTAAAAAAAGAAAAAAATGTTTAGAACATATTAGACACTGAGGATTTGTCTCACTCTCTTTAAAACGTAAAAAGTTTCTTGTTGTAGGAAAAACTATGGTAGGCAACCAAGGCCACATGATGCTAAACAAGCAAATCTTCAAAATGCTAACCCTTGAATGTTTCTTAAAAATAAACTTTGTAAATCTTAAGACCTGCATAAAATGTATAAATTCAATTATACATTTTTGTAAGTATTTAAATTCAATTCTGTTGTTTATTCACTTATCCTAGGTATTCAAAATGAGCCGAAAAATTTAAGCCGGTTTTAAAAATTTTTGGTCGCGTTGCGGCATCGCGCGGCGGTCCGACCCCATAACACATACGCAATTAGAAACTACTGATTTAGAAAGAAGAATGGTAGCTCTGTAAGATGGTATAACTTTGCCAGCTGTATAATATAATTAAATGCTAAAAATGTTCAATTTAAAATTTTAAAATGTTTTTTTTCCATGAAAAAATAATTTTACAGCCGCCAAAGTTGTATATTCCGAAAGGGCATCCAATTTGCCATAAAACTGTTACGATTTAATGAACACTCCATGTATGGGGTCGGACCGCAGTAAATGAAACCAATGTATACAAATCGCGACGACCCGCATCTAAATTTCGCCGGCTTGAGTCAAGATTTTGTTGAATTCCGGAACACCCGACCTCGGTTCGGAACCAGATTTTGTGTTTATTCGTTGATTACAGTGGATTTAAAAGCACGTGCAGGTAAGTTGAATGCACATTATATTACTAGCTATATTCTATTTATTTATAATTAACTGCTGCTTTAATACATTTGAATATTAGTGTCCACTTATCGGTAATTGCTCCACGCTTAAAAAAATTTTTTCCAAAAAATTATCTAGCCTTTTTTAAAAGTCCGTTGTATTTAATTTATGGTCACTGAAATAAAAAAGGAATGCACAATTAAATCAAAAAGATGTTTAAAAGGATGATAGAATTTAATTTGGTTTAGTAAATTATGTTAGTTAATAACATCGGCCGATTAAACTATCCATATTTTGTCGATGTTTCAAGCCGACTGTCCGCCATGTTTTTTTTTACTTTCTCGTAGTGTTGGGTTCAACTATTATATTACCGCAGTGGTTAACAGCATACTTTCAATTTATTGTAGCATTGCTTTTTTTTGTCTTTCCTAGTTTATTAGTTAACTATTCTATATATGTGCAGTAGTTACATTAAATTTTAGAATATTACGATCTTTTACATTTTTTATCTCTAGATTTATTGTACAGACGACTTAAAATAAAATGTAGCCCCCCCTTCCATAATAGTTTAGTCCAAAGTTGTTTCTAGATTTAGTCTAGATTCTAGATCTACTTAGATTAGTTAGATTCACCATTGCTTTCATGTTAATATTTAGTAGTAGAACTATCTATAGTGCTTACATTTAATATCTAAAAAGCATTGAGCAGCCTTACTTTTAATATTATTATTCTATTTACAGAGCAAGATATTAACATAAAAGAAAGTGGAAACTGAAAGGCCTGTCAAAAATGTGTATTGTTTGTGTAAGCACCAACAGGACTCCTGAATACTTTTAAAGGAAACCATATGTCAAATGTTAGTATTGTATGCACTTTGCTTATTATTTATAATGATGTAATGTTACATGATTGATATCTAAGTTGGTATTAAGATATACAGGCCTCCTATATAAGTCAATATATTTGAAATGCTAATTAATTGTTTTTATTCACAGACATTTTCTCTACTCTGGACCAATAGAAGGATCCCTTACTAGATTCCATAATTTGATGTGTGCTGCCAGTTCACAATCATTTATTACAATGCTACTCCAAACCTTGAAGAAGACAAACTCAACCAGGATATTGACTATTAATTACAATGCTACCCAACCTAATAGAGAACTTTCCCAATCAGGATATTGACCTGTCTTTTTGAACCTACTCTAAGATTTCTGATAATTGTATAAGTTATGACCTAGACATTTCCAGAAGTTGACTTTGATCAATAACTAACTAGAAGAAATAAATATACTAGTAACAAGTAAATTTATGCTAAACAAGTCATGATTAGGAACCAGAGTAACAAAACTAGATGAACATCACAACTCTATTAGTTATCTTACTTTGTCAGTTTTTAAAATGCATGGAATTTCTTATTATTATAGTATATAAGTATAGTAATAGTATAGTTATTTAGTTTTTTAATAACAAATTACTGCTAACATATATCCTACACAATTTATATTACTTTCTTAAAAGTAAGAACACTTTTTGCAAGATGTTAGGTAATGAAAATTCTTGATTTTGGGCTTTAAGGAAGGATGCCTTGTATTGTTTTGCAGAATGATTATTTTATCTTTCTGTGTTTATTATATATTAAGAACATCATGTGCTTTAAGTTGGTGTAAAATTTATTAAGATACCTTACTTAAATATTTTTAAATAATTTTTTGAAAAAGGATGAAATTTCAAATTTTTATAAACTGACCTTGCTGAATCTGGTCTCACTAATTACTTTCTTTACTAATTCTTTACCTGCTTGTTTCATATTAACATGCTTTGAATTTCCTTTTTTAGAACATTTATATTATTAATGTGGCTTAATTAGTTGATTTTCTACGATTTTTTAAAAATGACTGTAAATTAACTTTTTGTCTCCCTTTTCGTACTTCGGTAAAATTGTGCTTTGGCTCATTTTTATGTGAATAAATTTTCTATTTATATCGGTCTGACTACCTTGAAAAAAATTGGGTTTGCTATTTGTATTACTGGCTGTGTGTGCAAGAAATTTGAGAGTTCTAACTTAGTTATTGTAGAAGTTAGTAGGGGTCTCAAATAGACCCTTTACTGCTCAAAAAGCTAACGCATTTTTTGAGTTTTAAAAAATTCATAACTTTTTTAAAAATGGACATACACCAATAAATTTGGTGTTTCTGTTCTGATGAAAACAGTATCTATCAGGTGGGAGTGTTAAATTTTATTTAATTTCATTATAAAAAATTCATTTTGAATACCTACTTATCCCCTCTCTAGTTTATTCACTTATCCCCTCTCTAGGTGTTGAAGTTCTGTTGTCTAAAGTGATTGGCTCTGTGAATAATTCAGGACACTGCCTATGTACAATAGATTTTAAATACCAACATACACCTGTGGTCATTTATCATCTTCTGTCTCTGGGTGAACAAGCTCTTTTCTTCCAAGTGCTGCACCTCCTCCAGGCCCTTCACTATTTCAAATGCTGTCCCGTCCAGCAGGGCACTGGCCAAAGCTGACAGCAGGTCATATGGCAATCTTTGCTGAAACTTCCTAGAAATAGACAAGAAAAATATTATCCCTAAAACATTACACAAAAAAAAAAGAAATAAAAAGCATTTTAATAATAAGCTTTTATATAACTATGCACAAAAAAAAGAACATAAATGATTTTCTTTAATTTTTTTATATATTAATGCACCACTATTTACACTTGAAACAGAATAAGTAAAAAAAAAAATGTTACCCCGGCAGCTCACGAGCCATATTTTGAAGTTCACTAAGAAGAAGATAGTGCCTATGTTGAAGTTCTTCTTTAAGACTCTGTTCATTCTGCATTTTAAAACATATATTTCTGCAAAAAAAAAAAAAAAAAAACACATAAAAAACTCAAAGCAGCTCACTCTAAAATACAAGACATAATCACACAACTTATAAATTAAGAAAATATATGCCCTCAACTACTAACAACTGACTGCTAGATTATATAGGGCCTACTAAACTCAGATATTTAAGTAGTATCATCATGGTGTTGTATAGTATAATGAAGTCACCCCTGTATACTATACTTATGAATAGGCCTAGTGCTACCTAAAAAATTATTATACAATTAATAATATTAGTTTATTAGGCTATATCAGATTTATATCATAATCAAAGTCAAATCAAATGTAATACAATTTGGAAATTTATTTAATTTACTAGGCCTAGCCCTAAAGGTGTTGATAAATTGCGAGACAGGAAACACATAATAGCGAGGCAGTAAATCGTAAAAGAAAATTTGAGACATAACTACACAGGTAAAAAGAGAGATACCATTGTCAAACATTTTTGGATGATTTTTCAAATCATCCCTTTGAATCCCGGTCAGAACGTCCCCCCCAGCGTGACCTCAACCAACTGGAAGGCTTGTTGCATTGAGTTAAATATAAATTCAAAACAATAATATAAACAGTCTCCTTTCAGCCAGTCAGGCCACATACCACTTTTTTACAATACGCCAATTTAACAGTTTGCGGGCGATCTGCATCCATATGGATTAAATTACATTTTCCGAAGACTACACACTACAAGGCGACCTAAGGCCGGTGTTTCAACATGCCCTTACTATGTAAATAACTCTAGACAGCTATAGAATCAACAAATGAACCCAATGCATCAATTTTATTTAATAATCTTCAAAAGCCATTTCACTAGGGTTGTTATTTTCATGAATTCGTAGTCTTCCAGTCTTGTTGTCAAGAAACTGGCATTTAGTTCACGAGAATGTACAAATAGCACTCACGCGCCACAGAAATCGTCTATCGGGTGCCTTCACGTTGTTGATAAGTGTTGACCTGGGCCGTTGTTTATATCCAAAACGGCCCTTTTTTTAAAATTCTTTGAAAAAAAATTTTGAAATAATTTTTTTAGGGGTCATTTTTTGGCCCATTTTGAAAAATGTAAAACAATCCGAACTACACAGAGAAAAAATGGCTTTTTCTGCCCTTTTAGCTCCAAAAATGCATCACATTACGTCATCCACCAACCAAAACACAGAAAAAGTGTGTGTTTGATTGGTTGGCGGTTGGCACTTTGAAATCCCTAGTGACAGCTTGAAATGTTTTGTTTGAGGCATAGGGCGGGCTAGGCTAGGCCGGTAATCTATCGTTTTTGGTACGTAAAATCGCCCGCAATTTGTAATGTGAAAAACAGGTGACTCCTTAAATTTTAATAATTATTTCACATTTTGAGGAGGATTTAAAAAATTCAAAAATGTTTCCTTGATTCATTTATGTACCTGTTTTTAAACAATTGAATTAAAACTTTTCCGTAATAAATGAAGACTAGCGATGTTTCCAACAGATACAACCATGCTCATTTACTATAGCAGCCATCTTGTCTAAGTTTTATTTTTATAAGCTTTTAGCGCCAGATTCAGGGGGAAGCCACTCTATTTTACAAATGGCTGCTGTTTATATAGCAAATCTTGCTCTCAGACACTGCTGTTTAAAGTTAATTTCTGGCCTATATCGATATATTTAGCCATTGATTTAGGTTTATTATTCATTTATCTATAATATTTGACACAAAAGTATGACAATATACTTCTATTAAAGTATTTAAAGCCTTGACAATGAGGTAACGTTTTCGTACATAAATAGCCACGGGCGATTTTACGTACCCAAAACGATAGATTACCGCTAGGCCTACCCATTTTTTTATTCATGCTTTTCGTTGTTTGTTTTTTGGTTTGGTTTTTTCCACCAGATCTGCAAGAAGAAAAGTTATAATCTAAAAAAAGTAGAGATATCATCCATGAGTGTTGTACTGAGTTGTCGGTGGGTATGGGTATCGGCAGAGTTCGCGGTAAACCGGCTCGTCCGTAAAGCTGCAAAAGCAGACCCGAAATCAGGAAATCTCCCATTACTTAGTTATTACTTTCTGTTACCGGGCCCACAGTAGTGGTTTGTGTAGGTTTTAAACTTTAAATAATTTTAAAAACTCCTGCGTAGTGCCTAGATCTAGATTATAATGTAAACTTAGTTTACTCACCTTGCCTTTCTGTAGTAGTGTATTTTCTACATGTAGAAATCTAGATTATCTAGATCTAGATCAGGGGTCTCCAAACTTTTCAGTCCGAGGGCCGCATTAACTATCAAATTTCAGTTCGGGGGCCAGTTTCTTCCAGGCATGTCTTTGATTTTTATGGGCAAAGTTCCTCAGCCATCACCAACAAACATTTTTTCCGTGCACAAAAAGATCTCCGCGGGCCGGATGAGAGGACATCGCGGGCCGCATCCGGGCCGTAGTTTGGAGACCCCTGATCTAGATCTAAATCTACATCATAGTTATTTCCCTTGCCTAGGAAATCTTCGCAATTACGAAATAGAATGAGACTTATAAGATCTGTATCGTCAAAATTGAAAGGCCTATAATTATAATTATGTTTTAGCTTTATTTAAAATAGTTCCTGCAAAAAAAATCGGCTTTTCAAATCGCAAAGTGATATATCATATCTAATTCGAGATCTAGAATCTGGATATAGTCCTGCTTAGTACATACAAGTGTTATTTCTCTCTTCGCTAACGCGTAGCCGCTACCACTGCTGCGTGGTGCACCAAACAATGCCACCACTTGGTTTTCTCAAGTTTTTTTAGCGCAATTTCCAGCCATTCTGGAGAATTGCGTTTATTAACCCGTCAGTTCTGGATGTATGAATGTATGAATGAATGGATGTGTGTCCGCAGCTTTAAGTCGTATCTCCTCCTCAACGAAGCAATATCGAGGACTAGCTCCAAAAGCAATTATGTTAAGCAAGTTACGAGGATGAACATAGGCCAAAAAAATTCCGGGTTTCTTTCATGGATTTCCCGGAAAAGCCAAAAAACTCGAAAAAATGCAGTTTTTGGCCCATATCTCGGCAACCAGACCACTTAGCGAATTGAAACATGTACCAATCGATTCCTGCCATAATTTAGAACAATATTGCCGAAGAAAGTTTTCAAAAATATCCTTTCGTTCGGTCACCATAAAATTTTTGAATTAATTAAAATTTGGACCGAATTAGTAGGCATTTTTATCCAACCACACCACACGCGTCATCACGTTCAATAGCTGCGCCATCACGTTCAATGGCTACGTCATCACGTTCAGTAGCTAGGCGCGCAATGGTTTTTAGTCATGTAACTCTATTGTAAATAAAACATGTATTTTAACCAATGGTTTTACTAACCCTGCTCTTGATTTACGTTACGACAGAGCTATTTTTAGATAACATAAGGAAATTGTGCTAAAATTGTCACTAGACTTTTTAATTACCTTGTTTTATTAAAAAGTAGTTGTTTATTTAAGTTGTTATAGCGTGACCCAGCGTTAGAGCCTTAGACTGCTTTCCGAAAGTCTCAAGTTCGATTTCGGGTTCAAGTCTCTGAGTCCACACGCCCCTGATGTGTACCTAACAGTTAGCAGAAGGTAAAGGCGGCCAGTGTTTCTTCCAGGCATCTCTTCGGGGGAGAGGGGGGTGGAGACGCCCCCTTCCCGTCTGAACGAAAAAGAATTTATAAAGAAAATATATTCTTTTAACAGTTTCTGCCCTTCGGAAATTTAAGTCCGCCTGCCCCCCCCCCCCCCCCCTCGAAAATTTCAAGTGCACCCCCCCCCCCCCCAAAATAAAGAAAGGAAAAAGTTTGGAAGAAACACTGAAGGTGGCTGGGCATAGTGCTGACCTGGTTCCATGACAAATGATCTTAGGACAAATGATCTCAGACAAAATATCTCAGACAAAATATCTCACGGACAAATGATCTCAAGACAAATGATCTCAGGACAAAAGATCTCAAGGACAAATGATCTCACGGACAAAAGATACCAGGACAAAATATATCAGGACAAATGATATCATGGACAAATGATCTCAGACAAAATATCTCAGACAAAATATCTCACAGCAAAATTTTAATAGTCTTTTGAATGATTTTAGTTGATCTGAACATATTTTCTTTATTGACTACAATATGCTTTTGTTCACTTTTCTACGCATAATAATTGTGAATAAAATGAATTTGTTAAACTTAACAAAACATCAAAAGATTTATTAAACTTAACCTTTGTAAAAGCATTTGATTTGAAAAAAGTAAAAATATAAAGAAAACTTACTCCTTTAGCCTGAAAGGTTTGATAAATGATAATGTATAAAACAAAGTAAAGTTATTTATACAACATTAATGTTCAAAACACGCGAAATATTTTTCAAAAACGTGAATTGGTCTTCGGGTTTGTTACGTAAAACTATTATTTATTGTATCATCAACACAAACATAACGCTTACGTTTCTTTACTGGCAAGTACATCGTTATGATCACACCTCTCCAATACTATGTGATCATCTATTGTGTGAACTCTTTCTCGACATGTTTTAACTTCACATTTGCAAATCTCTTTGCCTGCTGCTCTACTTTTGGCTTTTATATACATAAAATCACAAGAAACAATGTCCTAAAACCTTTCAGCGAGGAAACAAAATCACCACTAATACTGTTTTGTTTGCATGCACACTACGACAAACTTAGCCCCACGATGACCGCTGTCGTTTAACTAAGCATTTGTAACCTGATCACTAAGGTGTGACCGACGCATAACTATTGACTTTAGAGGCTAGTTGTATTATCCATCGAGGGCGGATGTCTTTCCAATAAGGCATGTCTCTGCGGTCAAAGCGGGCGGCCACCTTGATACGAAGGTGTTTCTTTATTGTTATTTCATTCCCTTTGATCTAGTTTTGTCCACCTGACATGGTAAGATTGTCTCATTTTTGGCAAGCCCACCTTCGCTGTCTATCGAAAAAAATGCTTTAATCTTCGCATACTATATTTGTAATCTTAATTTGAAAATGTTAAGTGCAATATGACAAATTTATACGGCAAATATTTCTTACACTAATTATACAGGCCTGTAAACAATATTAAACATAGTAAATAAAACCATAAGAAAGTCAATAAAAAAACTGTTCAGAACAACTACAATCATCCAATACACTATTAAAATTTTACTGTGAGATATTTTGTCTGAGATATTTTGTCTGAGATCAATTGTCCATGGTATCATTTGTCCTGATATATTTTGTCCTGGTATCTTTTGTCCGTGAGATCATTTGTCCTTGAGATCTTTTGTCCTGAGATCATTTGTCCTGAGATCATTTGTCCGTGAGATATTTTGTCTGAGATATTTTGTCTGAGATCATTTGTCCTGAGATCATTTGTCCTTCATTTGCCGAGGTCAATGAAACAGGTGAACTCAACTTACCCTATACGCCTACTTTAACTTGTGTCCTCCCCCCTCCCCCGAAAGTTTCACCTCCCCCCCCCCCCCTTCATCACCCAGAAGAAAAACAGTTTGTAAGGAACACTGCCCATGGACCCCAGCTTCGAAAAGGGAGCTTTACATTACATTTATATTTCTGTAACAGAATTTTTATTTTGGATACATACCGGTTGTTGGGCGTTATATGCCGAGGGACATTCAAAGTGGTGGAGGGGATGGGGGAGAAGTTTCTAGAAATATTTTTTTCTATTCTGTCTTAAAATACAACACGTCTAAGAAAGTTTATTTTCAGATAGGCTATAATTTGATATCCTGATTTTGAAAATGCCAAACCCAACACCAGTCATGTCGGCCAGTCAGACAAATGAGAAATATATTTTCTACACCAGTGGTTCTTACCCTTTTTAGAGGAACCGAACCCCACGAGTTTCATATGCGCATTCACCGAACCCTTAGTTATATCGTCCTCATTGAAAAAATCCGATCGTGAATTATATGAGTCGGGTGTGTGTGTCATGACCCCCGCCGAACCATCGAGACTGATTCACAGAACCTCTGGGGTTGGATGGAACCCAGCTTAAGAACCACTGTTGTAGACAGTAACAATGTCTCGCAATCAAACAGTGATTCACCAGGAACACATACACTCACAAACAGAGGCGTAGCGACCCTTCCCGGCGCCCGGGGACAAACTTTCGATTTGCACCCCCCTCAAACTTTCGATTTGCACCCCCCACCCCTCGAACTTTTCATTTGCACCCCCCCTCAAACTTTCAATTTGGCGCCACCCCTAAGGTCGGCGCCCGGGGACATATGTCCCCCCGCCCCCCCCCCTCGCTACGCCTCTGCTCACAAAACTCTCTCAAGTCAACCGTACGCACTTCATACACACAAAATACACGCGCATTTATAAAACTTTATTTTTTTAAAAATCTGTTAAAATATATCTTTGTGTGTAAAGTTCTGAGAAGATCATGGATGGTTAGCGCCTTCATCACAGCGGAACTGGAGCAGGAGACGATACTTTATAAAAAGCTGCTTAAGGCAAGTATGAAATATAAAAATAAAATTGTTTCACAAAGTACTTAATACATCCTTATGAAAAAGAACAGGACGAATCTGAGTGGGGAAAGACATTTAGAAAAGGTGGAGATGGAAAGGCTATACGTTAAGGAAATCAACGACTAAGATTACCAGACAAAGGGTGTCGTGACATCCCACTAGAATAGAAATAAAGGGATACCACCCCCCCCCCCCCACAAAAAAAAACCCCAAAAAAACAATAAATATAAAACAACAAAAATCAACAAAAAAAAACATGGCGTTGCGAAAATGAAAAAAAAAACATAAAAATTTGGATTTGAAAAAAATGCTAAGAAAACAGTAGAAAAACATTTTCCTCACTTTTTTTGTTTTTTGTATTATTTCTAGACGACATAACCATCATCATCACCGTCATCATCCTTCATCATTATCATCATCGTTCCAATGGAGAAATGTGGAGCATAGGGACGCAACCACACCACTCCATCGTACTCGGTTCTGGTCGATTCCAAGCTGGGTCCACGACATTCCGGCTGTTTCTTCTTCACTGACAGCTGACTTTTTCCAAGTTTGTTTCCAGTTTATCATTAGTCGGTCCATTTATTTCGTGGATGCTTTTTCTCTCCCAAAATGTTTTCTGTGTACTTTTAAATGTCCAGGTTTGACTGGCAGACGTTATCAGGGTTTTTGTATTGTTTTAAATATGGTTTGTTTCGTATTTCTACT